CGTCACCACTACCGTAGAAAATGCACTAATCACGAAAGGCTTTCTAGGCTGCAGCCTGACTGGACTCAACTTATTCCTGAGAGCTTTCTGTTACAAATCAGTACAGAGTAACTCTGGCCCCCAAAAGGTCACGTTAGGGCCACAGGTTTTTAGAAGATGTGAATCAGGTGTCACACTGAAAGGTGGAATGTCTCCCCTGCCGGGCGGCTGCAGCACCATCCATGCACCACAGGGCTGCAGCTTCGCACCCCTGGGCACCCGGGTTCCACGTCCCATCCAAGGTGGGGAACATGTGGGGGGGATGCAACCAGTGTTTCCCTTTCACGTCAATGTCTCTCTCTCTCTCTCTCTCTCTAAAAATCAATAAACACATCCTCGGGTGAGGATTTAAAAACTTTGGAATAATGCACATAAAAGCCTACATTTCCAGGGTCTCGTGAAAGAGCTGAAGACGGGTCAACACTGGGCCCCCCTTTCCCTACGGCAAGAGTTGAATGGGGCTGAGAACTCGCTGCCCCTGTCAGAAAGTCTCCGATCCCCCACGGCCTCTGCTCAGTCCTGCCTGCTCTTCTGGATCATCGTTTGGGCCCCAGTTCACAATCTGCGCTTGTGATCCACACTCACAGTGTTTCTTCACATAGCAAACCACTCCCCACTCTGTCCACTCAGCACTCCACGCGTGTGCGCGTGCGTTACTTTGGTCACTGCTAGCTCGTCAGATCTTTAGCCAGTTTCCAGATTATGTCACGTAGTTTCACATGAATTCCTCCCCCTCGTCCGGAATGTCCTTCCCCCGACTCCCTGTCTGCTCAATTATACCTTCTCATCATTTAAGCGAGGTCAAGTACGCCTTCACTAGCCTTTTTACCCATCCACGCCACCATCGCGGAGTAGAAGAGACTGCTTCTTCTCCTGAAACAATCTGCTGTGTGTATGAAATCGCCGGCAGTCTTCCCCTTTGTGCCTGGCCGGCAGCCTGGCTCCTACCGTTGTCGCTCTCATGCCTATTCTAGTGCTTGGTAACACAGCACAGCAAACAACGAATTTCTGATAAATACATGAAAGAGTTACTGATTTTTCTCTGGGAGGGGAGAATATCTAGGAAGAACAGAACACAGGACAAAAGAAATAAATGATTTATGCTCTGAATTACTCATCCATATGAAGGAAAACACACAAAACATATTAATTCAAAACATTCTCATCTCTACAGAATTTCCTTCTGCCCTTACACTTGGAAGAATTAATAAAACACACATGTAAGAATAGAACCATTAAGTTGAAAAGGGCTTAATTATTTATCTAACTGATACAAACTTTTTTCTTAACTAAAATTTTGGCATTGTGTAGTACACCCAGATGTTTATATCGTCACAAATAATTTTTTTAACCATTTATGGCAATTCAGAAAACTGCATCTGGTATTTCTTATATGTTTCCTCTAAAATCACCACTTCTGCCAAAAACATCTATAAAGAAAGCCCTCCAAAGGTCTGGGCAACAAAGCGTCTGGGAATGTGTCTGGCCTACATTCAACAGGACGTTGTATGTTTTCTTGTATAAATCACGTCCTGGAAAATGGAGTGTCTTTATTTGAAATAAAAGCTCTACCATCCAACACCAAAAAGTTAGTTCCATGACAAGTATTTTAAACTTCTTTTATATTTGCAATCTTAAAATGCCACAGGTTTACCAGGTCTCATTTTTATGGTTTTCTAGATTTTCTTTAAAAAACACTCTAAGAAAACTTTCCATTCTCAACTCAGAGATACTTTAAAAAGCAGTCACCAAACCTTCCTTAAAAAAATATTAGTTATGGGGCCTTGGAAGACATGGGTATAAAGCAGCAGACAAGCCAAAAGACTTTCCCAATGTTAGAACCTGAACTTGGACTGTTTATGAAACTTATTTTTCTTTGTGTACCACAAAATTCACTACTCTTTTGAATAGTTATCAAAACAAGAAATATTTTGTACTCTTTCAATTTTATCCCGTCACCTTCATTTAGGCAGGACTTTATCTTAAGAATGATGAGAAAGAACAAGAGGTAAGAGGAGGAAAATCTGGCCACGAACGTAGTAAGGTAGCATCACACATCTCTCCGTGGGTCGTCGCTGTGGTCCAGCTTTCCCCAGGGGTGCATTTTCCCGTGAATGACAACTCCACAGAAATTATGAACTCTGATCAACTCAGAACAGTTAATGAAAGACACTGTCCTATCTGTTTCATGGAAGAATCAGCACAAGTAGGTGATGACATGTGAAACAAGTCTTTGGAGCTATTCAAAAAAGAGTATTTCAGGTAAAACCTTGCAATTTTTAAAAGGAAGAAGAGCAGTCATTTTTCCACTAGCCAACATTATCTATTAAACACAGCGCCTATATCACCTTCGGGCTTTCTTTCATTGTTACTTCCCTTAGGGCGCAGGGGATGAAGAGAGAGAAACTTGTTACATGTTCCGGTGAAAGCCCTGCAACTACTGACGTTGGGCTCTGCTCCAGCTCCTCCTGCCCGTGGACTGCACCCGACCCCAATGGGATTCTTGAGGAATTAAATGCACATCGTCTTACGAGCAGTACTGTGCACCCTTGTCTTATATCTCAAACCTGTGGTGCTTCTATGTTCTGTGTTACTTCCTTGGAAAAAAGGGATCCCATCTAGTATCTCACGCAACACTGGAAATGAAGCCGAGTCACTGGTTCTCATTCATTATTCAAAGCCTGATAAGGCATCTTCCTACTTTTCCCACAGAGCCTGTAAATACCCTGACCTCATAAGCACAGTTGCACGTACACAGCTCTAACAGTTCTGTACTCCAAGAATGACTGAAACCATCAACAATTTGCTGTTTCAATACTGGTATTATATGCAATAGTTCCCTTTTCATGTTTGACCAGACTGAATCTGCTCATTTCTGGTAGCAGTGACATAATCAGCATTTCCAATAAAATATCACTTTTTAAAATGAGTTTCCTAATATTGTTTAAATGTTGAAACTGCATATCAACTAATTATCTGTCTACAGATGCTTAGGAATAAAACAATACTTTGCCTCTACGATTCAAGTCTCTACGTACTTTCTTGCAACAAAAGCCAATCCGTCCTTTTCAAAATTGTTTCTCCTGGCAAATATTTTTGCTGTCTGGCCAAGTTTTGGGTTAAAAATAAAGTACAGTATTACAGCATCAATCAACATTTAAAGTACTTAATGATCTATGAAAGAAAATATACAGTGATTCTTTTGAAACAACCAAGCCAATCAAAGTTTTATTTATATTATCAAATCAGGAGTATAGCTTTGAGAAAATAAAAGTCACACCAGTGTTCAGAGATATAGAAGCGGTATCGAGCACTTAGGTAATAAAAGAACGGACTGTTAGGAGCTGCACAGGGCGGGAGCGGCTCGAAGACATAACAGAGCTGTGTGTGCTCCCCTCCAGTCTGTGCGACTCTGGCCTTTTGCCCGCCCTTCCAAACACCAGTGGTAGAAGCATAATTAGGGCTTTTTCTGGAGTGAACGCTGACTCTCAACGTTACTATACATTTACAACGAATATTAATTGTAATCTTCACATGAATAGGGGTCCGGACCACCTAAACCCTGGCATTTATAACCTAAACCTGAGAGTGCCCCACTGCTACCGGGTGCCAAAGTGGGTGCTTGAACAAGCACTAAGTAGTGGAGGGCCTCTGGTCATGGCTATGGACCGCAGTGAGTCAAGGTCTGGGGTCTCACCACTGCCTGCTGGGGATGTCTCGGGGAGACACTCCAGCAGCATGACACACAACCCTGCCTTGTCACAGACCGAGGGGGTCGTTCCGAACACTGCCTTTCCAGCCCCGTGAGTTCAGCGCTGCGCTGCAGCGATTCTCAGGCTCATCCCTCGTGGGCCCGGTGTGTCCCCCAGTGAACAGCTCGGGGCTGCGCCTCTGTCTTCCAGGTAACGCTGCAGCCGCACTGGCCCTTCAAGACCGGCTCAGACTGTTTTCCCAGTGAATACTGCCTCCAGACACGGGCAACCACTTGAACACTCAGGGTGTGCCAGAGGAGGGACTGTGTCTCTTCAAGGGAGATGGAGATGCACAGAACAAGCATCAGTCAGACTACGCAGTGCCCGCTTCCTGCCAGGAGGGAATATGGCAAACGTGCTGAGAACACAGACTTTGGTCACGGTGTGACAGAAGTGTCAGCTCCTTCCAGTTCTGCCTGTTTCTAACTTTTGCATTATTTTAGGTGGCACTTCTTAATTCCTCAATCACATCTCGGTGTGACTGCAACTACCCAGACACCGAGAGGTGGTGAGTTTCTAGGCCCCCTTATCACCTTCTGATTGCATTACATCCTTACCTACCAAAGGCAGCCTGAGAATAGCTTTACCCTCCTGGGGACCCTTAAATCAGAGATTAAATGAGGACACGCCATCCTTGTCATGTTGAATTCAACAAAGCGCTTATGAGCCACCTGATTACCTGAGGCCCAGGTGACAACCCTAAGCACAGGACCCAGCTCAGGGAACTGACGGGGCTTATGATGAGCCTTGCAAGCATCAGCAAGTCCGGGAGGAGCAGCCGGTAGGTAGAGCGCCTTCTACAATCATAAAAATCCAGCCACACCCAGACATTCATTACACAAGCAGCTCCTTTTACTAGCCAACGCTGAGCTCTAACAGAGCCGATGAACACAGACTGACTGGGGAGAAGTCACAAACATACGAAGTCAGGTCAGTCATAGCAGCCCCTTGGTGGTCAACAGGGTGATGGCCAACACAACCTGGCCACCTCAGTGCCAAGGAAGACCAACTGGACAGCCAGGGCCAACTCACGACTCTGGTTGCACCAGCACCACATTTGAACGGAAGCAAATTGGTTATGGGAGGTGGAAATGGAAGCCGCCCACCCGTGGAAGTTGGTCTCACTCAACTTTCCCAATGCATGGATGGGGGAAGGCATCTGATTCAACATTAGTGTGCAGGGAAAAAAGGAAAAGGAAAAAAACCTACTTTGTTTTTTAAGTTGTTCGATTTGTTCTTCCTTTAAATCTAATTGCTCTGTGAGTCTCGATGCTGAGTCCAACGCAGCATTTGCTTCATCCAAACGCTCCTGAGGAAGGGAAGGTAATTAAAAAGCAGCATGTCAAACCTGTTGCACACACTATAGGGCTGGGAGGCATCTCAGAGCCAGTGAAACCTTTTCCTTTCCACGGGTGCACTTGGGCAAGGTCATGCAACTGAGCATCAAAGACGGAACCCACACTTCACAACACAACAGTCTCTTTTTAGAGGAACTAACTAGGAAAAGAGGCTGCAATACGAAAAGACATGGTGACAAAACACAAAAAAAGTGACAGTAGAGAACAAAAGCTACAAAAAGCAGATACAATAAGTCAAGAATGATAGCAACAAATGCTCTAAGTTTTGTCAGCCTGATGGGTATAAACTGATGTTTCCTTATTACTTTTTATTTCCCTAACTACTAGTGAGTTTGAGCCCTTTTTTCCTGATTACAGAATGGCCAGATCTGCTCTTCCGTGAACACCTCTTCATGTGCCTTGCCCATCTTCCTATGGAGCTGTCTTTTTCTGGTCGGTGTGAGAGCACATTTTACAGGGGACATGGACTCCTTGTCAGCGGGGCTACCAATATCACTCGCCGGATCTGCCATTTGTCTACTGACCAAATACTTTTGCACGTGAGAGTGTTTAAATCGTACGTGGTCAAACATGTTCTACTTTGTGTTCACAACCTTTTGAGTCCGAGTCATGGTTAGGCTCCTTCTTGCCCCTAGAGTGTACATGTGGTCTTCTACATTTTCTTTTAAGACATTTACTTTTAAAAATATTTACATCTCCAAAATAATGTTTCTCAGTGGAAGTATTTTTGACATCCTGGCCCCAGACCACGAAATGCCAGGAAGCCCATGCCGTCACTGAAATAACCAGAGAGACCCTCGATTTCCAGCGCCGTTCCCGTGGACCACCCTCACCTTACTCTGCATGGAATTTAATTCTGCATATGGTATGACATGGGCCCAGTTTTATTTTGTTTCCTATAGAGAGCCAGTTGTACCAACATCACTCGTTAGATATCTATCCTTTTCCCGTTAAACTTCAGTTAGTTTAGTTTAGGGTTTAGTTTTAAATTCTCAGATCTATCTTGAGCCCTGTTTCTGAATTTCCCATCTCTTCCGCTAGTCAATATGGTACTGATTGATGGCTCTACTTCAATATTTAGTGAGCAAGCCCCTCCTCACTGTTGCTCCTCTGTACAATTTTCTCAGCTGTTCTGGAGTATTCACTCACATACACTTCAGGTCAAGTTTTGCCACACTGAAGCAGAATGCGGTACCTTTTTCCACGTATCATCTTGGACAGACTGTAGCCCCCCCAGTTACTCAATCACACATAATCTACACCGTGCTGTGAAGGTATTCATAAATATAATCAAAGCCTCTCATCAGTTTAATTGAAGGAAGGCACACACATTATCCTGGACGATCAGGGTGGACCAGTTTCAACGGACTGAACCAGCTGAGGATCCTCGGAAGCAGGCCTGAGGCTTCCCCCCGAACAGAAGCACTTCCTGTGTGCGCAGCAACGCCGGGCCTGCCCCTGAAGCCCCCTCTGCCGCGATGCTGCTCCCAAACCACATGCGGACAATGGCTCCGGCCTGAGCCCGTGGGTCTCGGCCAGCACCTCTGTGATCTTCCTGCTCTGCCTGCCGGGCCCGCGGTCGCACCGTCAGCCCCCGCGACACATCTCAGAGCTGTGCACATCGTATGTGTCGTGTGCCCGTCACACACGTGTCACACACAAAGATGTAATATTCAAATCCACAACATTAGGCCTCGTGTAAAGTAAGTTTGAATGCTATTTAGCCTAATTTTGTTTATGGTTAATCAATTATTAAAGCTAAAACTATACTGACTTTATTAAAAATTAATATTCAGATTTTGTTATTCTTTCCGCCATTGTTTCATTTTTATTTCATTAATTTCAGCTTATAGCTTTACTAATTCCTTTTTGTTTCTTCCGATTAATTTTGCTTTTTCCAAATATATGTTACATTTTAAGTTAAAAAAAAACAAAGCTAGTTTAAAAAGAAGATCTGACTTCTATTTGAGCAGTATGACAGACTAGATACTCTGCACCCAATGGAAGCAGCTAAAAGTATTGGATAAAATACTTTAAACATATTAATAAGCCAACCAGGAAGTAACCATGAATGACCAATAAACATTAAAAGATGCCTGACCTCATTAGTCAGAGAAATGCAAACTAAAACCAGGAGAAGAGAGCCCTCTGCCCCTACCACATTGGCAAAAAGTTAAAAACATTCTTATGATGTCAGGTGCTGCCAAGGACATTGAGCGAGAACTCCTACGTACCACTGGTAGGAATGGACTAGCACAAGCACTTCAGAAATCCATGCGCCACCATCTAATACAGTGGGAACTGCTCACACAGATCCCCCGACTCAGCAGTTCCAAGCAAGACACCGCCTGGGAGAAACGCCTGTGATTTGTACCAGAAGATGTGAACAAGGAAGTTCATAACCACATGGTTCGAAGAGCAGATACTGGAAACGTCTTCATCAATCGAATGGCTGAATGAATTATATATTCATTCGATGAACAGAGCAGTAAAGATAACGAACAATCTGCATACAGCAACACGGCTGGAACTCACAGACTGCTAAGCAAAAAAAAGTCTCAGGAAAATTATTCCTGAGACTTTAGTTCAAATGAACTGAACTATATGATGTACATATAGTTCAAAATGCCACTTACACAGAGTTCACAACTATGCGAAGCCACACCATGTGCTGTGTGAAAATGTGCACCCACGTGACAAAACCACACGAGGTGATGAAGGCTGATGAACACAACATGCTGAGGCGGTGGGAGGAGGTGAGGGAGGGGTGGGAGGAGGAGCAACGCACAAGGACCCCCGGGGGAAGGCGCTCTGTCCCCCCCACCCTGGGCGGTGAGTGTGCGGGCCTTCACTGGGTTCCTGTCCTTGTATTTTATACATATTATCTAAACACTGTTCTGCAGACACTCAATATTTAACAATTTCAAAACTTTATAGGAGCTATGGCTTCACTTATTTGGAATATTTTGGTACCTGAAGAGCACATTCACCACCAATGACAGGTATACACAAATTTTATTTCCTACCAACTACCACCAGAATCTAATCAAACTTATTAGATAGATATGACAAGTCATTTTTTGTCATATCTCTTCATAAGGGTTCATTTTGTTTATACCTTATATGCAAATTTTTGTATGTACAAAATGTAACATAATAAAAACATATTTTAAAGGATTATGCTGCACAAAAAGATCTAATGGGATAATATCTATTATTTCAATCCATGCAAAATAAAGTACCTAATATATTTTGTTGAAAATTAGAAAGTTATAATTGTAGATTAAGACTTCCGGCCAAGATGGAAGCGTAGGTGGAAACACTGTGCCTCCTCACACAACCAAGTTTAAGACAACAAAGTTTTAGTAACAAAAACGCAACCAAAACACAGAAAATTGAACTGTATGGAAGTCCAACAATAACAAACCATTCATCCAGACCAGTAAGAGGGGCGGAGTCAGCGGCTGGCAGAGCAGGGCTGCACAGGAAAAAGTGGCAGGACCGACCCAGGAGCTCAGGCGGCGGTTGGCAGATCCCAGGCATGGGGTGGCAACGGGCAGACCCAGTGAGGGTGCGGGGAGGCTGGCTGACCGTGGTCACACATTCACGTGAAGATAAACCATGCAAAGGAGTGAGCAGTGAGACAGACCGTGCAGGCGAGGGCCCCAGCAATGTGAGTTAAAGCCTAAAAGAACCGATTGGAAAGACTTTCGAGGTCGAGGTACCAGGAGAGGCTCCCAGGCTAACAGAGAGTTTGTTGGAGAGACCCACAGGGTCCTGGAGGGTGCACAGGCCCAAACACCTGGGAGACGGCACCAGAGGGGCCCAGTTTGCTTGCGGGAAGCAGCAGAGGGGACTGAAATCTGAGAGAGAGCAGAACAAAAGCCATTGCCCGTCTTGACCCCGCCCCACATACAGCGTCACAACCCAGCAACTGGGTCACCCCACCCTGGTGAACACCTAAGGCTCCGCTCCTCACACTTAACAGGTGTGAACAGACCAAAACATTATGGCTCCAGAAGAACAGCTCAAAGTCCCAGAGCCAATACTTCTAAGCAACCAAGACATAGCCAACTTATCAGATGCACAGTTCAAAACACTGGTGATCAGGATGCTCACAGAACTGGTTGGTTTTAGTCACAAATTAGAGGAACAAATGAAGGCTACACTAAGTGAAATGAAGCAAAATGCACAGGGAACCAATAGTGATGGAAAGAAAAACTGGGACTCAAACCAAGGGAGTAGACCAGATGGAAGAAAAAAATGACCAAACAGAAAACAATGAAGAAACAAGAATTCAAAAAAATGAGAAGAGGCTTAGGAACCTCCAGGACATCTTTAAATGCTCCAACATCTGAATTATAGGGGTACCAGAAGGGGGAAAGGCACAGCCACCAGCGGAAAACTTATTTGAACAAATAATAAAGGAGAACTTCCCCAATCTGGCAAAGGAAATAGACTTCCAGGAAATCCAGGAAGCTCAGAGAGTCCCAAAGAAGTTGGACCCAAGAAGAAACACACCAAGGCACATCATAATTACATTAGCCAAGATTAAAATGAAGGAGAGAATCCTAGAAGCAGCGAGAATTAAAGGGACAGTCACCTACAAAGGAGTTCCCATCAGACTGTCAGCGGATTTCTCAAAAGAGATCTTACAGGCAAGAAGGGGCTGGAAAGAAGTATTCCAAGTCATGAAAACCAAAGACCTACATCCAAGATTGATCTATCCAGCAAAGCTTTCATTTAGAATGGAAGGGCAGATAAAGTGCTTCTCAGATAAGATCAAATTCAAGGAGTTCATCATCACCAAGCCCTTATTATAGGAAATGTTAAAGAGACTTATCTAAGAAAAAGAAGATAAAAAAGATGAACAGTGAAAGGACAGCAAGCTCACAGCTATTAAGAACCACACCTAAAACAAAAGCAAACTAAGAGGACAGCTAGATCAGGAATGAACCATAGAAATGAAGATCACATGGAGGTTTAGCAACAGGGGAGTGGGAGGAGGAGAAGAGGGAGAAGGTACAGAGAATAAGTAGCATAGACCGTAGGTAAATATAGACGGGGGGAGGGCAAGAATAGCATGGGAAATGCAGAATCTAAAGAACTTGTGACACGTGGGGGGGGGGGAATGGAGACGGGGTGTGCAGGGTGGAGGGGAATGAAGGGGGGTAATGGGACAACTGTAATGGCATAATCAATAAAATATATTAAAAAGAAAAATAACTGTAGATTAATTTTTTCTTCCTTGATCTCTAAAGTAGTCATCTGTGCCCCCAAATTAAAATACCCCACTATCTCATAGTTGCTGTTAGTCCCATGAGGAAAACCCCGAGGACCTTGTTCTCTGTGATGCCATGACACAGGGACAGACTGGTCACCAGTGTTTACTAAACTCATCAGGAAATTATTTCCAGGATGACGATGCTATAAGCAATTGCTTTGGAAATAATAATATGTACAGGGGAAATTATTCCAACTCACCTGTAATGATATCAGTTTCCCTTCCTGATTTTCTGCCTTTTTCTTCCATTCTGCTATGAGCTGTTTGTGCTTTTCTAGTTCAGCAGAATACACAGCTTTTTCCTCTAAAGAGAAAAAAAGTTATAGTATTTTGCAATCACGTGATAAAATTAGAGTTTTGAACCACCTGAAATTTTAGTAATTCAACAAAAACCGTTCATATGTCTCAACAGTTATGCATTCCTCAGTGATAGTCTTAACTGGAATTAAGGTAACGGGGTCAGGCTCTTCCGCCTAACCCTTCCCCACCTGGGCCATCTCGCCAAAGTTTCCCTCCGTCCAGAATGCCACTCAAATACTTCCTCTTTGGTAAAGCCTTCCCAGCCTCAGTCCCACACTATTTTGAACACATGTTCACTTTGGTACTATGCAGAGTGGATCTAGAAAACATTTATACTTAAAATTCAAGATTTCAACCACAAGAGTAACCCTGAAGGTCTACAGTGTTCAAGTTCAGAGTTTTACTTAGGCACAAAGCTGAAACTCCTGTTGCTCCATTAGCCTCACATCCCCCAATCACCATTCTGCTCGCCACCAGCATATAATTCACTGCCAATATTACTAAGTGTATGAATAAACAAATGGATGCATAAATGATCTCAGAGGGGAGTAACTCTGAGGGGGGTAGATGTGAAAAAGCATATTCGGTTATCATCGTTACTGTGTCTCCAAAAAATTACTTCCCACCTGGACTAGAAAATAGTTCCCTCAAACTGTAGTTGAAGAGGCAAGAACAGGACCTGTGCTTTTCAGAGGAGAGTGATTACTGACAGTCAACTCTTTAAGTAGGTTCAGCCTCCAGCTGGACCTCATACCAAACCCCCTTTCCTCAGCCCGACACTCTTCCTCTGGGTCCCACGCATGACTGCAGGAGCGTCCTCTCCACGTCCCCCTTACCTTAACTGGTCATGTAGCACTAAGACAAATTTTAGTTTAATTGTAAAAACAGTCTAAATTAACTGGTTAATGCCTGCATATCTTCCCCCCTACAAGTGGGCACCCTTTCAAAGACGCCCACATCCCCACATCTAATCTAAAACAGCACCGGAACAAGCCCAACTTCCCAGTAACGATGGTAACCTTTCCTCACTGGGGGACGGACCGCGCTCACCTTGCTGGAAGTGCTCCAGGACCATCTGCAGGTTGGAGAGCGACAGCGCGTACTGCTTCACCTGCTCCCGGGACACAGTGAGCTGCAGGGCAGCTTCATCCCTCTGCTTGGAGACGACATTCAGCTGTTCCTGCAGTGACTCTACCTGCAAAGTGGCCTGATGGCTTCAAACAAAGAGTAAAAATCAAACTGTTTCTATTTAGGCACTTTACAACATGAAACACCTTCCCTACATTTTTGGATTAAATGCAAATTAGATTTCACACTATTTAGGTAACTTTGATAAGATGAAGTCTCTTTCCTACTTTCTTTATTGTGGTAAAATACACATATTATTTACTACTTTAATCACTTTTAAGTTCGGAGTTCAGTGGCACCGAGGACACTCCCATTATTGCACAACGGTCTCCACCATCCCCCGCCAGCACTCCTGGCCTCCTCCCCAGCTGAAACACCACACTCATTAAACAGTAGCTCCACTTCCCCCACAACCACAATCCCACTTTCTGTCTCCGTGAATCTGACCTTCCCTACATTCTATTATATTACATTCCAGTTAGAGTTCAAAGAATCTTGGAGTGCCTCTGATCTTCATTCTCCCTATTTTGGTTAATGCAACCATCCTTCCTGTGAATAAAGACAGTGCAGGGCTAGACAAGAAATGTCATACCATAAGGAAAATTTATAAATAGCCTGCAACTTTCCTGTTTCCAGGCTAAAACTCTAGAATGTAATTTATCATCAAGTTGTAAGTTATAAGAAACCTCAGAAATCATTTTATCCAGCTTCCAAATCCAATAAGCAACGAATTCTGACACCCCCTTGCTTTTAACATGTGAAATCACAGCCTTCCTAAGGTGAGAGCACTGACTAACTGCTCTGATTACTAGTTAATTATCCTTTACCATTATCTTTCTTACACATTAAATAACCCCTACAACTGCCCCAAATGATAAGTCAAAGTTCCCTAAGAGATTTACATTAATACCTATGCAGACTCGAGTCACTGATATACTATAATTATTACATACAAAATACTGCAAGCCTTTCCTGAGTTTTTAATAATCCAGTTAAATTCTTACTCATGGGCAGCCCATCAAAGCCCATTTAGAACAGCTATTAATATTTTGAGAAGAAACTTTACCCAACTGCACCCTCTTGTGGCAAAAGCAGTAAATTGATAACCAACAGACAACTGCCTTCAAATGTCCGAGTTCTATTCAACTTTGCTGACTGGAAAAGCACTCAAAGGGAGATTGTAAAGATGAAAGGAGCTGTGAGGCCGGCCACTCAGGAGGTTAACAGGTTACCACGTCGTAGTGTTGTTAGGTAAAGACTCAAACACCATAGTCTGGTTTGTAGACTTGTGTTACTTACAAAACAAGTATTTGCTGACGATCTATTAAGCTATGTGTAAGAATGTATGCTTGTGGGAAGGGCACGATATAAATGGCATCCTTCCTGCCCTCAGTGACCTTACATTCCACTGGGTGGAATAAGGTGTAAGATGAGTCAACAATTCCCTGTAAAATATAAGCGCCCTATCAAAGACACAAAAATATTATGCAGGGTCAAAGGAAAAAATATCACCCCAGGGTTTGGTTTTGGACTCGAGGACGTGGGTGCTACACAAAGCATTCTTTAGGAAGGAAATGCTACCTGAAGAATAGGTGAGATTAACAGAAGAACTGTTATAGAGCAGGCCCACTTTAAGGCAGAAGAAAGAGCATGAAATGAAAAAGGAACAGAAAACCAGTGGCCGTATCTGGAGAACTGAGTACTACAATTTGGTGGGACGTGGACTACAGTAAGAAATGAGGCGGAGGTGGTACATGGCCTGGACCCAAACCACGGGGCCCCACGGACTATACAAAGGAGTGCCAAGGCCACAGCGCTCAGCAATGGGCACTCTGGCAATTACCATGATGGGCAAGTGAGGGCAGAGCAGACAGGGCCCAAAAAGTGAGACAGCAAGGTCACAGCCTGAGGGTGTCTTGGCACTTCTGTCTGTGTGAAACACACACAGATAATCACCCACTGTTCTCACTTTACACGAGTTTTCTGAGTGTGACGCAATGATGTGCCCTACCGTGCGGGGGGGCAGTTAACCCTCTGAAGCATGGTTTCTCCTGCCCACAGCTCCTTGCAGACAGATGTTTATCTACCATCTTCTCACTGCTCTGTTAGCGTAACGTGCAGTAAACAAATAAAAATACATGCATAACGGTAATGGAAATAAAAGCAGACATAATTTTTCTCTAAGGTTATTTAGAAATATATTTCAGAAGCTTTAAAAATACCCTTTGAACCAAGCTTCCATTTCTAAAACTTTACACCGAGGAAATAATCCGTCATAACAAAAAATACCTATCTTAAAATTTGACAGCACTCCTAGTAATTCTGAAAAGTTGAAACACTCTACATGTCCAAAAATAAACAACTGGATTAAAGAAATTATGGCAATCCCCAAAATGGTAACTATGTAGCCATGAAACGATACTGCCAGAACATACGGCTTAGTGTGTACTGGTACTCATAGCAACAGACGCAGGTTACACAACAGTATGAATATATGACCTCTAGTTTGCTTTAAAAATACGTAATATGTACACAAATATATCAGAGCATATAAAGACACAAAGAGCAAGATTATTTCTGGGTGGGTGGGACTGTGGCTTTATGTTCTTTTGGTTTATGTGCTTTTAAGTGAAAAATATGTTTTATAATAAGAAAAAAGACATTTTATTGAGAGAAATAAAATTTTTAACTATATAAGTAGGGCCCTGGCTACTCAAAAGTTCTAATAAACCAAGAGTTAATTCACACTAACCTAGATCTTTACCTTGCTACTTCCTTTACTCCCTCCCTTCTTAGAGCCAAACCTTGTTCAACCTTAGATCATTTAATTAAAATAAAATTACAAAAATTTAGCTAAATTACTTCTTTTAGAAGTAAAGCCAGTTCAATCAGTTGGTATTTTCATCTAAACTCCAAAAATTATGAGAAGCAAGTATCCAGGGTAACGGTTAAGACTCAGAGGCCCTCACTCTGAATGCCAGATCCGGTTAAGAGCTAAACCTGAGTGTGAAGCCCTTAACCTGTGGAAGGTTGGTAAACCTCTTTGAGTTTATTCATTAGTAAAACAGAGATCACACATTTTGTGAGAATAAAATGGGGTAAAATACAAAAAATGCTTACTGACTCTCATACTCGAGCGTAGGGTCAACATCAAGGCTAAGGAAATGAGAGGTACCTTGCATTTTCCATTGCACTTGAGGACGAGAGTAGCTTCTCCTCCAACACTGCGACTTTCTTCCTCAGCTTCGCCTCTCTGTCTTCCGCAGCCAAAGCCTCGCGGGTGTGAGAATCTTCTGTCTCTAAAAGATGGTTCCGTAGCCTCTCTAGCTCCTGATTTAAGCGTAATTCTTTGTCACGTAAATGCTGAGCCTAGATAGAGGACATTTTTTTATTTTTCTTCTACAAAATGCTCCCGCCCCTCTATCCCACAAGCCACTGTTATCAAAAACTTCCCCCACGTTGAAGTATATTAACTGTAAACTAGTTTCTCATACTGCAAGAGGTATATTTATGCTGGGAAAAAATGTCTCCTGAAATCATCTTGAACATTCATTTGGGAGGTTCACTTTGTAAGACCTTGGTCCTGTGGCTATAATGGAAAATGAAATTATACAAAGTACTAAGCTTTTTGTCACAGAACTACTTTTTCAGTAAATCTTGTTTTTCCCAAATTTTATGAGCAGGAAGTTTTTTTTTACATCCACGTTATGTCATGGTTTTCACTTTTTTATTTAAAAAAATCAAGGTATATTTTAGGTTCAGGTATACAACATGAATGATTACACCATGATTTTCACTTTGAAAAAATGAAATAAAATGCATTCTGAGAGTTCCAAATTCTACCACAGCACATGAGAGGAAGACTCCACAACAGTCGCCTACGAAAACAATTCGGTTCAGGTGATAATCTTTACAGTTTTCTTACTTAGTCGCTATTAAAGCCAGTGTTGGAAGTGCCGCCTGCCTAGAGTGTACCTCCTTCTGCAGGGCGGTGTTTTCCATCTGCTTCTGTTTCAGGGCCAACAGGACTTGATCTCTCTCCTGCTGAAACGTAACTGTCTTCTCCTGCATTGACTTAACTGTGTTCAAAAGCTGATTCAACTCCCCAGTCTCACCCTTTAGGAAAGAAATAACTTCAGCTTTAAACAGAAATACATTTTAAAAAGACAGTTCTTCATTAATTAGTTTTAAAACATAGCTACCAATGTCAAAGTAACCAAAAAAGGCAAGTCTGAGGGACAGCCAGTCTAAAGGAAACTGAGCGTGCGTGCCACCGTGCCGCGGCGTGCTGGGGGCGTGCTGGGGGCGTGCTGGGGCAGAGAGGCCGTCCCTCAAGGGATCGGGGCCGTTCGAATGGAGTATGGACTTCAGTGAACAGTAATGTACCAACACGGGCTCAGGAGTTGTAACGAGTGTAATGGAACAAAGGAAACTAGGTGTGAGGTACGTGGAAACTCTACAGTCTTTGCAACTCTTCTAATAATCTCAAATGATTCTTAAAGTTTATTAGAGATATTTTTAAAAGAACTCAAAAGACACACTCTGTTCAAAGCTCCCCTAAACAACAGTGCTCACAAATCACTCAAAACAAGCGTGAGAGTGTGCGTCCCCCCCACTCATCAGAGAGACATTCGCAGCTGCCGTTGGAGAGAGTGAGTGCCGGTCAACACACTGGCAGAGGGGCACAGTCCGTCATTCCACGGGCACGACTATTTTAAAAGAATGTTTTGTCAACAATTTAATGAATGAAAGCAACTCTGGAATAGTATCTTGCTGTATGGAGAAATTTATTTTTTTTTTAAAGATTTTATTTATTTATCTTTAGAGGGGAAGGGAGGGAGAGAGGGAGAGAAACATCAATGTATGGTTGCCTCTAGTGCGTCCCCTGCTGGGAACTGGCCTGCAGGGAACCGGCCTGCAACCCCGGTATGTGCCCTGACTGGGAATCGAACCGCGATTGTCTGGTTCGCAGGCCCGCACTCAATCCACTGAGCTACACGGGTCAGGCCGGGAAATTTATTCTTGATTGTATTCTACACAAGTACAATCTATTAAAGATAACAGAAAAAAGATAACTATTGCGCCCTGGCTGGTGTGGGTCAGTCGACTGTACACCAGTGCTAACCAAAAAGTCTCCAGTTCGATTCCTGGTCAGGGCACATGCCTGGGTTGCAGGCCAGGTCCCCAGTTGGGGGCGAGTAAGAGGCAACCAATCAATGTTTCTCACATCAATGTTTCTCTCCCTCTCTTTCTCCCTCCCTTCCCCTCTCTCTAAAAGTAAAATAAGGCCCTGGCTGGTGTGGCTCAGTGGATTGAGCACGAGCCTGCGAACCAGACAACCATGGTTCGATTCCCAGTCAGGGCACATGCCTGGGTTGCAGGCCAGTTCCCAGCAGTGGACACACAAGAGGCAACCATACATTGATGTTTCTCTCCCTCTCTCCTTCCCTTCCCCTCTAAAGATAAATAAATAAAATCTTTAAAATAAAATAAAAGTAAAATAAATAGAATCTTAAAAAAAAAGATAACCATTGCAAAAGTAGGGCCATGAAATTAAGATGATAGCTGGATTTCTGAAAAGCACAAAAAGTGACAGGCTATTTAAATATGCATGTTGTGTGAATCTATACTTAGTGTTATTTCAACTTTTCACGGAAACTTTCCATTCCCTTAATATATAATGTGCCCCCAACATAAATTAAGCTAAGCCAAAACGTAAAACCATCTGTTCCTTTTATCTTAACACTCTCTCCTCGATAGTGAGGCCAGGAGTTTCCAAGTCGTTTTTCAATTAAATTTTTTTCCATATTACAGAAAAAAACCAAGTGATTGAAAAAAGAACAAAGTGATTGGAAGAGTTAAAGACTCCTATTGAGAACACCCCTTTCATTCTAAAAAAAGAGATGTTATTTATTATATTCAAAATATAATAAAGGTATTTTTCAACTACATAGAGTACTGGGAAAAATTAATGTACACTAATTACCTTCGAGTAATAAAGCACTTAATTTTGGCTTAGGGAGCTTCCTGAAAGGTGAGTCTTAATTAAATCTGTATACTTCAGATCTATAAATGTCAATGAAATAGAACTAAATTGTGTAAGGGGCTAAAACTCCAAAAGGAAAAAGTGTACTCAAAAAGAACACCTCCCTGTCCCACACTCCTCTGTTATGACCCGCCAGCCCTAAGACACCACACCCCACCTCGGTTACTGCGCACCAGAAAGATCTTTTTCGTGCCAGCTGCAGACCAGTGCCCCGGGAAGCCCAGAAGCTACACCTACTCAGTCAGATGGCACAGGGGAAACGACTCCCCTTACCGAAGTGCGCAGCACATGAAGCCTTCCCAAACTTGAATCCAAGACTCTAAGAGAGAACTTAACTGGCAAAGGAAGTTAAATCATTTTGTATCACATACCTCGCAGCACTTAACTGTTCAAGAAGCTCTTGTTCAATATTCTCATTTCTTTCCCAAACTTCTATTACTAATACCACAGAAATCAGAGCACTAAGCATAACCAAAATATGAAGTACTACAAGGTCTTTGATATATTCTTATCACAATCAAAATCAACTGCGTGTAAAGATTTAAATATATCCAAACTCCTGATACTTTAAATATGTAGCTGCTACAATCCTCCATTCTGATTGCAGAAACAAACCAACAAGGTCAAAGACACCCAAAGTCACACCAGTGGCAGAGTTGGGAGTAGAGTACTTTCGAGTCTGCTGTGTGAAAAGCACCACTCGTGGCTGATGTTTTGTTAACACCAGGTTCTGCCTCATTGATTCATAAAAATCATCTTAATGGGTCATCAGCACTTCCTTTTTGTTAACGGAGCATCACATACGGTAAAGGTAATTTCTGATTCCTGAAACTTTTCAGTTTTACACACACACAAGTGCTTACTGTGTCACAAGATAAAACATATATATTCTTTCAATCTTTTTGTAATCCTCACTTGAGGATATGTTTATTGGTTTTAGAGAGATTAGAAGGAAGAGAGAGGGGGAGAGGGAGGAGGAGAGGCAGAGACAGACAGACAAACATCAGTCAGCTGCCTCCTGTACGAGCCCCAACTGGGGACCAAACCCGCAACCTAGGTACGTCCCCTGCAACCTTTTGATGTACAGGACCATGTTCTCACCAAGACACCTGGCCAGGGCAGTATTCTTAACACCGACTGTCAAAGACCTAGCATGTGCTTCACAGAGTTTCTCATTATGTTACATTCTCATTAAAAACTTCTGAAATGTTAACCATGACTAGCACCTACTGAAATATGCCTAAAATTTGGTACTAACTTCAAAGTTTCCTCTTGTAACACATTTCTACTTTTTGAAGAAAAATATTAATTGCTACTAACCTCTTCTATTTAACAGGGTGAAAAGAAATTAACCCAGTATTTTAAAATATTTGGAAATGCCCAGTAACTAACCCTGCCCCCTGCCCGCCTCCCTCCACACATGACGCGCCATCCGCCACCCGCCATCATCCTCCACCATCCACCATCCTCCACCACCCACCAGCCGGACGTACCTCCTTTTCTTTCAGCAGCTGCTCGAAAGCCAGGGCCTTCTCTCTCACCGAGTGGCACTCGAACTCCTTTTCTTGCAGCATCACAGAGAACTTCGTATTGGTCTCCTGCAGTGCTTGGTACTCTGTTTCCTTTTCCTTGTTTCTTTCCACTATTTTTTCATTTTCCGTTTTTAACTTACAAATGTCCATTTCTAAGTTTAATATCCTCTCCTTCAGGTTCGTCACCGCCTGCCTCAGCAGCTCGCTTTCGTTTACCTTGTTGGTGTAATTTTCATTTAAGGAGAGTAACTGATCACTTTGGGCTTTGATTAAGAGGTCTTTCTCCTTCAGGGACTTTTGCAGAACGTCTAGTTTGTCCTTCAGCTCCCTAATTTCTGCCCCTGCTTGTTCGTGTTCTTTCCTCCCTAGCTCTGAGGCAGCAGCCACTGAATCGGACAGCCTGTGGTTAGTCTCCTGGAGAGTTCGAATAGTTGCATCCTTGTCATCCAGCGACTTTCTGAGCTCTTCCAACTCCTGCTGAGAAGGCTCACTTGGTGTTTCAGACTGAACTGCTCCACGAGCCTCTGCCGACTGGGGAGTGAGCGATGATCCGGAAGAGAACTGAGGGGAAATGATGTCAAGCTTTCCTAAAAGAAGATCTTTGGTATTACAGAGTTGTCCTATACTGTGTTGGACTTGTGCTAATTCCTGCCCAAAATTTTTGAGCTTGGTCTCATTCTGCTCGTAACTTTGGATCAGACCAGTGTAGTCCACCTGCAACTTTGAATTATTGTCACTGTCCACCAAAACTTGTGCCTGAAGTTGATGGAGCTCCTCCTGAAGCTGGGCTGACTCGTGCTGCATGTTCTGTACTGTGGTCATCACCTGCTGCTTCCACTCTTCCATTTTCTTTACTTGTTGTTTTAACTTGTCGCGTTCCTGCAGAAGCTCCTCAAACTGATTACTGTTAACGCCGCCCACCTGGTCACCGGTGCCGGACGTCTGTAAAACTGTCAGTAAGGTCTGACATTTCTGACTTAATGCATCTATTTCAATGTCTTTTTCTCGAATGATACGTGATAAATTTTGAACAGTTTCTCGAAACATATCTTGGCTTGTACTTTCAAAGTTAGTAGAAAATTTTTTATTTTCATCTTGCAGCTTAATGAGGGCTGCTTCTTTGGCAGCAATGATATCGATCACTTTGTGGTATTCAGTTTTTAGCTGGCTGTTCTCCCGAGTCTTCTCATTCAGAACAGCCAGGAGCTGCTCCCTCTCCAGGGCGAAGGCCTGCAGCTGCTGCTGAAGGTACACGATGTCCTGTGGGTAGGGGGCTGAGGAAATCCTTGCATGAAGAGCCTGTATCTCCAAATCTTTCTGCTGGATTATCTGAGTCAGTTTCCCAACCTCATCCTTGGACAGCTGATCAATCTGTTTCGTTAAAGATATATTCTTTTCATTTAGAAGTTTAATCTCTAATTCTCGCTCTTTTATTCCTTTTACTAATCTTTCCGTTTCAGCTTTAGATAAATCATGCTTTTCACTTCCATTTTCTATGTTAAGGTTCTGAACTTTTGTTTCCTGAAAAATATCAGAATTCTCTGTTTGAACACCCTGCCTTTCTTCATGCAACTGGGTTTTGATTTCTTCAATTGTTTTTTGCAAGGTCTTAATTTCCTCATCTTTCTCTAAACAGAGCTGGGTGTGTGTGACACTCATCTGCTCGTGCTGGTACTTAAACGCATCCATTTCCTTCTTCTGCTCCTGTAAAGACTGAAGTAGTTGCATTTTACTCTGGTTCTGATCTTCAATTACCTTTTGATGATGTTTTATTTTCTCTTCAAGGTCACCCTTTATTACGTTCAGTTGAGACACCTCCGACTCCAGGTCCGTAATGCAGTCCAGGGCTTTAGGCTCGGCCACAGGTGCCGCTCGGCTCTGCTGCTCCCTGAGTCGTTCTAGTTCCTCTTTTAGGTGACTGTTTTCTTCTTTCATAGATGCGAGAATTCTGTCTTTTTCCTCTAAGGTTTGCTTCAAAATTTCAGTGTTTCTTAAGGCCTCGGTATGTTTATCTAATTCCTCCTGGAGCTCTGAACTTCTCTCTTTCAGCTTTTCAATAACGATTTCTTTCTCGTTCATGAGCCCTGCCAAATGCTCCCGCTCCTCCAAACTGGAAGACAGCATGTTCTGAGCCGCCTTGTGGTCACTACCCATCTGCCGGACGTCCCTTCTGAGCGCTGCTATCTCCGAGTCCTTCTCCTGGCTGAGTCTCATCAGACGCTCCTGCTCCAGCTGCAACGCGGCACTCAACCCGCGCACACGCGACAGCTCTTCAATGGTTTGCTCACACTTGTCCACTTCTTCCAACAGTCTCTTTTCAGCCCGACACAACTCTGCTTCTAACTGTCCTTTTTCCATTTTTAGAGTCTCCAAAATAGTGTTTTTTTCTAGAGAAGTCTGACTGTTACCAGCAAGGGATTCTTCCAACTGATGTCTTACCTCTCCACATGCTAAAACCAACTTTTCATTTTCCATTTTGAGATCAAAAGCAGCTTTCTTTAAATTTTCATTGAGCTGTTCTACTTCTGAAAGATTTTGCCTTAAGTTTCTAATGTCAGCTTCCCTTTCTTTAAGTAAGTCATCCTTAAAATTACTGTCAGAGTCTTGATTAAGAGGCTGAGTAAACTCATGCCTGACTCTAGAAAGTTCCTCCTCCTTATGCTTAATATGCTCCTTAAGTTCAAGGTTCTCCTTCTGGATATTTAAATTATTGTTCTGTGATTTACTTAGTTGATCTACTAAATTTTCTATTTTCTCCTCTAGCTCCTGCTTGCCTAAATGCAAGCAATTCAGGACCAGCTCATTCTGAATTAACTTTTCTTTCTGCACATCTAACTCTTTAGCAATGTTCACTTTGTCATCTTCGAGTTGATGAACTCTCTTTTTTTCATCATCTAGCTCTTTTTTCAGGTGACTGATGATGTTATCTCCCTCCGTTTGTTGTTTTGATAGCTGATCTTTTATCAAAATCATGTGCTGAAAGAAAAATTAATTAGCATGTTAACTTTAAAACATTCTCTCATTTTAGTACCTAAATTTTTTTAATAAAATTTCATACACAATAAAATAATAATCCTGACATTTCTAATCCTTCTTAAATGCTTTAATAACTATCCCCATAAAATTACTAATATTTTACAGCAAATCTATTTTATCATTTTAGAGATTAGAATTTAAACTAAAGAAGGTAAAAATATACATTGTTTATTTCAACTGTTAAACATGGGGCAGGAGTCAACAGACCATAGCTAATGGGGCAAATCCTGCCTGCCACCTGTTTTAGTGAATAAAGTTTTATTGGAAGAGCGCATGCTCATTTGTTTATATATTATAACAACAGAGTTGAGCAGCTGAAACTAAGACTGCATGGCTTGCAAAGCTGAAAAAATTTACTAACACTCTACAGAAAAACTTCGCCAACCTCTTACAACCAGAGCATCAATGAGCAAAGTATCATTAGAACGCGAAGTTAAATCACACCGATCACCTGTGCTGGTTAACCTGGTACGCAGACTCCTGAGCAGAAGGTCCTGCCACGCGGTCTTTCACATGGCGCTCCTTACCTTTGTAGCCTCCTGGTTCTGCTTATCCAGCTCCTCCAACTCTGCTGCCAGCATCTCCTTCTCAGTAAGGCTCTGGTTGAGTTCTTGTTCCTTTGCCTCCAAATCACGTCTTAGGTCATGTAATTTCGATTCCAAATCCATGTCTTTTACAGCTGTACTTTTCATTTCCTCATGTTCATTGTTTAGTTTGAAAAGTGATATTTGAAGTCCTTCCTTAAGTGAGAAAGGAGAAAAACAACATACACTATCATTTGGAAGAAGGGACACTGAGAATAAAAACATGAACACAATTTTGGGAATCAATTTTAAACGCTGTGTCAGAAACATTACTGAATAATACTTCAGCAATCACATACAAAATTCATGAACCACAGCCTTCATCCGTATACACAATGTTTCTACAACCCTAGGCAGGAGTGGACGACCACAACCTCGCCCTCTGACTCTAGCTTCTGCAGACACATGCTGCCATCCGAGACCCCCCAGCCCATCCCACCGCTGCTTCTCTGTGGTCCCCACCCCTCCGCCCACAACATACTTTCCCACACAGCCAGCCATCTCCTGGCTGGCTCTCTCAGCTTCATTTCCTAACAGCCGGTCACCAACAGCCATAGACAAAAATGTGAAAAATCAACACCTGTTCATTCAGAAGTGTCTTCTAATTAAAATACAAAGGCTTCTTTTCCCTCGTTAAAGGAATTTCCTGTATTAACTGGCTTCTGTCACCATGAAACCTTTTCTTCACCAAGAGAGTACCCTCTCTTCCTTTTTTTCCCTTCTAAGCTGAGTACATACGAGGTTCTCCCTTGTCAAACAATGTTTGTAAAGATATATCTACGCGTGTTTTTTTAGTGCATTTATGTTCTCTTCTATTGGTATTTAATGCTTTCCTTCCAAAATCCAAGAAGTAGGACAGTTCTCAATGCTTCAATATTATTTCAACCTCTTCCCAGTCAGGGCACATGCCTGGGTTGCAGACCTGTTCCCTGTAGGCCAGTTCCCAGCAGGAGATGCACAAAAGGCAACCATACATTGATGTTTCTCTCCCTCTCTCCTTCCCTTCCCCTCTGAAGATAAATAAATAAAATCTTTAAAAAAATTTTTAAAAATATTATTTCAACCTCTGATTATGTGTGTGATAATGCTGCAATGCCTTCTTTCATTACTATATTTTTAAAAATCAAATTTCTATGGAATATACATTAAAGTGAATAAGAATCTCAAATTTCCATAGTTCAATATACACCTTGCAAGAAACAAATGAAAACTGTACTGGAATATCTGCCTCATAGTTCTCATTATTCCTTTCTTCCAACACAAGCATCCATTCTGAATTACAACTGAAAGATGAAAACAGTACTCTCCTATGCCTTTTAGAGCTATCTGTAAAGTTAGGAGAACGACAAAACTTTTTCCAGGTGGATCTCAAGATCACATACAGCCTTTCAGCATTTTTAACCAGCGAGCAGACACATTTCAAGGAAGAGTTACAATGGATTATTCAACATAAAAAGAAAGGATAAACAGCTATCATAAATAGCTACAAAATCCAAAAATACCACGAGAAAGTTACAAGCCCTATCGGACATGTGTAGAGAACTGCAAACTACACAAAACTCCTAGGCCAGTTAACAGAAAGAAGTAACTGAAAGGAGCAGAATGCAAGGGGAGCAGAAAAGAACAGAGGAAACAGTTATGATACAGTCACAAAAGATGACTGAGAGACAGGGCTGGTGCTAAGGGGCCACAAAAAGTGGGTACGAGGGCCCTGCGACGAACAGGACAGTTTACGTGACCAAGAATCGTCCCAGGCTGAGTGCAACAGCCTTTGAGTGCAGCACCCCTTTGAGAAACGCTGCCTAGATACTCCCATGAGAGAACGTCCGAAGTGTGCTAAGGCACGTACGAACAGTATGCAAGTATTTGTACTCTAAAAAAACGATGTATCCATCGTACACGCGCAGCTGTAGTCTGGCAGGACATATAAGGAACCGGGGGGAGAGGCGGCCTTGGGAGGGAGGCAGCCAACAGAAGCACGGCTAGTCCGCCTCAGTGCCTGAAGTTTTTCAGAATGTATTACTCAATGTGTGTATCAGTAACTGTGTTACTTTTTAAAAATTAAGGTCTTAAATTGAGTTGAGACACTTGCCTGTAATAAATACCAGCTTATCACTGCCCTATATTTAAACACCTGCCTTAGTCAAGGAGTTAGCTCCCCAAGTGGTACAACATAAAATTACCTTTCCCCACACCCAACACGGCATCACAGAATCTTACGCTATCCTTGCTACCCGTATATGCCAGAGACCCTACTTCCACCACCGAGAATGCCCCTCGTCACCCCTCCCCTCTAAGAAAGCCCTGTGCGCCACACCAGAGGCACTCTGGGCCAGGTAAGCAGGACGTGGTCACCGCAGCACGCCGCTCTGACTCCTGACCCACCTGTGTGTGCTGCTGCCGTCAGGACTTCATCAGAAACCGAAGAAGAACCTTCACCTACATTTTCTGCTCGTGTCTCCGTGCCCACTGGCTTATCTCTAAACATAGACTCTGGCCAGCCTCTCATACTCTGAACTTCAACCTGGCCTACGAGTCATCAATGAGATCAGCTTCCTCAGGATTCTCAAGAACTAAACACCCATTCCTATAAAATCAGCCCTTAGCTGAGACTGGTATGGGACACACACACCATTACAATGCCGCCCCCATTTTCATTACACCCACCTTTTCTTCACTCAACAAGGAATTCTCTTTCTCTAACACCTGGACACGCATTCTAAGTTTCAGATTGTCTTCAGCAAGATTATCCTATAAACATGTTAAAGACAGTGTTTCAAATAATAGGAAGTTTCCAGTTTACAAGAAAGTGGGCAAGCTATACAACTGTGTGTTTCTACTCAGCATTTCTTTAGTGATATATAAAAATTGTAAGCAAAAGCCAGTCACTCACTTTATAGACATGTGTAGAGAAGATTTCTTTATTACATTTGAAAAAATATATGTAAAGACATTTACAAAATAACCTATAATCAGAAGAAAAAGAAACAACTCCCTAAATATCATAAAGGGAAATCAAAATACATTCCTCACTTTGGTAGAGGATTGGCTTCCACTGTTGCTTCAAATATAACATTAGTCAAATTAATCTTCAAAAAAATATATTTGCGTTTTTCAATTATGCAACCTTTAAAATTATCAATATATAATGCAAAAAGTGTGTTATGAATGAGCAAACATAAAATTATTAAGATAAATGTTCTCAGGATAAATTCGCATGAATTTGTAAAAAAGTTAAAATACAAAATAAGCAACTATAAATAATCAAAATACTCATTTTTTGGTAAGCTAATGCCAAAAGCTTTCTCTCTTAAAATGAGTTTACCTGGTTTAAATTACTCAGTCTTGTTATCTCATTTCCAGCATCTGTAAACAAAACAACGGATCTCACATTAAATTTCTTTAAAATAACTGAATACTTATCTCCTAAAGTTAAACTCAGAAATGAGGCCCAATTAAAATATATTTTAAGAACAATTTGTAAGCCCTGTGTTATTAGGTGAAGCATATTTTTGTTATTTTGCATTTGTATTTTGACTATTCTAGGAAATCATAATATAAATGCCAGTTATAAACTATGTCAAAATCCAATTCTATGACACAATATAAGACAGAATTATAATTGTATTCTGACTGAGTCATGAGTTATTGCCTTGATGAAAGCAATTACAACTGTTTCAAAGTGAGCTGATTAGTTTGTGTAGAAGGAAACAGTATAAGGACTAAGACTGGGGGGAAAAATACTCAAAAGCACAAATCTATATTTATACAACAATACAATAATCTATTAATTCTCTGAAGTGACTTAAACAGGACTACCAAAAAGAAGACCATTCAATATGGTATTCCAAATATATCTATAAATAGAACGGGTTTTATTTATATTCTGTAGATATATTCTGGAGACAGAATACCATGCGCTGAGCTGAAGTAGTTCACTCAATGTTTACACAGGAAACACTGAACTTGAATATGAGGTCAGCTGCTAGACAATGGAACGGAGAACCTGGAGGAGCCAGAGGGAGGACAAGCAAGCACATGACAGCACCGCAGGGTGACACAGGAGCACGAGGTGCTGCGACGGACCAGAGAGGGCAAACTCCTAATCAGGCTGGCTGGAAGTCAGGGTGCTGGTGTGGCCAGGGAAGCAGCTGCTCTGGGGGCCTCCAAGGGAATAAAATGCCTGCACCGAATCTCAATATGCAAAGAGTCAGTGAAAGAGAAACACTCTACACAGAGAAAGCAGTACATGCAAAAGGCACAGAGCTGAGAGACAGCACTGCCAGCTTATGGAGCTGTGTACGAAGTTCAAAGTGGCTCAACTTGAGACTGTCAGGAAAGGGAGAATTGAAGCTGAGGAGGCACACAGGGAACAAAGCATTGTAACATTACATAACTGATTTAAAAGTTTAAACTTTATCCTGAAGTTCACGGGGAGCCCCAAAGTATTAAAGCCGGGAAAGTAATCTGCTTTGCATTTCTGAAAAATCATTCTGGCTGCAGAAAGAAAAAAATTTGAAAAGGGATCACGAAGTACAGAGAATAAGAATAGCTAACACTTTTATAATGCTTACTATGGTCTAGACACTGTTCTAAAGAGAACTTTGCAGCTAGTAACTCATAAAATCCTTATTACTACTACCACAACTATGAAGAAGGTAATATTACCACAACCATATAGATGAAAAAAACAAAACAGAAATGTTAATTAACTTGCTCAAGGTCAGCCACTTAGGCCCTAGCTGGTGTGGCTCAGTGGACAGAGCACCGGCCTGCAAACCAAAGGGGCGCTGGTTCCATTCCTAGTCAGGACATATGCCAGGGTTGCAGGCCAGAGGCAACCACACATTGATGTTACTCTCTCTCCCTTTCCCTCTCTAAAAATAAATAAAATCTTATAAAAAAAAAAAAAAGTTCAGCTGGTTAGTGATAGAACTGGATTCCAACTCCATCATGTTTTTAACCACTATGCTATCCTGCTTTGTTCAGACCATAAAAGTTAACAAGGCATAATGATTGGCTGAAGTTCTTCAGTGGCATAGCGGTGGAAATGGAGAAAAAGGGGAAGGCCTAGGGCAGTAGATTCATGTAGATCACCTAATACGTTAAATAAATAGATACATTTATTGAAAAGAGCAGAGCGACTTGGAGGCCCAACAAGAAAGAAGTGCAGAACCCTACTGCCCAGCCTTCCCTCTGCCTTCGTGGCCGCTCCCAGGACACCTCGAGCCCCTCTGGGATTCAATACCAAAATGCCAGGGAACCCAAGAGAAGCTAAGGAAACGGAACCTACAGGACTCGCTAAGGGTAACTTCCAATTTCCTATTTTGGGAGACTGGTAAATGCTACCAATTACCAAAGTAGGGAAAATAAGAGGGTGGGAACATGGAGACTTTACTTTGAACCTTACTTGGCCTTAAATTTAAACGGGGCTGGCTATCCAGGTCAGGAACTCATGATAAACTACGAGGCCAGGAATACAGATGGGGTAGGACGCTCACGAGCACTTAGGAGCTAGAGGCTTCTGGAGCAAGGATGAAGGAGTTTGTGGAGTGAGAGTTCCACTGTGAGAAGAGGATACAATGCATCGTTTCTACTGACGAGCTCCCACTGTGTTTCCCCGGCAGGAGTGCATACTGCTGCTTAGCCGATCTCAGTCACTGCCTGTGTTTGTAATGTAGAGCACTGGTATGGTAACGAAATATCTAGAGCATGGACAATGGCAGAAGACCTATGGCTCTTATCATTCTCAGGTTTGCTCAGATTCATTTCGAAACAATACACAATTTGGAAGAAGGTAGGCTGATTCCCTACCTGGAGGGTCTGGGCACTCATGAATTCTCATATAGAAAATATTTGGTTCTACAGAGATGAACAGAACCAGAAAAGGAACCATTTCTGCTCCCAAGAAATGTCTATACAAACATTTCTCAGAAATTTGCATGGCCTCCTGAATCAATCAGTTCCATGTAAATGCTTAAAAAATGAGGAAAGGAGGTTAAGAGACGACTACCAATACTTAACCCTTTTTAGTAGAAAATTCCTATTTGTGATCTATTATGGCTGAACTGAATCTAAACCAAACAATTCGGTTCAAATTCCACAGTCAATTCCATGAATATTCCATTTCCACACAGTACCCAGGTATAGAAAGAGGTTGTCTCTAAAACAATTAGTATGCAGTGAACTCCAAACATTTTATACCGGACAAGGCTTGCTGTGGTCTGAATACTTCTTCGAGTGATGCATCCTGTGGAAGAGTTCTTTCCTTTTCCTTCACATCATCACTTTGCTTCATAGCGTAAGATTGCAACTTACTACATTCCAGTTTCAAACTTTCACATTCTTTAATTATTTGTCTGTTTTCCACATTTAGTCGTTCTTGTTCCTTCCTCAAAACTTCCCTGTCATTTTCAGAAGAAGATAGTTTTTTACGTATGTCTTGTATTGTATCTTCAAGTTCTTCTATTTTTTTTGTAGACTCTACTTTTTCAGTTTGTAGAACGTGAATAGTTCTTTGCATCTCATGGGTTTTAGAGTGATCAGTTACCACAGTTCCTGAGCCACCTAGAACCATAAACAAATGTACCAAGGGTTAAGTAGCTTATTATACAACACAGACTTCAGATTTTGGAAGGCTAGAAAAGTTGAAACAATTCTGTAATACTATACTCCTATTGGACGGTAAAACCCCAGAACAATGACACCAACAAATGCTTGTGAGGGTGTGGAGTCACAGGGGCTCTGACCCATTGCTTGTGGGAGTGCAAAATGGTCCACTGCTACGGGGGGCAGCTTGGTGATTTCCTACGAAACTAAACATACGCTCATCACGTGATCCAGCAACCATGCTCCTTTGTATTTACCCAAAGGAGCTGAAAGCTTATATACACACAGAAACCCCAACAAGGATGCTTATAGAAGCTTTATTCGCAGTTGCCCAAACCTGGAAGCAATCAAAGTGCCCTTCAGTAGGTGAATGAATTAATAAATTGAAATATATCCAGACAATAGAATATTTTTCAGGACTAGGAAGAAATGAGTTATCAAGCCATGAAAAAATGAGGAGGAAATTTAAAGGCATGTGAAATAAGCCAATCTGCAAAGGGTACATACTGTATCATTCCAACTATGACAATTCTGGAATAAGCAAAACTACAGCAGCAATAAAAAAATCAGTTGCAGCCCTGGCTGGTGTAGCTCAGTGGATTGAGCACGGGCCTGTGAAGCAAAGGGTCACTGGTTCGATCCCCAGTCAGGGCACATGCCTGGGTTGCAGGCCAGGGCCCCAGTAGGGGACACATGAGAGGCAACCACACATTGATGTTTTCTCTCCCACTCTTTCTCCTTCCCTTCCCCTCTCTCTAAAAAATATATAAATAAATAAAATATTTTTTAAGAAATCAGTTGCGGCTCTCACTGGTGTGGCTCAGTGGGTTGAGCACCCACGTACAAACCAAAGGGTTACTGGTTCAATTCCTAGTCAGGGCACATGCCTGGGTTGTAGGCTGGGTGTCCAGTGAGAAGCATGCGAGAGGCAACTGATCAATGTTTCTCTTGCACACTGATGCTTCTCTCCCTCTTTTTTTCCCTCCCTTCTACTCTCCCCAAAAAGGTAAATAAATAAAATCTTAAAAAAAAAAAAAAGAAAGATCCGCTGCATGGGGATAAAGAGGGGATGAACACGTGGAGCACAGAGCACTGCCGGGAAATGAAAACATCCCGTGTGACACAATGATGACAGATGCGTGCCACCACACATTTGCCCAAATCCACAGAATGGACAACACCGAGAATGAACTAAAATAAACCCTGGACTTTGGGTGATTATGATGCGTCAATATAGTTTCATCCTTGGTTTCAAAAAGAAAAAAGGACCCCTCTGACGAGTGACGTTGATGGTGGGAGAGGACATGCAGGTGGGGGATGGGAGCAGAAGGGGACAGAAGGGAAATCCCGTCCTTCGTAATTTTGTTGTAAAATTAAAAATGCTCTAAAAAATTAAGTCTAGAAGAAGTTAAATAACTACATATAAGTAGCAAAGCATCTAAAAGTGAACAGTTGGGGAAAGCTATCTGAATCGAACACTAACACGTATCTGAGTTTGGAAGGAAGTGGCACTGCATCGAACGCACACGCGGTCTCTGCACTGCGACGTTTCACCACAGGGGCAGAGGGGCCTCCCGTGTCGGCAGAACCGTGACTGTGCGGCGCCGCCGCACCTTTCTGTGGCGGGGGCAGGCCTGGCCAGTTACTCAGTCTTTAGAGCTCTGCCCAACTTTCTACCAGTGCCCTGACCATACAGTGCCAGGTTCGTCACTTAAAATGTCACCGAGTGAGTTAAGTCAATGAAATTCATAACCTTGTTGTAACAGGTTTTCCAGTTCTTCAATTCGTTCTTCATATTCATTTAATTCTTCTCGATGCCGACGAGTTATTTCTGTCAGTTTCTGTTGATGTGCATTTTGTAAAAATGACATTTCATTTTGATGATCATCAATTTCCTGACTTCGGCTCTTTTTAAGTTCCTTAAAAAGAAAAACAAAGTTAACCACATTAATAATCAATGAATTTATCTAAGCTATTTCATTTTTGTCCAAAAGTCTATATTATTAAAAATAGCTCTCCAAATATGCTAAGGCTAAAAAGAATTTAAACACAAGCCCCAAATTTGGACAATTTGAGACTTCACCCTTTCTTTTCTTGGGCCTTAAAAATAGTTTCCCTATTTTTAATGGGGGAATACCAGCAAGGAAAAAACTGAAAAAGTGAGCAAAAATATCTTTAAAAAAAAAAAGATTTATTTATTTTTAGAGAGAGTGGAAGGGAGGGAGAAAGAGAAGGAGAGAAACATCAATGCGCAGTTGCCTCTCAAGTGTCCCTTTTGAGGGACTTGGCCTGCAACCTAGGCATGTGCCTTGACCGGGCATCAAACTGGCAACCCTTTGCTTCACGGCCTATACTCAATCCACTGAACTACACCAGCCAGGGCCAAAAAAACTTTTTCCTAGTGTGTGACCATGAACAACTCCTGCTAATGACATTCCACCAGTATCAGTGTCAACCTTCTGGCCAGGGTGTCACTGCTGTCCTGTTACCCCATCCTCCCGCTCAACTGCTCCTTCCCCATCTCGATGGGACTCCCGAACTGTCAACCAGGGTGGCTTGCTGCCCACGTTGAAAGCCCCAGCTCTCTCACAGGAAGCTAGACCTTGGGTTGAGTCCCTCCAAGAGAGAAACTGGTTAAACCAGAAGCAGTTTGATAGCTGCATCCTCAGGAGACAGTCTACTGTGTCCCACTTCCCAAATCCTCGCTGCTGTTCTCGTTCCTGTCTTTTCTGAGGCCCAAATGCTCCAATCTTCCTTCAATCCTGTAAACAAGCTACCCTGGGTAATTTCAATCAATTGATCAATCACCAGTCAATAAATCCTCTTGTTCACTTTGCCATCTCTGGTTTTCATTGCTTGTGATGAGGAACCCTAATCTATAAATTAGCTTCCATTTTCTGTGAAGACAAGTGAAGTTCCTCTTTAATCCCATGCACCTGTGTGCCACCACCTGGCAAGGAGCTTTACGTTTGCTCTTCAAACAGTCCTACGAAGGCAGCATTAAGATGACATCTCCTTTAACAAGAATAAGACAAAAGTTGCCCAAAGAAGCACAGCTTGTAAAAATAGAGCCTGGATTCAAACACAGGTCTGACTCAGAACCCACACTAGTACTGTAACAATAAAAACAACTAAAAACTTTACATACACTAAAAACAATTCATTACCATGAAGAGAATATGTAATTAAAGATTTTTCTCGAAGGAAATAACTGATACAAACTAGCAAAATTCCAGCATTAGGAGAAAATAATTAGTTGTAATGTGTAACATCAGCATTTTGTCAATATCCTTTAATCCTAAACACTGAAACTTCAGCAAATTAGAATTATTTTATTAAAGACCATTTTATGAAATACAAGAGAAAATAGAACCAGAATATAAACTACCTAATAAATAAATGTTTAAGACAAATTATTTTGGAGATATATATTTTATTTATATACCTTAGCTGTCATAAAGAATAAGATACAAAATAGTAAAAAGAAATGAATATCATAATCCAGTTACTTTTATAGCTGAGATTTTATTAATTTACGCTTATAATTTTCATAAGCAAATGCCTCACCTGGATGGTATTTTGCAGTTTGCAGATTTCACTTTGATCAGAGCTATTCGGTCCTTGTGCTTTAGAAATCTAGATCAGAAAAACAATTAGAAAATTTTATCGATCTTCTTATAAAAAATGTAGTCACAGACTAACTTTATTAAAAAATACTTTTCAAAAATAGGGCATTTCCCAGACAAATTACGATTAAAGAATGCCAAGAACCTCTGAAGCAACTTAGTCCAATAGTGACTAATAAACAATAAATAAAAAATCCCATTCAAGCCCTGACTGGTGTGGCTCAGTTGTTTGGGGGTCATTCTGCAAAGCAAGAACTTGCTGGTTCAATTCCTGGTCAGGGCATGTACAAGAGGCAACCAACCAACCAATGTTTCTCTCCCTCTCTTCCTCTATCCAAAAATAAATAAACTCTAAACTCTTTAAAACAAAACAGATGCCATTCAAGAATATGTTAACAGTTTAACAAACTAAGAAGGAAAGCACCATAGAATATTTTACTTACTGAAGAAAATGCATATTTGGTAACAACTAAGCAGCTTCCTAAAAGGTAATTTCTAAAATGAAAAGTTATCCAATATTAATAATAATAACAGTAAAAATCTTTAAAAAATGATTTTACCAAGAAGTTCTACACCCCAATATAGAATCTTTGCTTTGACAAGTAAATAAAAGAATTTTGGATTCTTCTCGTCTCATTCAAAGCTGCATGTTGTTCGCTTACCTCTCTCAACATTTATTAAACAGTGTGATTAGGAACCCAAACGGCTCTCTGGGTGGAAGAAAGAACACAGTACGACAGAAAGAACATAGGATGTGGGGTCAGAAGACGTGTTTGAATCACAAGTTGACCACTGTGAAAATGGGTGTATTACTTAAACTTTTAATTTGCTCATCTATATAAAACAGAAGTAATAAATACTTCATATACCTAGTAAGAGTAATATGAGGTAGGTAGATACACTTTGCCTCCTTGCACAACCAAAAAGGACAACATATTTAAAAACAAAAACCAATCAGAACTGCAAGAAAATTGAACTGTATGGAAGTGTGACAACTAAGGAGTTAAAGAAGAAACATTCATCTAGACCAGTAGCAGGGACAGAGATGGGCAGCTGGGCGGAGAGGAATCATGGGAAGGCGCTGGCTGGCGGACTGTGTGGTCCCACATTTGCCTGCGGATAAACCAGGAGGAACAACTGGGAAGTGAGACAGACCACGCAATCCAGGGTTCCAGTGCAGGAAAAGAAAGCTTCAGAACCCGTTGCTATAAAAACCTGTGGAGGTTGAGGCGGCAAGAGAAACTCCCAGCCTCACAGGAGAGTTCACTGGAGAAACCCACAGGGTCCTAGAATATACACAAACCCACTTACCCAGAAATCAGCACCAGAAGAGCCCAATTTGCTTGGGGGTAAGGGAGGAAGTGACTGAAAGCTGGCTGAGAGCTGAGCAAGTAGCAGTGTTCCCTCTTGGACCCCTCCCCCACATACAGTGCCACAATGCATCCATGTGGGTTGCCCCCACCTGGAAAATACCTAAGGCTCCCCCCCTTACTGGTAACAGGTACACCAAAACAAAAAAAAATATGGCCCAAATGAAAGGACACATCAAAGCTCCAGAAAAAATACAACTGAGTGATGAAAGATAGGCAACCTATCAGATGCAGAGTTCAAAACATTGGTAATCTTTTGCTCACAGATGCTCACAGAAATGGTTGAGTATGGTCACAAAATAGAGGAAGGAGTGAAGGCTATGCAAAATGAAATAAAGAAAAATGTACCAGGAATCAACAGTGAAAGGAAGGAAACCAGGACTAAAATCAACAATTTGGACCAGAAGGAAGAAATAAACATTTAATCAGAACAGAATGAAGAAGCAAGAATTCAAAAAAGTGAGGAGAGGTTTAGGAAACTCTGGGACAACTTTAAATGTCCTAACATCCAAATTATAGGGGTGCCAGAAGGAGAACAGGAAGAGCAAGAAACTGAAAACTTATCTGAAAACATAATGAAGGAGAACTTCCCCAATCTGGCAAGGAAAATAGACTTCCAGGAAGTCCAGGAAGCTCAGAGAGTCCCAAAGAAGTTGGGTCCAAGGAGGAATACACCGAGGCACATCATAATTACATTAGCCAAGATTGAAGATAAGGGAAGAATCTTAAGAGCAGCAAGAGAAAAGAAGAGCATTACCTACAAAGGAGTTACCATAAGTCTATCAGCTAATTTCTCAAAAGAAACCTTGCAGAAAAGGAAGAGCTGGAAAGTAGTATTCAAAGTTGTGACAGCAAGGGTCTCCTGGTGAGAGGGGGTGGGGAATAAACAGAGCAGAGGGGAATAAACAGGAGAGAAAAAGTGGGACAACTGTAATGGCATAATCAATAAAATATGTTAATTTTAAAAATAGAATAACATACTGGAATAGTACATGTGAAAATACCTTATAAATTATAACTTTTATTATGCCATGCTAGAAAATTAAGTTTCCTGAAAGGTTCCGTTTATGTTTTCACCTTTATATCCCAGTACCTGTCTGGGATATAGTAGGCATTCAAGGTACACATACAAAAAAATCCACAAAATCCATCTCTTCCTTACAAAATCTTACCCCAAGCAATGTTTCTTAAGATGTATTCCTCATCAGAGTCACCTAGGGTATTTATTTGTTTGAATGTAGTTTCCAGTGATCCAAAACAGGCTACAAAACCCTAATCTCTGCAGGGGGGAAAGGGAATCTACAATGTTATCGAGTTCCCCAGCTCAGTCTTACCCATACGAAGTTTAAGAACAACTAGGTTTTTAGAGATAAGATGAATAGAGCGTCCTCTAGATTTTATTTATCTTCCTTACCCGAGGACATGTTTTTCATTGATTTCAGAGAGGGAGAGAGACAGAGAGACAACGATGTGAGAGAAACACCGACAGGCCCCTCCTGCACGTGCCCCACCTGGGGATCAAACTCAACCTGGGGATCTGCCCTGACACCCTTGGGTGTACAGGACGACGCTCCAACCAAATGAGCCACCACCTGGCCGGGGCTCTCTTGATTTATTTTGGGTATTAGAAATGTCTAGCCACTTGGGAAGCAAGGAGGTCATTTTAATTAGGAAGATTTCTCCTTTCCACAATTACATTATGCTACAAAAAGATAGAAAATAATATCTTTACTTCTATACTTTATTTTTCTCTACACTGATGAAATTAAATTCATACAGTATCCCAATTTATTTTGAATCTCATGTCCGTTGACAACCTTACTAATATATATAAAATAGCAAGGATGTAATTTTGAATGCGTGAGAAACAACATAAAATAGTCGAATAAATCTGTAATACTGACGATCAGCTTTTCATTTCACATACAACCAATGCAAACAGGCACCGCGGCCAACACCCGGGAGAGTGATTTCGCATCACGGGTCTCGGAGCCCTGATTTCACCAGCAAAGCCTTGGGACTCCAGGGCAAAAGGTGCTGGTTCAACCACAGCAAGTCCGTTTTTACTTTGAAGATTTATTCTAAATGCTGTGCAGAAGGGGAAACTGAGGCTGGGAGAAAGATGGCCTGATTAAAATCCCTTAGAAAGTGACTGGCAGAACTGGAACACAGGTCTCCATTTCCCACCCCCGAGCTCTTCCTGACACCGAAAGCTCCATGCACAGCACAGCACTTTCATTCACTCAGTTTCCAAAAATTCATGGAAAGTTTACTACCTGAGCAATATGTCTCCAATGTCCAACTTCAGATTCAAGTCTGGAAATTTCATTTGACAGTCTGTTTATTTCCTGTTGTGATGAAATTATGTCACCAAAGTCCATGCCATCATCATGGAAGGCTGAAGCGTGGTGACCGACGCCATAGCTGAACGAAGAGGCAATGGCTGCCGGCCCGCCGCCGGCTCCTGAACTTGCGGAATGAGCAGCTGACTGCAGCTTCTGCAGCTGATCCTGGAGTGCACTCTGTCTTGCTTTAAGATGACTAATTTCCACCTATATATTAACAACCCACATTTTAGAGAAAGTACTTTAAAAAATACATACACTTTATTAATACTACGTTTTATTAATATGAAGTTATAATTTACTCAACATTATCCAATCCTAACTGTATCCAATGGTACTCTTTCAACTGAATCCAAATCTTGTATCACATAACATACCAACCATGACATTTCTATTTAAAAAACAAACAGAATTACCATAGTTAAAGCATAGATAATGTTTTAAATAGTATGGATATGATAATTTCACTCATATGGTAACTGAAGCAATGAAATTCTCATTAAACATGGGTTTACTATCTTCTATGTATCAGGTAGGATGGGCAATTTCTCAGAGTTCTGTTTGTGATTATCGAACCTGAAATGAGGAGAAAGTGAAAGCTGAGTCAGCCTACCCACTGAAAAGTTTCTTGACATCTGGAGAAAACATCTATTGGAAGAGTCTTACGTAACTGATTACGGCTGTGAGGAGTAAAATGCACAGGCATCACGAGTAACTTTGCAGTGATCTGTACTGCACAGCGAGAAGGAGGCTTTGATTTCCAGTCTTCTCAGATAACTCAATGAGCTGTGCTTATGAGTCTGATGAGTCTTAGAAGGAAATCATGCACTGGAGAGGCCTTGGCTGTGGCTGGTGTGGCTCCATGAGTAGAGCACCAGCCTGCACAGGCCCGGGTTGCAGCTGGGTCCCTGGTTGGGAGTGTGTGAGAGGCAACCAATCAATGTTTCTCTCGTATATCGATGTTTCCCTTCCTCTCTTTTCCTTCCCTTTCCCTCTAATAAATACATAAAATAAGAAAAGGAAGGAAGGGAGGGAGGGAGGCCGGCCTTGGCTTTAGCCTCAGCAAAGAGAAGCCAGTGAAAATTTGACTTTACTCAGGGAGAGAACAGTATAAACATTCTAAAACCACAGGCACATTTTGACAAGTCATTGTCCAAAAGAAGTTATGAACACAGGATTTAACCACAATGCCTCAAGTATTCTTACACAAAACAGAGATGTAAGCTAGAGAGACCTAAATTGAGCTTTGTAAAATATCTGAGCTGGTCCAAAAGACACCCTGCCACCAGTAAGGACACTTGGATACTGAAGAGACAAGCCAGACAGTAATACAGTGTTTCTACTCGTGTAATGTGAAGCAACTACACAAAACCCAAACACAACTCTGCCAACGCCACAACAAACAACCTTTTCACGTCCGAGTTCCTTCTCTAATGGAGGTTTCAGTAGCACACAAATTTCATCCACCTCCCACAAATGACAGGAGGCAAACTGCATCTTTAGGGAACACGAACATCACCGTGAGGACAGCAAATACATCCAAAAATAGCAGAACTAACCACCTGCTAAAGCATGTGAATGTATTATCTTTTGTTCTGGTAAAAGTTCCAAAATCCACAACTTTCCACAGGTAGCTATAATACAAAGAAAGTTCTCTTTACACAACAGACATTTACATCAAGCTGTAAGCTAAAAAATGTTAAGCTCTAGTGCCAAAGAGGCATTTCTAAACTTGAATGCGTAATCTGCCTTCCAATGTCAATAGTTAGGTGGACTATAAGTGCCAGCGTTTTCCACAGCAGCATTTTCAATGAGGATTTAAGCATTAGAATCCCCAATGGAGTTTTCCAAAACACCAGCACCAGGGCTGTTTCCCTAGACACTAAACCAGAATCTCCTGAGAAGCACGAGCATGTGCAGTGTTTCAGAGTGCCCAGGATTCAGCTGTAGACCCCTGGTGGGAACCGCTGCTCCACTGGGACATCTGTCAGTCGCTTCTGCTCCGCGTGGTCGCTGGACTGTCACATGCGTGTGTGCTCCCCGTCCCTGGACAGTACAGACACTGACACGATGGGACTCAAACACTTTCAAAGAAATTTCACAGAGTGATTTCATATCTGTTGAGTCTTAAAATTAAAAGGTGGGCTTTTAACTTTAATTTAAACTTGTAGTTTTGCTTTTTTACAGTCATTTTTTGTACTATTTTATTTTATAAAATTTCCAACAGACTTAAAATTAAGCTCTTCTTTAAATGTTTATATTTATCTTTAACATGGTTTGCTTTCATTTTTCATCTTAATATGTCACCAAAGGAATAAAAATCAGTGTACCTACATTTTAAAAACCTAATTATGAATTCATGGTAGAAATAAACATTTAATTAACAAAGTGAAGAACACCCAAATGATCTTCGTAATAATACTAGAAATGGTTCAATTCAACAGAACAGTTTACTAAATTCCGGTTATGTGCAGGACATTAAAAGAATTCAACAACAGCATGAAACACACAGACACAATCTATTTAATAAGGAATCATGATAACATTAGTTATATTGTCTTATATCTATTATTGGCACTGCAAAGAAAAGATAAGCCAATTCTAAAATAACCATTTCTATCAATCTAAAGGGGAAAAATTTTATAGAACAGTATAAATAAGCTATAAACACTCAATATTCTGTTTTTCCATGGAAAATCAAGTAAATGCTAATACAGTATATATTAACACTTATAGTTAGAATTAGCAATGATCATGTTGATTTCAAACAATTTTAGGTAAATAGATGAGAAACTGGGTTTCATAAAATGAGAAATTATAAGCAACGGACAACTAAAGATATGTTATACAAAGACTTCTCTTCTTTTGGAAAGCAGAAATTAAACTCTACAAAGGTCAGTTTATATAACATAAACAAAATAGAAACCTTACAGAATTTTGTTAAATTAGTCATATTAAACTGCCTTGGTAATTACTAACTTCTGCAACCTTTCAATGTTTTCATGGATCTAAGTAAAGCTTGATTTCTTTTTCCTTTTTTTAAAAGTATGTTTCATTGATTATGCTATTACAGTTGTCCCATCTTTTTCCTCCCCTTTATCCCCCTCCACCCTGTACCCCCCCTTCCCTCCAGCATTCCTCACCTTAGTTCTTGTCCATAGGTCATACATATAAGTTCTTTAGCTTCTCTCCACATCTACCAATTACGCTTATTCCCTGTACCACTTTCCCCATGCTCTCCCCTCCTCCTCCCCACTGATAACCCTCCACGTGATCTCCATTTCTGTGATTCTGTTCCTGTTCTAGTTGTTTGCTTGGTTTGTTTTTGTTTTACGTTCAGTTGTTGGTAGCTGTGAGTTTGTCAGTCATTTTACTGTTCATATTTTTGATCGTCTTCTTTTTCTTAGATAAGTCCCTTTAACATTTCATGTAATAATGACTTGCTGATGATGAACTCCTTTAAACTTGACCTTATCTGGGAAGCACTTTATCTGCCCTTCCATTCTAAATGATAGCTTTGCTGGACAGAGTAATCTTGGATGTAAGGCCTTGCTGTTCATGACTTCTAATACTTCTTTCCAGCCCCTTCTTGCCTATAAGGTTTCTTTTGAGAAATCAGCTGATAGTTTTATGGCAACTCCTTTGTAGGAAACTGTCTCCTTTTCTCTTGCTGCTCTTAAGATTCTTCCCTTGTCTTCAATCTTGGCTAATGTAATGATGATGTGCCTCGGTGTATTCCTCCTTGGGCCCAACTTCTTGGGACTCTCTGAGCTTTCTGGACTTTCTGGAAGTCTATTTCCTTTGCCAGATTGGAGAAGTTTTCTCTCCTTGTTTTTTCAAATAAGTTTTCAATTTCTTGCTCTTCCTCTCCTCCTTCTGGCACTCCTAGATTCTGATGTTGGAACGTTTAAAATTGTCCCAGAGTTTCCTAAGCCTCTTTTCACTTTTTTGAATTCTTGTTTCTTCATTCTGTTCTGATTGAATGTTTATTTCTTCCTTCTGGTCCAAATTGTTGATTTTAGTCCTGGTTTCCTTCCCTTCACTGTTGGTTCCCTGTATATTTTGTTTCATTTCACTTTGCATAGCCTTCACTTTTTCCTTTATTTTGTGAACATACTTAATCATTTCTGTGAGCATCCTGATTACCAGTGTTTTGAACTCTGCATCTGATAGGTTGGCTATCTCCTCGTTACTTAGTTCTTATTCTGGAGCTTTGATGTGTTCTTTCATTTGGGCCATATTTCTTTGTCTCAGTGTGCCTATTACATTCTAAGGGGTGGAGCCTTAGGTAATCACATGGCTGCATGGTGGTGCTGTATGTGGGGAAGGGGGTCCGAGAGAAAACAGTGCCACTTGCTTAGCTCTCAGCCAGCTTTCAGTGACTTTTCCCACTACCTGCAAATGAATGGGGCCCTTCTGGTGCTGATTTCCGGGTGCGGGGGCTTGTGTACGTTCTAGGACCCCGTGGATCCCTCCACTGGACTCTCCTGTAAGACTGGTAGTTTCTCCCATCACCACAACCCCTGCAGGTTTCTACAGCCAGAGGTTTGGAAAAGTCTTTTCCCAGCACTGCAACCCTGGGTTGTGCTGTCTGTCTCCATCCCCAGTTGTTCCTCCCAGTTTATCCACTGGCGAATGTGGGACCTCCTGGTCCACCAGCCACCACACCTTGCTGGGCCTCCCCCGCCCCGACCTCAGCGGCCCATCTCCGCCCCTCCTACTGGTCTGGATGAATGTTTCTTCTTTAATTTCTTGGTTGTCGGACTTCCATACAGTTTGATTTTTCTGGCAGTTAATTGTTTTTAAATTGGCTGTTATCCTTCTTTTGGCTGGGCAAGGAAAGTGTATCTACCTGTGCCTCCATCTTAGCCAGAAGCCTAAACAGAGCTTGATTTCTATTATGACTCTTCAAAAACTTCCTAAATACCTGAGTGTAAAACAAGCACAGAGTGACTCTCATGACCTTTACCTCTTTTTGTTGTAGTTGATTTCGGTAACTTGCTGACTGATGCTTTATTTGAAGTTCTGAAGCTTCAAGCTTCTCCTCCAGATCAGTACAAAGTTTCTTAAGTCGTTCATTCTAGAAGCAAAGAAAAAAGTACTTTCAACAAAAAGACTAAAACGTAAAACATGTAACAGTTATATGCATGGCATTATGAAAAACATTGCTTCATACAAAAAAAAAAAAAGATGTAAAATACAGGCCTGACAAAATTCTGGCCTTCGAAATACACTTTTAACTAAAGTCGTTGGTGCAGTAAGCCTGTTTATAGAGATTATGCATAATTCTGAACCAAAGTCTAAAAAAAGACAACTTCCTCACTTTGATTTTTCACTGAGAAAAAGCCACTGATCAGTGTTTCCCCACCTTTGTGTGCCCAGTGTCTAGCATACGGCAGGCAGTAAATGTCTGGTGAATGAACGAACTTGATTACACGCTTTAACTTTTGTTTTGTCCCCAAACAGAACTTTTTTAAAGAACTGTCTTTTAAAAAACCTTTTAGCTCAAGTACAGGCAGGAGGCCAAAACTTGTGTCCCTCGTCTCCCTCACCCCAGGAGCCCCAAGGCCCCTCCACACGAGCCGATTTACTTGGTTTGTAAAACTAGAGTTAGAAGCACACAAAATATTCTAAGAATACTTCAATCAGTCCAGATATCACAGTCCCTTGTTTAAAGATGTTGCCCTATGTGAAAGAAATAAATTTCATGTGCTTACCTATAAAACCACCTTAACCCACTACCAATGTCTGAAATTGGAGAGAGCAAGTAGCACACATGCAGCAAGAGGAACGGGCCCTAAAACTTCCTGCAAAAAGGAATTTATAAGTGATCGCAGGTAACGACTTACTAGGAATTCTGCTAATCCAACATCTCTACAAACAGTTTAATAATGGTAACTGAGAATAAGGAGACTGATGGTGGGAAAGAAAGCTGCTGCTAAAAGGTCGTATGTTTTCTTCTTAAATTCCAGGATTTTTTTCTATTGATAGATGTAAAAAAAAAACAACTATGATTCAGGAAGATTATATGAATTCCTAGAGAAAAATCAGCAGAGCAAATTAATGAAAAAATTCCAACATACACAAATCCTACTTTGGGAGCCTATTTCCAGAAATCTAACACAGATCTTGGTTACCTAAAAGAAATATTAGTAAGAAACAGGACCGATGTCCGCACAACTAATTTCTTTCTATTCTATTGGCTGCTTTTACATGATTTTCAGTTAATAAGAAAAACACCATGCAAAACTGAAGCGATATAATATGGTGAAGTCAAAACTTACTCATAAGAATCCACTCCAAGCTTTTTAAATAAGACACCTATGGCTACTTTTTAACTACAATTAGTAACTAGAACTCAAACACTTTCAACTCGCCAATACCTAATGGGCTGCCTCCACTCAGAGGGAAGAGCAAAGAGGAGCAATAATGAGAGAGGAAGACCCCTGAGGGCCTCCAGTTCTGGATGCAGCCCCTAAAAACTGGCTATAATTTCTGCGCTTGGGATCCATGAAATGCTCATAACCTTCAATTATTCTATCCTGCTTAACCCCCGTTATACCATCAAGGTCTAAGGGAACCCATTTCAGCTTGTGAGTTTCTTTTTTGAGTTGTCCTAACTATCTAAAAGGACTGATATTCCTAACTTTTCTCTGGTTTCTCTTCAACTGTATAAATCTTTCACCTTTTTAAAAAGATAAAAGGTCTCTGAAGATATCATCTTTATAGTTTTTGTGTGTTTTTTCCTTCATTGAACACAGCTAAAAATTTAGATTGTTCATTTTTCAACAAATAGAGGAAAATATTAAATGATTATTCCACAACTAAGAAGATCTGGGCACAGGGACAGCAAACAGCGCTCCAGAGCCTAATGGCTCCAATGAACCCGAGTGCGGAAGCAAAATCGCAGCCAGGTCTTCAAATAGCAACGCCCCGAGAAGTTTTCTCAAACTTGAGAACTGATGGTGAGCACATTCCTAAGAACAAAAAGGAAATACAGCGCTCTCATCGTAAGAAAAGACTTTATCTCGTGACATTTTCTGACAAGGACCTGAACCTTCCCCGCTGCGCTAGACAGGTAAGCAACAGCCTCTTCCACTGTGAGCATCTGCACACTCACTTGACGCCTTCATACACAGCCGAACGCTGAAGACAGGTGATCGGGAGGGAAGGGGGAACACAAAAATGAACAGAAATCAAAGGACCAATTGCTTAAATTGGTATTTCTAAGTCTAAGAATAAAAATGCTTTGTAGTTATGGAGCAAAGACAACAAGCCTCTTCAACAAAATCATGAGCCATTAGAGTTTTCAAAAGTACTGGTTTAATGACACAAGCAAAGGAAAAGAACAGGAAGTAATGGCAAGCTATAGTCTATTAGGAATGTAAGTGAATCTAGAACCAGTATTTACAAGATAAGATACACCCCAGTTCAGGCATGAGAATTAATAAGCAGTAAACCACATTCAAAGAACCTTGCCTATTTTGAGTATGTTTTTAAAACCAGAAGCATAAGAATAAAAATGTGGATTTGCTACATGTAAGTTCTTATTAAAATGCCAAAAAAGTTTTTCATTACAACTTTATTCTTAATAGTTTTATAATGATTGATATCAAAAAACTAAAAGAGCCCACTGGATCCAGACGGCACATGTAGTAGCTGTTTTTCTTGGCACAGAGGGTTTAATATACTCAGACTGGTTGCAGTTACTTGCAACTGAAGAAACACAGTTAAATTTGGTCACCTTCAAATATTAGCATCTGTGTGCAAATCTAACTTCCCGTGGAACACACAGCGCCCTCTGTCTGCTCTACAACCTTCTCAGTAGAATGTTAGGTTGTGCGCTTCCTGACGGCGTCGGTCATACCTTCACCTTGTTCTCTCGTTGCTCAGTCACATAAGGGCTTCGGGTGTGAAATGCTTATGTGCTGAGTTAAGGCAAGAATCACACAGTTTAAATCACCTTTACGTAAAGCCTTGGGAAGTCCAACAGTCTGTTTTCCTCTAGTAAACGAGTAGCTCACATTACTTTGAATAAGCAGCAAATGCGGCAGCTGGCTTTCCTTTGGGGATGTGTTATACTAAAAATATGTATTTCTAAACACGGAATGGTGTTTGCCATGTAGTCCAGGGACAGCGCTACCAGAGATCAGGCCTGAGATCAAAGAGGGACAGAGGATTTCTACCTTCCTTCTCAAGCTCAATGCAGAGCAGACCCACACTAAGCAGGCTAGCCCTACTTATTGCGCACCCCCGGCCGAATGTGCCGAATGTACACTGGCAAATGCACCCAAATTAATGCCACTACATGCCTCGGACACAAGTTTTCATGGAGGGCCTGGAGTAAGACTCCTGTGGGGACTACAGGAACAACTTCCCACCTCGGCCTCACAAAGAAAGAAGCTATTCGTTCATCTGTCACCAAAGCACCTATTTATCAGGTAATTACAGCCGAGGTCTCTCAAGTACCACCAAAAACTGCCACCGTCTTTCTACTGAGGCGACTACTACTGTAATTCCTCTTGGGAGGTCCCTCTACTTTCAAATTCCATGATCTCATCTTGATAATCTATACCAGGGCTTAAAAATGCTTCTTGTAAGAATTATCTTACATTTAAATTCAATTTTCTGTTTATGGGCTTACCAGATAGGAAAACGAGCTTACCACGGTTCTCTCAGAACATCTTTTGCTGACCTCCTATTAAGTGTTCCCTCACTGCTCTCCCCAGAAGACTACGGTAAATCACTGAGTCTGGTACTTTACAGTGGATCCCACGTTAAGTCCTTCTGTGTCTTTATGGCCTTCCTTGAACCCTTAACTTCCCTGTTAAGTACAATGTTCAAAACTAGTCACCGTGAGGCACTGACTAATAATGAGAAAGATGATAAAATTAATTTGCTATTCCTATATTATTAGCTTCTTTGTATATAAAATATCAGTTTCTAATGTTAGGGGATTAAAAAACTCTAGATTAACAGAATTGCATTCTTCACATCATACTTCAATAAAGGTAATCCTGCAATTTTGCAACGCTGTTAAAACAGAGTAAATCCTAGATAATGATAAACTGTTGCCCCTATTATTTCTATATTTGGCAGTTTCCCCACTTCCAGCATAGAGAAGCAGAGATGGGAATATGGAACAGCAAAGTAAAGTGACATGTAAATATACCCTTCATCCAAAGGAAGATGATAATGCTTAAAAAAATGTATATGAAGAGCAAGAGATAAAGAGTGGTAAGCAGTGCATTAAAAAGAGAAGACCAAAATAAAGCATAAGTAACTTTCATGGCTTAGAAAAAGAAAAATCTAAGTTTAATTAATAATAATCTTTAATTTTCCTTACCTCTGATCGCAAGATTGTAACAGTGGCTTCAATTTCCTTTCTTATAGAATTAGGTAATTTTGCTACAAAAGAAATAGCAGCACATATTGAATATGTGATCAACACCATATAAATTAATAAACAGGCATTTTAAGGAAAATATATTTCACTGAGCTTTAGAAAGAATGGCATGCTGACCTTCAAACATATTCAAAAGATAAATATCACTTGATTTTATACAGCTTTATACAGCTTTCTACTGCCACAAATGTTCTATTGTGATAAAGAGCATTCTCTTTGTCTATCTTCTACACCCTGGGGTGTATATCTTTATCCCTTGGAAATGTTCATTAATATTTGGGAAATTAAGTTTTACAAAGTAAATCCCTCTGTTTAGATGAAATTTATGCAAGTAGGGTTTAAACCCTTATTTCTAATGTCTTCCGCTCCCAGTACTACCAAATAATTAATGACCTATAAACAAAGAATTAAAATACACTAAAAGAACTCTTATTTCAAATAACACAGACACAATTTATTTAAAATGGGAATAACAGTCTGGTTTTGTACATTTTCATTTAAAAGAAGAGTCAGAAGTCAGCAGCAGCAAAATGGCACCACTGATGCTGCCAGAAAAATCATCATCCACAACAGGTTTTTTTTCTTAGTACTAGTATTTTTCATTACTCATAGCACTTTAAAAAAAGATTTTATTCATTTATTTTTAGAGAGAAGGGAAGGGAGGGAGAAAAATATCAAAGTGTGGTTGCCTCTCACGTGGCCCCCACTGGGGACCTGGCCTGCAACCCAGGCATGTGCCCTGACTGGGAATCGAACTGGCGACCCTTTGGTTCGCAGCCTGCGCTCAATCCACTGAGCACGCCAGCCAGTGCACTCACAGCCCTTTAATACTATAAAAAGAAGTTCTCTGACCTACATTTTAAATCGAAAGAAAATACAAGTGACATTCAGTAAAAGAGACAAACCTACTCTTCTTGTTTTGAAAATGACCAGGTGGGGCTGCTTCTCTGATTGTTTATACATCTTGCTTAAAACTCTGACAGACTAATTGCTACTCCAAAGAGAGCAAATTACAATCTAATCTGTTCAGGAAGGTAATTATAGAAGAAGCAATTGTTTCAAAGAGGGATAAAAATGGTTAATGCAGACCTCCTTCTCTCACACACCCCCGCAAAAAACCCTGGTCTTTTTAAGGATAAAGGGGAGAGGTATACAGACCAAAAAAGTCTTCCTCCATGAAAGAAAACAGAAGGACAGCTACCGGTGATTAACACTTACTACTCGCTAGGCCCAGTGCTGGGCATTTTCCACTCACGGTTTTATTAATACTCCCCACCTCCTGATAGGTCTGGGTTCCCTTATTTAACAGACAAGGAAACCCTGCCTGTTAGCGTTAAGAATTTCATAACCGGCCAAAGATCCCACAATTTGCAATGCATGGAAGTGGAATTTCAACCCACGTCTGACTTGAAATCTCAGCTTCCTAACCTTGAATAAATCAGCACAGTGTTAGTTTGGTAGACCAGCAACTTTCTGATATTGCATATATGTAAACAGCCATACCAACAGTGCTATCATCTTGTTCACTGGTGACACTGAATACACACTCAATAAATACTTGTTGTACGAATAAATGAACTGTACTCTGACCCTGTTTTTAAATAATTTATAGAATCAATGAATTAGGTGTTAAACAAGTCGCCTTTTAATACAAAGGAAAACAAAAGCACTAAGCAACTTTGCAGATTTTCAGTCTCTGAGCAATTTTTACTAAGCATCTACTATGTACCAGGAAACATGTCACATACTGGTAATGTAAGAATAAATGCAGTACCTTGGCATCAGGAAAGAAATAAACTATAACCCAACATGGTAAGTGCTGGCAGAGAGAGTTCCACAAAGTTCTGTTAGAACACAGATCCCCTGCAATCAATTCAACCTGCCACGGAGTCAGAATGGCTTCACTAACTACCTGACACGTGAGCAGGGTCATACAGGAAAAAATATTTGCTAGGCAAAGAAGGACAGAGGAGGAAGCAGAAAAGGAAGGGCTTCCCATGCTGAAGCTCAAAGCTGCGCAGGCACACAAAGTTCCATGAGGCCTAAGCATGTATGTGTATGTTACGTGCTTACATTGGGCACCTGGAAGAGAAGGGGAGGGGACTAGAGGTAAGACTGGAAAAGGTGGGTTGAACCCAGCTGGATAGCTTTTTGCTCTTCCATAACTAAGAGTTTTGAATTTTATCCCATAATAACAGGGTAAAGAGATTCTAAAGCACATTAGTTTTTAGAAGAGTAACTGGCACCAAACAGAAAATGGAGTGGAGTGGGGATGGCAGGATAGGAAACAAACAGTGTGTGGGAAAAACAATGGGGCTATGAACTTCATTAGTCAGGAAGCAGTAGTAATACCAAGGAAAGTACAAATAAAAGAAAATTCTGGCACAGGATTTCCAGTCGGTGACCAACTGGAAGAGATGAAAAAGAGACAAAGCAAAGATGACAAAGATTGCTACTTTCAGAGACTGGTAGATGGTGAAACCATTAGCACTGAGAACGCAGGAACATATCTGGTGGGAAGAACAAAATGCATTCCACCTTAAAAGCCTGCAGGACATTCAGCATGTTTTCTTGTTTAGGGTCAAAGGATCGGGCAACTGTCCCCCCCCCCCCCCCCGCAGGAGCCAAGGAGCATTGGTCACTTCCGGTGGTATCCAGCCCTTCTCTGCCTCCGCACACACGACCCTCTCCTTCCCATTCCCAACCTTCCCCAGAGGTGCCCTTGGCAGTAAAATGGGTTGAGGCAGCTCCTCAATTTTTCTCCCCTCTAAACAGACCCCACAGAAATTCTAAGTGTAAATACTATCTTTTTATCAAACTAACTTTACTTCAGACAAATAAAAATGAAGGCTCAGTTCAATGAGGATTTTAAAAATTAAATCAGAATGCTAATTAATGTATAAAGAATAAAATTGTCAAAGGAGCTGCTCTCATCCAAAAGACCCAACCATTACCTCTCTGGAAGCAGATCTAGACTGAGATGAAAGGTTTCTTTTGATATAAATACTATTTGCTGAAAGAAACAGTACTAGTTCAGAAAGTCAAAATAGTAATTCCCTATCGATTACCATGTAACTCCGAATCACTCTTCATTAGTAAAACAAAATGAAGACTTCAAAAATGAGTGAAGGTTGCTAAGGACACCCAAGAATAAAGTATCTCCCTTGTTCTACTCGGACAATGAATGGACAACTGGGGAGAAAAACACATTTTAAGTTGGAACGCTATGTCACCAGTATAAGCAAAAATATGAGATCTAGCTATGTTGCACCCACAGTATATTCAAATCGGACAGGGTAAACGATACTAAATAACTTATCAGTTACTGCAATTGTTACATATATCGAAGGCGAAAGTGACTATGTGTCGCACCCGAAGCACTTTTTTAACTGTCAGTATAGAGTATCAAAATGAGTGAGTTCCGCCCCCAAGTTCAGGGCAAAGTAAGCGGTGGGCGTGGATAAACCAAACAAAAATAAACTCGGCTCAACATTGGAGCAGTTTCGCTCCGCTCGGAGCGAGCCAGAGGGTTTAAAGGGAGAACTAGAACTCTTCTCCCGGCGCCGGTGGTCTCCTATCAGAGAAAATCGGCGAGGAAGAGGCAAAAGCAGTGTAAAAAAAAAAAAGGGCGGAAAGACACTCCTCCGCCACCCGTCCACGTCTCCTGACGGATGGACGTGGGGACCAAACGGACGCTCCCAGGGTCCCAGAAAAGCCCTCCCCCGTCGCTCCAGCTGTTACCTTCTACTTCCTCCGCTTCTTCCATCAGCATATCCTTGGTAAAATTTGAAATCTGGCCAGTGAGGGAAGCCAGGCTGCCCCCTACTTGGCCCAAGCCGGAGCCGAGGCTCCCAAGCCAGGACGACATCGCTGCGGGTTAGAGAACGACCTGGTCCGCTCCGAGAAAAGCGTCCAGCACCGTCGGACGACCCCGCCAAGTGTCCTCGAAAGGCTGCCTCCGCTCCAAAATCTACACACTCAGGATTCGACAGCACAATGCGGGGTTCCTAGGCAACGCCGGCTTCGGGGGCGCCCACCAACGTCCGGCTCCGCACGCGAACGCGGAGGCCAGGCCGGACACTTCCCCGGGGACCCGCCCCCTGCAGCACAGTCTCCCCCGCGGGGCCTCTGCTCCTCCCACGACTTCCCACCGTCCGGGCTGGGCCACTTCTTCCTCTGGCTCAGTGACTTTCCCCAGTTCCGTGGGCAAGTCCTGCCAACTCGACGCCGGCCGCCATGACAGCCACTCGCAACGCGGCAGTGGACCATGGAGAGGCCCCGTTGGCATAGAAGGGCCGCGCGGAGCCGGCGGACGTGTCCTGGGCGCAAGGGAGCATGGGATCGCGGAGGACCGAGTGCGGCCGGCAGGGGTCGCCGCGACCCGCGGAGGTCGAGGCCGACCTCCAGCTCGCCCGCCCTCGGCCTGCGGGACCCGCCGCCAGAGCCGGCTGCGAAGCGGCGCTGTCAGCGGGCGGTCGTTGTGTGTAAGGCAGAGCCGAGCCTCAGTGGGTGCGCCCGCCCCCAAAGGCGGCGCTGTGCTGGTCAACCCTGAGTGTTTTAATTGCGACACCCGCGGAGGCAGTGGTGCGAGGGGACACGGTGGGGCGCTCCCACCCCGCGGGGAGCGCGGATCGCAGGTTACTGTATCCAGTATCCCGCCTCTCCTGCAGTGCTGCTGTGCCCGGGCCACCCCCGCGGCAGGTGCTGGAGATGCACAGAAAGGATGGATTGCAAGTTCAAGCGTCAAGGAAGGCAGCACACACTATGGGTTACCTTTTATAGGAGAAATTTTCTCTGGTGGCTTTCCAACTCAAGGTTGAAACCCTGCCTTCCTGGATATAAGAAGACCTTTATCCATGAAGCCAATTTAACCAATGAAGTTAAAAACACAGACCAGCCTCTCCCCCAAATAACTCATTAGAGGACAACACGGCAATTTAATACAGAAAAAAAAAAAAAAAGCTATTCTAATGGAAACTGGCCTACTGCCCCGGAAAAGGGACCAGAACTGAGGCCAGTCTGCCTTGTCATGGTCTGGAATGTGTGGGTTCTTGACTTTGTGTAGGAAAGATTTCATGACATGAGTCCAGGTGTTTTTGAGAGTATGTTTATTAAAGCTGGGGATAAACAGGAAAGGTTTCCAGTGGAAGAGGCAAGTTCACAGCAACAAGCGTAAGCCTGGACTGGGCTCCCTAGACGCAGGAGTGGAAGTCAGAAACAAACGCGAGCCACGCTGGGCTTGTGGACTCAGAAAACAAGTTACAGTAGCAGCAGTGAGCCACGTGGCTGTGTGGACTCAGGAAAGAAATTTAGACACAAAATAAGGCCTTTGGAGACAGTTCCTGAGATCAGTCTGGGATGAGGTGGTGCTGCCTGCTGCTTCCCTGATTGGGAGTCTTGTGGGGCCTTTTAGAGCTTAGGAGAAAGAGTGAAAATATACACCTGCAGAAAGGGGGGCATGGGGTGCGCTGTAGAGCATATGCTGGGCCCTCTGTCTTGAGGGTTCTTACCTGTTTTCTAAAGGCAGGAAGGAGTTTTAGGGGACTTCTCAGGGGAGGGTCTCAACAGAATATTCGGCGGGTTTCCAGGTGTGACTTTTAATACACTGACACATGAAAATGAGTTTATGGGGGAGTTTGGGATCATTTGCTGGTCAGCTTCACTGCTTTACTTTTGTCTTGGATTTGTCTGGCTCAAACTGGCTTTTCGGTTATTGTTAAATATTCTCCTGACTTCATCTATTCAGGGCTGTGGCTGGCACTAATGGCATCAGCTGGGTCTCTTATCCATCTCCTTGGCCAGGGTGATTTAAGTAAGCTACTTACTCTCTGGTTGGGGAGGAGAGATATGTACTATTTGCTCCTAAGTGTCCTTGGTTAGGCAGGGTAAGATCTTGCAGTTTATTAGTAGGCTGTTAATTGCTTGCCTGTCTTTAACTATCTTGTCTGAGTTCTCTTCATTCCCCTTGACAAGGAATTTTCCCGGCTTCTCACTATCTTGCGTCACTATGGTATTGGTGGCACTTGATGTTACACAAATTGCATGGGTCTGAGTGTCCTGCCTTGCTTGCTTTCCTCCTTAAAGAAAGGTCACGTGATTTACAAGCTATTTCTGCAATGGTACAAGGACACAAATTACCTGGCCAGAGAGACTTTTGTTTTGATAAAAGGATAGGTCTGCAGGTCTTTCGAGCGTAACACTCAATGCATTGCATTTCTCCTCTTTCATGTCATTCATAGGAGGGACAAGCACAGGTGGCACTAGTTGTGAGTGGAACATGGCAATGCCTCCAGGAGTTGGAATCTGACGGCACCAGGCCACAAAAGGTCTCCCTGAAATTGAAATGATTTTAAAAAAGCACTTGCATCTCATTCTGGAAGTGTTTACTACACATTTGCCCACGGGTTAGATGTGCAGACTCTGAGGCTGACTGCCCACCTTTCACCTGTGAGCTTGCATGACCTTGAGTAGGCTGCTTCTCTGTGCATCCGTTTATTTGTAAAATAACCTCCCTCATTAGTTCGACAGCATTTCAATTCGTTTCCTTGGGTTGTCTAGGCACACAATCATTTCAGCAAATGATTTGGCATCATCCCTATCAATGTTTACACGTTTTATTCCCTGTAAAGGCACGTGACAGGAATGAAGGTCCACTTGAAGGTAATTGGAGTGAGGGGGCTGAACAGCTTCGGGAAGGCTCGACTCACACACACAGAGACTGAGGGCCGAGTGAACAGCTGTTATTGTCCAAGTGTCCTGGTGCTATGTGGTTCTGGAGTAGGAGTGGCAGAGAAAGACAGATGTTGATCACTACAGTTGATGATGTGGACACCAAGGTTTCAAAACTGAACTGTAGTTGTCTGATGATGATGAAAGTAACTGCACAGAATTAACAGGAAACACAAAACGCACAACTGGGCAGTGGGAGTCTGGACTAAAATCCTGACCAGGCATGGCTTAGACACCTTTAGTGTCAAACATCCAGCCAGTATTTTGGGCTACTTGAGGTGGACCTGGCATGTTCTTTGGTAAAGGATGTGGTTAAAAAGCCTTAAAAAAATTTTTAAAGGCTTGAGACTATTCTAGAAAGTGATGCCAGAGTGCCGGGTGTAATAAAATATATATTCCATATTACCTTTATCAAACCTTACATGGGAAGATTCTGTGTACATCCCAAGTTCATCTCGCTCACTACACGCTAGCTTCTTCAGACTGCTCTGTTGGTCCGAGGCAAGCAGCCACCCCCACCGCAGAGCCATCAGGCTTGCTGTTTCCTTGGGACAGCTTGGTGTCACCACACCTTTGCATGGCTGTCTCATCATCTAAGGCTAAAATGGATATACAACCCTCATAGTAAAATTGGAGAATTCTATCATCCTCAATCCGTCCCAGTGGAGTCCAGTTATTAGTTGGATAAAATAAGGAAAACCTGGCATTCTTAAAAACTGTTAATAATGTAATTTGGCCCTCAGGGTTGAAAAATAGAGCCAACATTTAAAATTTAATTTCAAATGAAAACATGGGACTCAGCTTCAGAGAAAATACCAGCAGCTCCAGTAATGGCAGGTCCTTTGGCAGCAGTCAGGAACCACCGGAATGGAGCACCAGTGGGCTCCCCTGGCCTGCTTCCCTCAGCTCCTGAATCTGGGAAACTGCTTCTCCAACTTCACTCTGCAGCTGAGTCCCCTTGGGCATTCTGTTAAAAACACAGGTTCACAGTCACTCGGAGCGTGGCCTGAAACTGTGCTTACGAAAAGTTCTCAGGTGGTGCAAATGCTTCTGATCCTCCACCCAAACTTTCAATGTAAGGCTATGAATGAACACCACAAATAAAAACGAAAATAAAAAAGCAAACATCTTTATTTAATCATCTTTGATATTTAAAATACAACTCATCGAACATCCACACCAACAGTACACTCCTCAGTGTCCAACAGTGCTTTGGAAGCCCAGCTCTCCTCAGGGCCAGACGGCAAGGCCTGCCAAGCCTTAACGGCACGCGAACTCGGAGAGGGCTGCAGAATCGAGTCCTGAGCAAACGGCACTGTCCCAGTGCACTTGGGTCACAGCCAAAAGACAATGCTTTTTATTTCAGGTGTTTTTTGAACTTGAATTTCAAATAGTGTATTTATACAGAAGAGTAATTGTTAAAAGTTATTTCTAGTAACCCACAGTTTTAGAAAATAGATAAGCACATTCTAATGCATTTTCCTCTTTAGAGGCGCGGATACACAAACCAGGCTGACGGCTGTCAGAGGGAGAGGGATTGGGGGGGTTGGATGAAAGGTGAAAGGACTAAGCAAAAAACCACAAAGAAACAAAAACATTCGTAATACACAGACACGCCAGGGTAGTGTCAGCCGGAGGGGGAAGGGCAGCGGGAAGTGGAGGTGGGCAAAGGCCAGGTTGAATGGAGAAAGGAGCTGCGCTTTGGGTGACAGGCACACTATGCAGTGTCCAGGTGATGTTTTGCTGAGCTGTGTTTTGTGAACCAGTGTCACCCCAGTAAATTCAATCTAAAACAACGCTAGAAACATTTACCTTTGACCTATGCAAGAAACAACTGAAGTGCTTCCTCAATAGATCAGGAATTTCCAAGTATCTTTCACTAGTGCTTCCTACTCCTTTCTATGAGTCCATAGGCTTAAAGAATTGATACATTATTAATTTAGGCCAATTACCGTACATTTAAAAATGATGTTACTAGCATTAATTCTTAAAATTCCAGATCAAGTCTGCACAGGCTCAATGGGCCAGTGTGAAGACACTGAGTGAATCTTGGCACCAGCATGGCACTGTTTTAAGCATGCAGGCATGAAACATGTGGCTGACGTTATTGAACTTGATATTCAATGAAACGATGTAGACTAGTGGTAGTTTTGCCTATGATGATTCTCAACTAGTTTTGAGCTTATTTCTTCATTAACTTTGGCATGAATAAGTGTTATTTAAGAAAAATCAAGTTTTAAGGGGAAAAAGCACCTCCTTAAATATTCTGTGAACTGTAAATTATTTGGCCAAGATCTTAGAGTTGAAATCGAGTTTACCTACAGCAACCGTTTCAAACGATGTGCAACACAGAAATGTTTATAAGTTACTTACTGTAAAAATGTATATTGATGGTTTTAGATCAGAACTATTCTGAATTTTTAAAACATAAAAAACTACTTATTAAATCTATGACATCTCAAAATATGAAATGAAAGTGGCATTTCTAAAGCTTGTTTAAACTTTCCTTACAAACTTTACTAGCATTGCCACTGTATGTATGTCATCCAGGTGATGCAAATTATACATTAGAAAATGATACCACGAGTTTAAATGTTAAACAGTAACACGTTCCCAATTAGTAAAACAGAATGGAAATCTCAATCTAAAGTGGTTAGCAGGGCAGTTATGGTAAATGTCATGGTTCTGGACTTTCTTGCAGGCGGTTCATTGTAAACAGCAGTTCCTGATGTGTGACCCACAGCTTTGTGTGGCTTTTTAATTTTCTGATATTGTGGTTATGAACACTAGCATCTTTTCATACTGGCCAATCAATGGTGTTGCAACGTTCGATTAAATTTAAGCCAATGTAAACAAGATGGCAGTTGACAAGTGATTCTGTAACTCCCTGCCAAATGTAACAATGTCACACAAAATAAACATTCATATGTATCCAGTGTATGCTCAGCTTTGCTTATAAAAAAATCCTTAATAAATGAAGGTCAACATACCACATTTCCTTAAAGGCTTTTAACAAGGGTATGTAATATAAGAAGTTTATAAACTCTAAGGTTAAAACTTATACATATTTCTCTTCTCATTTTTATATTAGATAGCTCATCAGTTAAAGTGTATGAAAAGTTTTATGTAAATTTCCAATGGGAAAAGTAAGGCCAAATACATATTTTTATTTGTGTATCTTGAGAGCAGTATAAAACTCTTACATCCTCTGCAGTTCTAAATTCTTGTAATTCTTCTGGAACATTTTCAGTTGTCAAAAGAAAACTAGATTTGAAAGTAAAACTGTCTAAATTTATGTAAGGAAAACTTCAAGAAACTTCATTTGGCACAAAATAATGACTAAAAAAGTCTGTCTCTTCCCAAGAAAAAAGCTGTATCAAAATCATAAACAAAAGGCATTTTCTCATCTTTTTTGCTTAGCAATGAACCCTAATCAAAAAAACTTCCCTGATGAAACATGTGCTGCCACACACCGTCCCTTAATTTTCTAAGTCACTGGCTGAAATTACTTCCTAAATTTTAGCTTATGGATAGTTCAACATCCAAAAGGGCTTCGAATGGGACTAGAGAATGAGGGATGCAATGCAGATGACAGAATCTAAAATGCCCGTTTCAGAAAGACATGGTTAATTGTCCCCTAAGTCACGCCATCGCCTTGACCTAGCGAGAAACCCTCTGCGCATCCTAATTAAAGACTATTTATCAAAATTAAAGACTTTCTTATTTACAGACCCATTCAGTACTGTGCGACTTCTAGCATTAAGCTATTTCAAACATGATGCAAGTGTTAAGTCACAGCACAAATTTAAACATGTTTTTGTTAGTAACCTCTTCTCATGTTCCAGATCCTCATCTCTGGCAAGCTACCCCCACGAGAAGATGGACAGCAGAGGCGGACACCCACACTCTGGGACTCAGCTGCAAACACAACGGGGAGCTCCAGTCACAAGAGAAAAAAAAAAAGAATCTGCTACTAAAACTGAAGGCCGAGTTTGTCTCATACATTCACGGTGGGTACTACATGCTGTCTGACAACAGAAGGAGACTTGCCCGCACACTGCGCTTGTTCCTCTCAGCTGGGAAAGGAGAAACGAGAAGGGGCTGGATACAGGGTTCCCAGAGAGCTGCAAAGCTCTGCCGAAACTGAGATCACAGCGCATCTGGGGAAGGGCGGGCTCGCACTTTTTAAAAATGCTCCTCTATTCTTAAATCCTTGTGCAGAGCTGATTTCAGAGGTTAGGAATGCACCAGAATCCTGAAATAATGAACCCATCTCGGAGGCCTTAACAAGCAAAACCTCAAGAAAGAAAACCATCTTTTAAAAGAGTTGTAGAAAAATAATAAAAACCAGGCAGTAGATAAACTGTGACCAGAGACACGATGACAGGAGAAAACACCCAAGTGCACAACACACGGGGGGGGGGGTAGGGGGTGGACGCGCTTCTTTCTGGAAGCATTACTCTCATCAACACAGAGAAGAGCCACTGTCCTGAAAGGTTACTTCAGTTAATGAGACATGAAGCGAGTAGCAGGTGATGAAGGTGAGCCAAATTACCTACACAGCAGGGAGGAAAAGAAAACAGAATGAATGGAAAAAGTTCTGTGGCAAGAACTTATTAGTTGGTCTGCAAAAAGATCCAAGAAAAATGCCCTAATTTTCAACATGTTAGATATTGCACACTGAAAAACAAAAAAGGAACATTTAAAAAACTAGTTTTAATTTCTTTAATTGCTGAATGCCTCTTTGGCTAGTATTTGAAGGATCATTAATTATTCAGTCCTTTCACGGACACGTTTTGCCACTCACTCATCTTTTTCTTTGCAAACCACCTAAAAGTTTCATGTCCTCCAGTGAATACTGTCCTCTCTGACACATGATCAAAATGGGCCCCATGCGTGAAATCACACAGGATGATGCTGGGAAGTACAAATATTTTAGAGATTTGTAAAAGTTATTTTTTTTCTTCTGTTATGAAATTATTTTTAACAGTTTCTAAAGACATGGTCACAGCCGCCTGAAGCATGTCTTCTTCACTCATAGTATCACCTGTCGGGAAAGAAAACACACATAATTCTTAGATATTTCTGGAAAGTTTTCAGTTATCAAAAGATAAGCTCTTCAAAAATGTATTTCTGTCTGACTAGTTTTGTTTTGATTTTTAAAAATTTACATACAGTAAAATTCACAGTTTGCTAAGTGTGGACAAATGCACACAGTTGAACCACCACCATCACCACCCAGATACAGAACTGTTACATTCCCCCCCCACCGCCACCCAAAGTCCCTCGTGCTGCCCTTCTGTGGCCAACCCCCACCCCCAATCCCGGGGAACCACAGATACACTCTCTGCCCTATAGTTTGCCTCTTCCCGCCTGTCAACACGAACAGATGATAAGGTTCACGTGGAGCCTTTTGAGTAAGGCTTCCTTCCCTTAGCACAGTGCAGCTAAGCCAAAGGAAAGAAGATTCAACTTTGTTGTGCAACAATTCATTACTTAAAAAAAAAGTTCCAAAACCTTTACTCACAGAAGTAAGTGGCAAAGCTAGTTCAGGCAGAACCCTGGTATACGTCAGCTCAATTTCACCTGACCTCACATAAGCATAGCTCACCCCCAAACCTGGCTGTTGACATTGGGACAATGTCATGTGTAGTTCTATGGTATTTGATCTGAAGTGTGGACTGTGTGACCACCACCACCACCGAGACAGGGAACTGTGACAGAACCACAAAAACCTGCCCCCGCTACCCCTGTGTATTCACACCCGCTTCTCTCCCTGCCACCTTCCCCAAATGCAGGCAACCACTAAGCAGTTCTCCACTTCACCAATCTGTCACTTTCAGACTGTCGCACAAACAGAACCACACAGTCAGTGTCCGACCTTTGGAGGCTGGTTTGTTTGCACTCAGCATAATGCCCTTGAGTCATCCCAGTTGCTGCATGTATTAACAGTTTCTCTCTTTTTTAAAATCTTTTTATTTCTATTTTGAGAGTATATTTATTAAAGCTGGGGATGGTGAACCCTGACGGGTGTGGCTCTTCTGATGGGGCATCATCGTCCAGCAAACTGAGAGGTTCGGTTTGATTCCCGGTCAGGGCGTATGCCTGGGCTGCAGGCCAGGTCCCTGGTTGGGAGCATACAAGGGACAACAAATGGATGTTTCTCTTCCTTTTTCCCTCCCTTACCCCTCTCTAAAAATAAATAAATAAAATTTTTAAAAAATAAAAGCTGGAAATGGTAAAACAAAGGAAGGGCTTAGGATAGACTCAACAGGACCAAGCCTAGGCAGGGCTGCTTTGGCTCAGTAAGTCAGAGAAAAGGGGCCTTGGAGACAGGTTCAGGGGGGTCAGTCTGGGATGCGCTGCTCCCCTGTTGCAAGTCTTATAGGGACTTCCAGTGTTTTTAAAAAAAGTATTAGGCCGAGAGAAGGGCGCAGTTATGCTCCAAGAAGGGTGCCCACAGCTGGTTTCTTTTTAATCCTGAGGAGCATTCCACGGTATGGATGGACCAGTTCATTTAACCACTCACCCCTACAGGACATTATGAACCAGTTCATTTAACCATTCATCCCTATGACAGTATGAACCAGTTCATTCAACCATTCACCCCTATAGGACATTATGAACCAGTTCATTCAACCATTCACCCCTAGAGGACAAGTTTTCATGTCTCTGGGATAAATCCTAGGAGTGTAACTTGGGTTGTGTGATTAGTGTACGTTCAATTTGTGAAGAAACTGCCAAATTATTTTCCAGGGTGGCTGTACCAGTTCAAATGAAATGCAGAAACCCGACCTCCCTTTATACTGCTTTACTCTCAACTTACAATTGCCTTAAATATTTCCTCTGTATATACTAGAAACCAAATAAATGTTATGATTCTTCGTTTAATCATCAAACATAATTTAGAAAACTCAAAAGTCTACTGTGTTTACCCATGTTTTTATTTTCTAGTGTTTTTTTCCTTCCTGAAGTTCCAAAATTACTTTGTTAATCATTTCTGTTTAGAGAACTTCCTTCAGCCATTATTTTCAGGCAGGTCTGCTGTGACAAGTTCTCTAACTTCCCTTTCATTCCAAGGAAATTGTCACCGGACACAGAAATCTGGACTGAGAGTTCTTTCAGCACTTGAAAAATGTGCCATTTCCTCTGACCTCCGAGATTTCGGATGAGAAATCTGCTGTCATGTAACCTGTTGTACATTGAAGTATTTCTAGCTGGTTTTAAGATTTTCTTTTTTTTTTTTGTCTCCTGTTTTCAGAAATTACATATCTGTGTCCTGGTGTCTATTTCTCTGGGTTTTGCCTGTTTGAGGTTCACTCATCTTGAATGTGTATGTTTCCATCTTCTCCCAAATTTGGAGAATTTTCGGTCATTTCTTCAAACACGTTTTTAACCCACCCCCTTTCTCGGCTCCTTCTTGGATTCCCATGGCACAAATGTTTGCTCTTTTATTATAGTCCCACAAGTCTCTAAGTGTGTTCACTGTTTTTCCAGTACAATTGCTCGGAATGGGTGACTCCTATTGTTCCATTTTCAAGTTTGCCGATTCTTTCCTGCCCTTCCATTTGAGTGTTGGGTCCATCCACTGAGTTTAAAATTTCAGTTATTTTTCAGTTCTAAAAGTTCCATTTGGTTCTTCTTTACAGCTTCTCTTTCTTCCCTAAGGCTTTCTATTTTTCATTTGTCTCCGGCATGCTTGTAATTGCTCACAGTATCATTTGCATAATGGCTGCTTTAAAATTCCATGTCAGAAAATTCTAACATCAGTGCCACCTTGGTGATGGTGTCTATTAACTGTCTTTGTTCTTCAGGTTGAAGTTTTCCCCGCTCTTGGAAGGGCATGTGATTTCTGATGGAATCTGGGACATCTGAGTATTACAAGACCGTGGGTCTTACCCAAATCTTCGCTTTTAGCTGGCCGCCTCCGACACGGCGCTGGTCGGGGAGTGCCCCCTTGCCACTGCCGGACTGCGCCTGCCCTACTGGGAGCTAGGAACGCCTTGTTACTGTTTCCCACTGACACTGTTGGGGTGGCCTTGTTACTGCTGCAGATCGGTGACAGTCCTGAATCTCCACTAAGTCACCCGACAGCACCCAGGCAGGAAGGCAGAGGGAGGCCACTTCATTGCGGGTTTAAGTCCAGGCTCCCTGTGACCACTAACAGCAGGGCAAAGGCAGCCTGTCGTCTCCTGGAGGGGACAGTGCCGCCCCTCACTTGGCTTCCCCCGACACCACCTTGGCTAGGAGATGGGGTGTGGGGGAGGGTGTCCTGACGGCCAGTCAGGGATACAAGTCGAGGCTCCCACTTGTCAGGTGAGGTGGTGGTGGAGTCGGTTTATTTACCTAGCCCAGTTTGGCTGGACTAGTGGTTATTATCTAAAAGTTCCCGTCTTGCTAGTTGGTCCCTTTTGGCCACAGAGAACAGGCTTTCCTTGCGGCATTTTTCTTGGTTTGCGCCTGGGGCTCCTCCAGCACGAAGTCTGTGACAGGAGGACAGATGAGGCCAAAGAAAATCCAGGCCATCACCGCTGCATCAACCTCTGGGCCAAGCTTCCTAGTCTATCTGTCTTCTCTCTTTCAGATTCTCCTGTTTGCTTAATACTGATGCTTGGGGTCAGCAGAAACAGTACCATTCCATTCTTTTTCACTGCTAATGCAGTCCACTGTTTGAAGTACCACGAGCTATGCAGCTGTTTCCCAGCTGAAGGACAACACATAGGCAGGTCCCAGTTTGAGGCAATTATGAATGACACTGCTGTAAGCATTCACACGCCATGATTTTCATAAGCCTTAGTTTTCTCTTCTTGGGTGTACACCTAGGGGTGGGACTAGTGGATCACATGGTTTAGTGGAAGTTTATCAACACTAAACTGTGTTCCGAAGGCCCTGTGCCATTCTACACCAACCACGTGTAACAGTCCCAGCTGCTCCGATCCTTGCCAGCCTTTGGTATTGTCAACTCTATCTTCTTATTAAACCATTCTCACAGGTGTGCAATGGTATCTCACTGTAGTTTTAATTTGCATTTCCCTAATGATGTTGAGTGTATTTTCATGCGCTTATTTGTCACCTGTATATTTTATTTGGTGAAGTGTCTGCTCAAATCCTTTGCCCATTTTTGTTTTTCCTCATCTCAGTGTTGACAGTTCTTTACACATTCTGCTTAGAAGTCTTTTGTCATAAATGGTTTTCCACTCAACTTATACTACCAATAACTGGTCAAAGTTTAACACTTACTATGTAAAGGCCCATAATGGTATTATTACCAAGGTCCAATATGTAACTCTAGACTTCCTGTTCTTATTTAGACTACACTCAGGTCGTTGTCGTTTTCCAGGGGCTAAAATGCATCTATTTTCTACCTGGTAATATCCATTATCTCTGAGGAACTTTCAGAGAATGTACCAATTACTTGGGAAGCTGCAGGTATCGTTTGTTAACTTTAAAGCAAAATATTTCTGGGGTGCTCTTGCCCGTCGGCTCCTTAATCCAGGGAAATTTAGACAAGAAGTTCATTCAAAGTTTCAATGCAATTCAAGAAGAAAGCAGCCTGAAAAGCCACAATCACATAGAGCCTGTGTGTCAAAGAGTGTGTGCAGTAGGTGACAACTGTGACTCGTGGTCAGAGACGTACCTGGATCACTGCCCAGTGCTCCTGAACTTGTGGTCAGCGTTTCAGATGGGTGCGAAAGCTGTTCTGGTGGATCCTGCTGCTGCTGCTGCTGCCGCTGTTGCCTAAAACATGCAAAAGAGAATGCATATTTTAAAAAAATAATAATAATAAAAACACGCCATGAGAAACACTATTCGTGGGGGAAAAAATGGTTCCACAAGCCACGGGCATGACCACCACAAAAGAATGCAAGAGCTATCAGTCTGACATATATATGAGTTGGAAGTATCACTGTGCAATCCTAGGAAACCTAGACAAAAAATTTGAATTTATTCAGAAAAATTAATAGGTAGGTGTTTTTACTACAAAATAACACACTGTACAAAAGGATTCACTGGTAGCTGTTTTTATGCAAATGTGTTGGTTTAGAGATCCTTACTATTGTGGGAAGTCACTGAAAATAAACACCTTTAAGAGAAAATGAAGCACCCCAAATTACTGTATGAATTAACACGAACCTTCCACGGCTGGCTCCTTCCCGTGTTCAGATCTGAGTTTCAGTATCTCCTCACAGGTACCTTTCCTGTCTACCTTCCTCATGCAGCCCTCAGGGCATTCTTCTGTCTCATTACTCCATTTTTAATTTTCAGCATAAATTTACCAGCATCTGGTAACTCCCGTCTGTCTCCTTCTTTAGAGAGTTAGTGAACGGGGTGCACCCCTTATCCTGTTTGTTGCCCAGTACACAAAACTATTCCAGTCACATCGTAGGCATTCGCCAAATACTTGATGAATGAAAGAAATGAAAACTATTATACATAATCCAGGCTCTGTAATCGCTATTTGCATTAAAATAAGTTCTCCCTGTACATTTTTAAGCAGGAAAAACAATGTCATAGGACATTTAAACATGATGGTTAGGATGTAATATGTAGGTCCTTGTACTTAGAAAATAAACACTGAGATGTAGTAAGAAATCATGTCTGCAAATTATTCTCAAATGGTTCAGAAATGTCAGCAACTGGAGAATCCGAGCAAAGGGTCCAGGAGCCCTGTGAACTATTTCTGGTTTTATGTATAATTAAAATGATTTCATATGTACATACATGCGCTAAAATGTAAAGAACTTAAAAACAGATGGCAATCTGAGAAGCCATCACTTTCAAAAAATGCATGAGGATCTTCAAAGGAACCAGAATTTTTAAATTACCAGTAACACTATCAACAGAACAGCACATTTTTTCCTAGGGTCCCCGCTTAATCTTGTGTTTCAAATAGGAGCAACCAAGAAAATTCAGCCAGTGGGGAGTCGTCCTTTCCCCCTGCTGGCCTTTGGGGCAGCACACCCATGCGGGGGGCGTGCTCCCACCATCACCGCCCGATTCCGGGACGGGCGAGAGGAAGGCTGTGAGTCGGGTGGGTTTCCTGGCAGGTCAGATTCCTCTCTGGACCACTTCCTCCTTCACTCAGGAAGACATGTCAGAATGCAAGGTAACAGCGATTTCAGAGGGGTAACTTTTATTCTACTTTAAATTCATGAAAAGTGAGAAAAATGAACTGCCAATCCAGGAACACCTCTGACACGTGATGGCACTGTGAGACAGAAGGTGTTTGGAGAGCACTCGGCAGCCACTGCCACTGTGCCTTCTGACGTGCCTTCAGAATCAGAGAGTCCAGAGTGCTAAAAACTACATGTCCTAAAAGGCAGAGAGGAGAAATAAGGCACGGCAACTTTCCTGCCACTTTGGTTGGTCTCTGTTAGCAAGTGACGTCATGAAGAAGCCCGTCCCAGAATTCGGCTCCGAGGCAGCTGCCATGGGGGCCAGACTCCTCCTGTGCCCAGTCTTCACGTCTAGGCGACTGTGGTGGCCGTGTCCTGATCCTGGCATCAGAGCTCTGGCAGTGCACTCAGTCTCCTGATTCGCCATCGCCCCAACTCGGGCAGTGGTCGCTGCTCTTCACACAGGTTGGGGTTCTGGAGGCCTGGACTACCGCCTGCACGCCAGCTCTTCCTAAGAGTGTATAAGACCTAATTTCTGTATTAGATACTTTTGGGCTTCAAACACCTCTAGTAGGTTGTGTTTCTTAAACTGAACCCTGACGATGCCACGTCACTGACATTGTGGCTCAGGTATTAGACAACCAAAAAAATCATGGCAACCAACAACCATGAAAACTACCTGTTCCTCCTTGTTGAGAAACACATTCCAAGTGATAGAAGGATTCCTTCTATCCTTCTTCAGTTCCGAGTTACACCTATGAGAAAACGTTAATGATGCTAACGTATGCCTGTGGAACATGGTATAGGTTACGAAATAGTTTGACACACCTGGCCTAATTTATATGCTCACAGCATGTGAGTTAAAGCAGGTTTTGCAATGACGTGGCTGATATAATAGTTTTGCCTGGAGTTTTATGATAGATAAAATGGAATGAGAGGTTACTACTGAAAAAATGGCTATGAAAATATTAACAACTATTACTTGGAATGTATGAATTTGTACAGGTAGATTTTTAAGTGTTTTTTTTAGGCTTCCTGCATGAGTACTGTGGTTACCTCATTAAGTGTGAAGCTTCCAGTACTGTACAAAAAAACAACAAACCACAAAGCTACACATTTGAATGAGTAACAAGTTAGCACCAGGAGAGGGTCAGAAGAAAGCCAGCTTGATAACCTTCTAGCTACGCTCCCCAAGACGGAAGTTACAGAGAGAAAGAGCGACCTGGGCTCAGTGATCAGAAACTCTGGTGGAAGATCAACACTGTGGAACCTGGGTGCTCGATCCTAATTTATTCCGGAAGGCTGTTCGAGAAACAATTTCTTCGAAAACCAAATCATACTCATCTCACTCATTCTCTCCTGTTTGTTGCCTGAGAGACTCGTGACTGATCACACAGGTATCAGCATGAAAGGAATGCCAGGGTGAGAACCAGAGTGTTGTTTGACAAAGAAGACGATTTTTCTGTGAACTTGGCCAGGAACTGAACTGTTCGAGACAGCAGACAGTCGAGAACCGAGGTTTGACTGTGTATTGGTTTCTCAGCTCCTTTACTATTGAGGCCTACGAGATTCTGAATGCGAGCCACTGTTAATGAGACACACCGGGAAGTTAGCTCCTATGTCTTCTCAGCAACAGGAGACTGAATAGTCTCTAGTTCTCCTTAAGTTCCCATCAGTACTTCTCCACTCGAACCAGAGGACAGAAAGCTGAAGCTGGAACCATCACTGCACACTCCCTCCACAGTCACCTACTCGCCAACACGAGGGAGCCACGCCGACACTCATTCATTCAAAAAGGGCACCAAGTTGACTAAAACATCTGCATTATCACTAGCGTTGTGCTCGCTATAGTTTACTTAACCACTAAGGACTGTTAATGCATTATTCTTTCTACTCTAAAAAGTTTAATGTACAGGAAGCTCCGCATGTGTAATCCAAAAAATCTAAAAAGAAATTTAAATAAAAGGGGTTTGTTTTTATACTTTGAAGATGTTTTCCTTTTCTTAGATGTATTTGTGAATTTTGTAGATTCTCTATAAAGTATGTCAGCTTGGACAGTTTTATTCTGGCAAAACACAGAGTCTGAAAAAGCATGGTAGAAGTTATCACTTGAAAATTGTTCTGACAAGCAGTCAGAAATCTGTACCAAGGCCTTGAAAATGTCCATGTACTTTAACCCCAAAATCTGACATCCTCAAAATATTAGAAGAAATGATGCGAGATTTAAGGCATAGACTTAGTACAAGGATAATATGTTACACTATTAACTACAATAGCAACAATAAAATGTTCATATACAAATTATGATATATACTCATTTTATGAAATATCGTGTATCCTACTTATCAATACAAAGAATACTTCCTATCATGGGAAAATAGATATAACTAATACATACATGTCTGTATAACTAGAAGATGATGTGCCAAAATACTGACGTCAGTTATTAAAGGATAGTAAGATTAATCCTGGCTCCTGTGGCTCAGTGGAATGAGTACAGCCTGTGAACCAAAAGGTAGCTGGTTCTATTCCACACAGGGCACAGGCCTGGGCTGCAGGCTAGGTCCCCAGCTGTGGATGTGTGACAGGCAACTGAGTGATGTGTCTCTCATACATTAATGTTTCTCTCTTTCCCCCCTCCTTCCCCTCTCTCTAAAAATAAATAATTAAAATGTTTGGAAAAAAGGATAAGATTATATTTTCTTTTAAGTTTAATATCCTTTTTTAAAGATTTTATTATCTCTAGAAGGGAAGGGGAGAGGGAGAGAAATATCAATGTATGGTTGTCTCTCGTGAGTCCCCTGCTGGGAACTGGCCTGCAACCCAGGCATGTGCCCTGACTGGGAATCGAAGTGCGATCCCTTGGTTCACAGTTCTGCACTCAATCCACTGAGCTACACCAGCCAGGGCTAAGTTTGATATGTCTTAAAAGAAGTTTTCTAGGATATAAATTTTTTTAATTTACCATTTTAAACACTTCCCCGCCCAAGTATTTATTTATTTATTTTTAGAGAAAGGGGAAGGGAAGGAGAGAGAAAGAGAAACAATAATGTGTAGTTGCCTCTTGCACGCCCCCTATTGGGGACCTGGCCCGCAACCTGGGCATGTGCCCTGACTGGGAACCAAACCTGTGACCCTTTGCTTTGCAGGCCCACGCTCAATACACTGAGCTACACCAGCCAGAGTAGGCTATTAATTTTTATCTAAGTTATGTTTAACACTAACTAGATATCTGATGATATTATAGAATTACCATTAATAAATATCACTTGATAATCACTAACATTATTGTATGACAACAGCATTTAGCTTTGTTTAAAAAAACAGCCCATATATTTTAGAGGCATGTACTGAAATAAATATAGATAAAATGACATGATGCTTTAGATTTATTACAAAATAACCCCAGCTTGGGGGTGGAAGAGTGAAGAGCAGGGGAGAACGGGGCATGAAAACAGGACTGGTCACGTGCTGATGTTTGTTAAATCCGGACACCTTACGTGGTTTTTCTGCTTTTATACAAGCTCTAAGTTTATTGTATTTAGAAAATAAAAATTAATTTTAAAATTTAAAAGGAAGTAAAAAGCACTGATAAACACTATTTTGAAATTTTATATAATTAAATCCATTAGTCTATCACTGAACAAAGACTGGAAATATCTCACATTAAGAGGTTGTCAGTTGATCAGAATTTCCTTCATATACTTCTGAGTTGTGACTTAAAAACAAACAAACAGAAAACAAGGTAAACATTATCTTCATTTCACCATCAAGTGAAAAATGCTTCAGTATCTTAAACACCACTAACTACTGCCAATTGTGACTGTACGATGCTTCTCTGGTGCCCAGATGTTGAAATGTGGGAATACGTGCATCTTAGAACTGATGAAATACGGGAAATTAAGAGGCCAGGTTCAGCCACTGGCCTTTTGGTTTCTGATCTGGGATCGGAGGATCTGAATATCTATTATATAGACCTGTAATCTTTAAGATGAGTTTTCATCATTAAAAGAAAAAGGAAAGAGAAAAGGGGAAGAAGACTTGTGAATGATAGTTGCAGGAAACGGTATCTTTATGGGGTGAAATTTCTATTTTAAGAGTTCTCTGTATAAAGCAGGGTACACGGCTGGGTTTTCAGAACTGCTGATTCAGATGGGTGGTCTGCCCTCACAGCCCCGATGCTAACAGCCCCGGGGCGCCGCTGCTCGGGGAGAGGAACAGAGCTCCAAGCCAGCACCTGTCTGGGCGCGGGACTCAGCAGGACCAGGTAACCGAGAAGCACATTCGGAGGCTCATCAGGCATTGTTCTTGCCATGACCCAATTCCATTTTCCTTTCTTTCTTTCTTTTAATTTTATTTAGTTATTTTTCAAGTACAGTTTTTTGTCTATTTCTCCCATCCCAGCCTCCCCCGCCCCGTGCTCCCCACCTCCCTCCCATTTCCACCCCCCCTTAGTTCTCGTCCCTGTGTCCTTCCTATTTGTTCCTCCAAATCCCTCCCCCTTTTCCCCCTTAAATTCCCTTCCCTCTCCCCTCTGGTCACTGTCCCCTTGTTCTCTATTTCAGTGTCTTTGTTTTTTCCATTTTCCTTTCGATGACTGAAATTCTGCAGGGTTTCCTTGCCTCTAGTTCACGTAAATTTCATTAGCATCGGGGTCAAGTTTTCCCCTAAAACTACACTCCGATGATCACAGGGTCAGGCAGTAACCAGTCCTTTTTTAAAAAAAGAGAGTCTTAAATAAATAAACAGTTTAAGCCAAAGCTGTAAGTTCACAACAAAGAGAACAGCCAAAGTAAATACCGAAGACGCAATTTTAATATTGTACAAACTACTTTACTTTTCAAAGTAGGCTTCTCTTCTCTTCCGAAGCTCTTCTGAAGTAAGATGTGTGCCTGACGCCTGGGGAATATCTTGAGATATATTTCTGGAACTACCTGAAAACAAAACAAAATAGAACAGAAAAACAATCATTTTACTTACCAGGTCAAGTAACAATATGTTTATATTTATGTGAACAAGTTTTTAAAAACTTTGCTTCTTGCCCTGTCCAGGTACCTCTGTCGGTTAGAGTGTTGCCCCTGTACGCCAAGGTTGCCGGTTCGATCCCCCGTCAGAGCACATACATGAGTCAACTGCAAATCAAAGGCAGGCTCTGAAATCCTCAGGGAAACCTGAATGAGGCAGTTCAACTCTAACCCGCGTCCACTACGACCAATGCTGTCACCCGGAGACAGCGGCGGACGTGAGGACTGAAGCCCAGCCGCCGGGCGAGAAGGGTCACGAACAGCACTGCAGCGCGCTCTCCGAACTTACCGGACATACAACTGCCCCTTCGAAGGCACAGGATTCCCCGGAAGCAACCTGAACTGGATGCCCACCAGGCAAACCCACTCTCCATGTTCCCTCACCCGCCAAAGTTGGGGTCCCACCCACCACAGCCTCAGCACGTCCCCACGTGCGATTTACTGCACCAACCAGAGACTTCACGCGGATTGTGAAATGAGTGCTAAGAAGAGTGAATTACCCCCAACTACCTCAAATTGTAAAAGCTGACATCTGCCGTTACTTCCATTTTTAGATATTTAAGAAATTCAACGAATAATTTCATTAGAAAACATGAAGGCAAAATCACGTTAAGTAGATAAAACAAAAGCACCCAGAGAAACTCCTCACGCCCTCGTGAAGCCACGTGTGCCTCCCCCAGACACCGTCCAGGCCTGGCCCCCCTGGGGCACCATCCCCTGGCTCCTTTGCTGATGGGCTGGCGTCACAGTAACAGCAGGCTCGGGGAGGGGCACCTGGGCTGTAGACCGCACAGACGTCGACGCCAGCTTTCCAGAAAGTCGGTTTACGTTCCTGCCCTGGTCTTCCTTTGTGTCCCGCAACACACGCACTCATGCAACAGCTGCTCTGGGAAGAGACCTCGCACTTTGGCCCACAAAGATGAACCTCAGTTTACTGCTGTATGTTAGTACAGTGTTATCACCGAGTGGAATAACCAGAAATAAAAATACACGAGTCTTAAAGTAACAGAGGTGGTAAAAGTTATTTGTATCACAAGAAAACTAAAAGAACAGCTGACTGTACATAGCCATCGCTTCCTCAGTTAACTGTCAGGTTGTCAAATGACTTCTCACAGTTTACCCGGAAACCAAGAATTATCTGAATCAATTCTCCAATGAGGGCAAAACCGCGTCAGAAGGTCTGTACCTTGCATACTGAGCTGAATAGCCCTGCGGAGATCAGCCTCCTCATCCTCCATGTCGATCTGCTGGCGACTCAGGGCCAGCGCCCGCCGCAAGTCCTCCTCATCTTCATCCAACACTCCTGACCCATCGTTTGCTTCTAAGACTTGTTCCAGGTCAGCTTTCTGGACTCTAAGGAACGAAAGCACTGATAACAACTGCAGGCCGGTCTTGTAGTCATTTATAAACCGAAGATTTTGTATAAGTCAAAACTTACACATTTTCTTGCAGATTAGGTCCAATACAAAGACTGGGTTGTGATGTGACTCTAAGTTAATATATTTAGGTAATTCGAAGAGTTCATTTCAATTTCCATCAATAACCTTGACTACAATATATGGGTCTAAAAACAACCACCCACCCCACGGTGGCATGAAAGCTTCATTCGCGCAATGAGACGCTATCATACATCGCACACGCGAGTCCATCTACCTCTGTTCCTTCAGTTGTGCTAGTTCCTCTCCAATGAGTTTTGGTCGGTGCATCTGCTGGACCCTGATCATCTGCAGGAGCTGGTCGGCTTCACAATCTGGCAGATCACCCTTAACAACAAATATAGAATAACCTAAAAAAAAGGCAAAAATAAACTAAAACAGCTAGGTAGAGATTCAAAATCAATTACAAATTACGGTAGCTATGGAGGTGGCATGGCATAAAATTGTGGAAAGAATATAAATTAAAGCCCTGGCTGGTGTGGCTTAATGGCTTGAGTGCTGGCCTGTGAAACAAAGGGTCACCATTCAATTCCCAGTCAGGGCTCATGCCTGGGTTGCAGGCCAGGTCCCCGGTGGAGGGCACATGAGAGGCAACCACACATTGATGTTTCTCTCCCTCCCTTCCCCTCTCCCTAAAAATAAATAAATAAAATCTTTTAAAAAGTAGCACTCTTACACTCACATCTAATGAGTTAGTTTTATTCAGCTACTTTGAAAGATAACATTATAAAATTTTCCACTTTAACTTACCTTCCTGTTGTAATTGAGCCAAGAAAAGTGCAAGGTATGTGTCTGATATTAATTCTGGACCCGTCAAAAGAGAATTCAAGTTGAACCACTAGAAAAAAAAAGCCAATGTTTAAGTTAGTGAACATTGTAACTAATAAGGATGTTTCACATGTTAAAAATAAATATAAACTGTCTGAACAGTAAGGGGATCTAAACAGTAAAAACACATCAAACTGAGATTTTTAAAAAGTAAATAAACGTATTCTAAAACCTGAAATAGAATGATTTGTCAATGTTAAATGTTTTTAAATAAAAGTTTGTTTTAAGCCATAAAATTTAAATCCCCCAAAAAGAAAAGAAACTGATAATACTTCAAATTATCTTTATTAAGAGCTACAGTTAAATCTCTTTTCAAAGCATGCCCAAGAAAACCCTAATATAATCACACTACATTGATGTGGAAGAAAAATGACGACTACACAAAGTTTTCCTATTACTGATCATTTTGGTCAAAGATTTCAACTGTGAGAACGCCAGTCTACACTGGGAGGAATTTAAATCACCAACTCATTTTGGAAAGGCCGAGAAAGCCACCGCTGCACATAATTATCATCATCTAGTCGCTGCTTCATGGGAGCCCTAATTTAACCTCAAGGGAGCTCAGACAAAAGAGTCAATAGTGAAAAATGCAATTTTAAACAAAAATATAAATTACAGCTAAAGATTAGCCAATGTTTGACATTTTATGTCTTTGTCAAAAATAATTTAAAATGTGAAAATACAATTTTCAAGAACTAAAATTTTAAAAACCTCTCAAAATAATGATATAAATTTACATGTAAATTAATATAAAAGAACTTCTGGAATCCAAGCTGTCAGATCTTAAAAAAAAAAAATACATGGATTACCATCTACACAAAAAGTGAAGAATATGTGATCATAATTTTCAAAGACATACATGAAACCTAGAGGTAAAGATCCCCAGTGTCCCGCCCTCGCTCTTCCCTACAGTCAGTTCCCACTTGGGTCACCCTCTGCTCAACCACATCTCCTGCACCTTACTTGCTTAGCTCTGAGCTCCTCAGGAGGGACCTTAAGAAATTTAAGCTCTGGCTGGTATGGCTCAGTGTACTGAGTGCTGACCTGTGAACCAAAAGGTCACTGGTTCGATTTTCATTCGGGACAGATGCCTGGGTTCTGGGCCTGGTTCCCAGTTGGGGAGTGCGAGAAGCAAGGAATCAATGCTTCTCTTACACAATGAAGTTTCTCTACCTTTCCTTCTCCCTCCCTTCCACCTTCCCCCCCAAATAAAGAAAATCTTAAAGAAAAGACATAACCATTGAAGATGAAGCTGCATTTAGGCAGCTGAGTAAAAAGATAATAGCGATGTTTTTTTTGGTTTTGAATTATCTTTTATTGAATTAATTCAACATACTCTTTCTTTACTTCATTTTCTTTTCATATTATTTTTAAACAGCTTTATTGAGGTATAATAGGCGAGCAATAATCTGCACATATTTAAAGTGCACAATTTGAGAAGTTCTAACATACGCACACACCCATGAAACCATCACCACAACCAAAGGAGTGAACGCCTGTGTCACTGCTGAGTCCCTGTGCCTTGGAACTGCCTCGCCCTTCCCTGCTCCTATCCCCTGGCAACCCCTGCTTGATCTGCTTTCTATCAATACAGGTTAGTTTGCATTTTCTCCACTTTGACATAAATGGAACCATACGGTAGGAAGTATTTGGTATCTACCTTTCACTGAGCATAATTATTTGGAGATTACCCATGTTAATGCATATATCAATAGTCAATTCCTCCTGCACTGGCCGGTGTGGCTCAGTAGACTGAGTACTGGCCTGTGACCCAAAGGACCACTGGTTCTATTCCCAGTCAGGTACATGCCTGGGTTGTGGGCCAGGTCCCCAGCAGGGGGCACTCGAGAGGCAACCACATGTTGATGTCTCCCTCTCTCCCTCCTTTTCCCTATCTAAAAATAAAACTAATAAAATCCTTTAAAAAAAGTTAACTCCTTATTATATTAGCCCACTTTCATTAACACTCATTCAAAGATTCAAAATTCTAAAAAAAGACTTCGCATAATTGTTTTAAAAACAGAACTGTGTATAAAAAGATCATTGGTAACTATTTAAAAAAATACCCCTTTAGGTATGTTTCTCAATCTTCGAAAAGGCTTGCTCAAGACACAGTCATGCTCTTTGTACTTTTCAACAGAAATGATTTTATGGGGGTGTGTGCACTGTGTGATGAGAAGGGTCTTGTTATGCTAAAGCGAACGTGGCTGAAAACTTCACTCCCTCTGGACACTTTCAGGCTTTATAACACTACCATGCTAAATACAACTCTATTAATGACAAAACATCACATAAAACGTGCTTAAAAGTAACCACGTTTGCTGTGGTCTTAAAGAATTTTTCTTTCTTTTTTTTTTTAATTTTTATTTATTTCTCTTTAGAGGGGAAGGGAAGGAGAGGGAGAGAAATATCAATGTATGGTTGCCTCTCATGTGTTCCCTGCTGGGAACTGGCCTGCAACCCAGGCATGTGCCCTGACTGGGAATCGAAGCACAATACTTTGGTCCATAGGCCCTCGCTCAATCCACTGAGCTACACCAGCCAGGGCTAGAATTTTTCTTATGATACAGTGAAACTGCATATGGTTGTCACAAATAAATGAATAAGGCAAACTGATACTGTATTTTAAATAGGAAATTTCTAATTATGCCACCTACACATGACTGAGGAATTTCTTCATCTAATCCTTTACATTTTAATTGCAAATGGAATGTGGAATGAGAAAAATGACAAGGAAGGAAGAGAAACATTACCTGTTTTCCTAATTTTCTAACTGTAAACCAGTGTTCTTTATAATTGCATATAAACGATCTTTCATTTCTAGAAAAGGAAAAAAAAATAGAGACCCAGTATTAACTTCATCTACTGGCCAGGGTTATACAAAACTTGTAACTTCAGATCACGTTTGCAGAGTGAATCTGTGCGCAGGTCTGTGGCGCTGTGCAAACGATGGCGTCACAGGAAGCCCTCGGACTGTGGTGCCCAGACACCGTGCTGCCAGAACAGCCGAGGGCACACGGACGCCCCAAAAGGCAAAAAGGGAATGACACAGGGCACGTCAAGACAAAGGCATTAGACATACGTTTTTCTCCTTTAAGAAATGGTAACTTTCAAAACCAAAATTAGGAAGAGAAATGTAGGAAAAGCAAAATGAAACCTTACATGGGGTCAATCCCAAGCCTCTGATACTCTGGACTGTTGAACAGGATTAGTTCTAAACCCCAAACTTTCAAGGCATTGCTTATAACCTGTTAAAAAACAAACAAACAGCAATTTCTCATGAGCAACACTGTTCAATTTCAAATTTAAGTAGGGAACGCCATGTTAGCTGGGCAAACAGTTGTACTTCATACACCAATTTCTCCAGAAGGCTATGATTTTTTAAAAGTGTGTATAAGATATACCATGACATCTATCACTAACATACAAACATAGCATTAAAAAAAATGCTTCTAGGGAGTCAAATGGCTGCCTAGGTAAACATGGCTCACCTCCTCATACAACCACATGAAAATTACAACTAAAATACAGAAAAACCATCACTCAGAACTGTCAGAAGTCAAGCTGAATGGAAGTCCAACAACTGTGGAATTAAAGAAAACCCCATCCATCCAGACTGGTAGGAGGAGCACACACGCAGAAAAGGCTGGTCCCACACCCACGGGTGATGGATAGAAATTCAGGAGGGGTACCTCAGAAGTGAGGTCTCCCAGCACCACACCAGGCCCCCCAGCCCAGGGTTCCAGAGCCAGGAAGGTAAGTTCCTGTAACTTCTGGCTGCAAAAACCAGGAGGGATAGAGTAGAAGACACTTCTGGAGTTCCAAGCAGTTTCCCTTAAAGGACCCAAACATGGACTCATTCCCTCTGAGCTCTGGCACCAGGGTAACAGCTTAAAAGGCACCAGTGACATACAGGAAGGAAGTGAAGAGACTGGCATCAAGGCCAGAGCTGGTGGGCAGAAGCCACTGCCCCTTTTTTGAAGCCTCCCCCAACAGGGCCACAGAGCCAGCAGGCTGGTGCCATATCTGAGACTCCACAACCTGACTAACGCCGTTGACCCTGCTTAGGAGACCCTCAAAGACTCTGCCCCACCCAACTGAAGAGCCCGCCCAAGCTGCTTTTCTGTGTGAATGGCTGGTCTTGACTTACACTTCACAACTCCCTAAATACTCTCACGTAAGCAACAGCTGGTCTCAGGGAGCCCCGGGCCTGGCACTAGCAGCACCCAGACCAGATTCACAGCTTAGCTTTGCCAGGGAATCTCCAAGTAGCAGCCATTTCAGATGGCTTTATAGCTAGGGTGGCCCCAGACAAAACACAGGTAGGTGCTGACCTTGGGCTGCACCACCCGGGAAACGCTAGAGCCTCTGCACCCAGTGGATGGCTGCAGACCGTGCTGGTGCACCACCATCCTGTCCCGGCACAGCTGATCTCCACGGAGGATGGAAGATGGAGACTGGTGGACAGTAGCTACAGCTGGTCCTTGCAATTGAATGACCTGGGTAAATCCCATCGACCTGCCAAGAGCAACCAAGGCTCAACTACAAAGGGAGAATGTATGGACCCACACGAAGGGCACACCTCAAGTACCCAGCTTGGGAGACAGGAGAGGCTGTGTCACTGTCCCTACTAAACACCGACTACGTTAGGCCATGCTACCAAGACAGGGAGACAAAGCAGCTCTACCTAATACATAGAAATAAACACAGGAGGAGACAAAGAAACATGGCCCAAATGAAAGAACAGATCAGAACTCCAAAAAAAGAACTAAACAAAATGGAGATAAGCAATCTATTAGACGCAGAGTTCAAAATACCAGTTATAAAGATGCTCAAGGAACTTAGTGAGGACCTCAACAGCATGAGAAAGACCCAGTCAGAAAAGAAGGATTCATTAATTGAAATAAAGAACAATTTACGGGGAAACAACAGTAGAGTGAATCAAGCCAAGAATTAAATCAATGATCTGGAACATAAGCAAGCAGTAAACAACCAATCAGAATAAGAAGAAAAAAGAATCCAAAAGAATTAGGACAGTGTAAGCAGCCTCTGGGATAGCTCCAAAAGATCCAACATTCGCATCATAGGGGTGCCAGAAGGAGAGGAGTGCAAGAAACTGGAAATCTATTTGAAACAACAATGAAAGAAAACTTCCCTAATTTGGTGAAGGAAATAGACATGCAAGTCCAGGAAGCACAGAGTCCCAAACAAGATGGATGCGAAGAGGCCCACTCCAAGACACATCATAATTCAAATGCCAATGGTTAAAGAGAAAGAATCTTAAAAGCAGCAAGAGAAAACAAGTTACGAAATTTTACCATGTATAATACGCTCCTGTGTATAACATGCACCCACCTTTTTTGCCCAAGCTTTCAGGAAAAAACCTTTTGCTTAATTTTTTAATTCAATCTTTTATTTATATTTAAAAACAATTACCGTATTCCAGGGTATTATTTTGCATATGGATATCATTATTGCTGTCTAGAGTTACACTTTAATACATAAGCATAAATAATTAAAAACATTCATAAAGATAAGGAATAATACTACCCCTTTATAATGAGCATCCTTATTTTCCCCTCAAAAATTTGGGTAAAAAAAAGTGAGCATTATACATGGCAAAATACGTTACCTATTAGGGAGTTCCCATAAGACTGTCAGCTGATTTCTCAAAAAGAAATTTTGCAGGCTAGAAGGGATTGGCAAGACATATTCAGTCATGAAAAGCAGGGACCTAAAGCCAAGATTGCTCTACCCAGCAAAGCTATCATTTAGAATCAAAAGGCAGATAAAGAGCTTCCCAGACAAGGAAAAACTAAGAGTTCATCATCACCAAAACATTATTATATGAAATGTTAAAGGGACTTTTTTAAGAAAAAGAAGATCAAAACTATGGTCAATAAATACATATCTATCAATAACTGAATCTAGAAAACAAACTAAGCAAACAAGAACAGAGACAGAATCATGGATACAGAGAGCATTTGGATAGTTGCCAGATGGGGGTGTGTGGGGGAATGGGTGAAGAGGTGAGGGGATTAAGAAGTACAAAGAGGCAGTTACAGAATAGCCATGGGGATGTAATGGCTATAGCACAGGAAGTGGAGTAGCCACAGAACTTTTATACACATGACCCATGGACATGAACAGATGGTGGGGGAACCGCCTGGGGGGTGAGGGGTGCTTGGTAGAGGGGGACAAAGAGGGAAAAACTGGGACAACTGTAACAGCATAATCAATACAATATAATTTTTTAAAATAGCACTTCTTAACACTAGGTTTCTGGGTTATGGTAGGAATCTACACAATTCCTAGATAAAACTGCCTCAAAAATCCAGACGTACAGCCGATCCACAAAGTGCATTCTTAAAATCAGTACCCTCTCTATGCACATAGGTAACTGGGCTGACATGTGTCCTGCTGTAGAAAAGTTGTATTTCAACCCACTACCTGATATGTCAGTAATAGTGTTACTTATACATCTGTTAAAATGAGTTCTTTCTAGGGATTTAAGATGAAGTTTTTGTATGTTTTAAATTTGTTATTAGATGTTCAGAATTTTAGGAAAAAACAAAAGATAATACTGATTAATGGGAATGTATAAGATGCAAACTGCCTGGAAATAAAATGGAGAGTTCTAAATGTTCACCACCTACCCTCCAAGGCAGCTAACGAAGAGACAAGCACACTTGGTACCAGCAGACAAAAGTGGAGGCAATGAAGTGCGCACGTGTGAATCAGCACCAAGGGCAGCGCTACGCCCGGGACACCGCAAGAGCTGGGCCCCTCACTGCCTGGATCCCAGCCCTGTGGTATCTGTTACCCAGAAGAGTCCACGGGGAAGCGCTGAACGGAAATGCTGGTGGGGAGGCGTCCAGGACAGCACAAGGGGAATGCACACAAAGACATCTGCCAACACCGGTCCCTCGGGAGACTCCAGATGCACCTCCCAGGCATTAGCAACAGAACGAGAGACCTACAGATCAAGGAACCTCACAAGCAATAATACAGCTTCCTCTGAATTCTAGTTGTAGATATACATTCAAAAACAAATAAAAAGCACAGCCACAGACCACCATAAAAGAATCCAGTAAGCTGATTGAAAGGGAAGGCAGCAAGGTGTTTCATTTTTCTCAAATTTACACAAGACACAGGAAGTTTAAAAGGCTCTGACTTACTAGATTTAAGGTTATTAGTATCCACATGCAAATTAAAAAATCTTCTTACAGAACCCTACCCTAAATTGAAGACTCTACAATCCTAACAGTTCACGTTTATCTACAGGAAAACTTACTCTGGAGTACAGTCTCATCCTCTTAGACACGATCTACTGGAGGAACTTCTGAGGGTCACATCAATATAGTAAGTTTAAAGACACTCATATCAATCACTTCCTGAGCTTCAACAGAGCCTGGGACAAAAAAGACCCGTAGCACTTGCATGTGACTACTTACTTGAATAGAGAAAAAACCGCTATCATCCATATTTCCGGAAGGCTGCTGTTTAATACAGACAGGTAGTTGAGGCAGGGTTGGAGTGGGAAGAGAGAAAGGAAAACTGTTATTAGTGTGCATATTTAAAATAACATCTTACACATTCCCATTTAGAAAGTCAAGAGCAGAGTTATAATTAACAGGGCAGATCCCCATAGGGAGAATGGTATGTTCTCTTCTAGACAATACTCACATTTTTCCTTCTTTTTTTCTCAATACCCACATTATTTTTTAAAGAGGCAACTGGATGAGTTTGAAATTGGTACCTGTAAAAATGTGCGATAGTCTTCACTAGTAACTCCGCCTTCTGCCATCCTCATCCTCTCTTCTTCATCTAGCTGGTGTGCAATCGACGACAGTTCCACAGGGCTAAAGTATTCTCCTTGCAATAGATTATTCAAGCAATGCTGGGCACAGAGTGAGCCTTCTTGCTAATGTTTCCAAAAGAAAAAAATCCAATATGATTTGTTAAACAGATTTCTACAGTGTCTTTCCTTAAAGAGGAATTTAATCATTAACTTCTTAACACTGTCAAAGCTGAACCTCTTTAGCTTCAAACAGGACTAACATGAGGCACATGCATTTTCATTTAACACTCATTTTACAATCCCATCATTAATGAAACTGTGATAATTTAGCTGTATGATCAAAACTTAAGATTTATATTAAACATCTATGCAATACACCAAATATCATATTTTATTAGAAATTGTAAGCATTTATCTTCCCTCATTTTCAGTGCTGAAAATAAATTCATCCTTAGAGATCCCACAGCAAATTACTAATGCTGAAAGGAAATTTTAATCCCTAGAACATTTGTTTTTTTAACAAGATAACCTCTACTTGATCAAAATGCTTGTTTATGTAATTCCCTATCTCAAGAATTGGCACACCAAAGAAAAATTCTGTTCTTACTACACTTTATATCCCTGAACTGTTACTGATGTTACCGAAGACCTGCAGCTAGAGTTGAGGTTTTTTCCAGCGAACTCTGAAGATGCTGCACACACAGAGAGACTGACCGGAAGCATGGCCAGAGCTCACCTCCGGACAGGCCAAACCGGGGGGCGGCATCCACACTCACTCCCCGTCGGATCACTGATGCCCCGTTAGGAGGTGAGGGAGCACAACTTCCCACGGGCCCCAGGGTCTGCGGGTGCTGGGCAGCTGGCTTTCTCACACACGCACAAGCCAAATCTATGTCCAGGCTGCCCAGCACTGAGACGCCTACTCAACACCGCTCTACAGTGTTGCCCTCCCAAGCTTGCCTTGTAAGCAGAGACTCAGGTGAAGGAAACCCCTCTAGTGAACGACAACCAGAGGCTTGCCTCTCTGCCAGATGACGGCAGAGGGGAGAACACTTTCTGCTCCTGCTGACCCTGGCCCTGAACCCGTCCCCAGGAACATCTACCCCATAAGGCTGGGTGTCCAGCACCCTGCAGTTTGTTCTGAACTATGTCACACAACAGACAGGGGCCCTGAAGAATAAGTCCTTGCAGGACACTTATTCTTCCTGGTGAACTAATATTCTGGGAACAAAACTCAGCGGCTGAAAAAGATATAAGGAATACACATACAAGGAACAAGAAGGGAGGGCTGAGACAGTCAGGCTGAGACAGGGGCTGAGATAAATTTATCTTCGTAACCTGGTTGCTTCTAGGCCTTCAGGCTGAGGTCAAGCGCACATCCTGGTAGTGTAGTCCTTGTTCCTCTTGGCCACTTTTATCTAATTCCGGGCCTAACAGTAGGACGGTGAGAGAGGACTTGTCTCCACCTCCTTTTCCTTCCGCTGTGTTCTCACCACCAGAGAGCAGCCCCCACTGAACACTACACGCAGACTGAGGATGCACAGACGTCCTACTTACATTCCACCGAAAAGCAACAAGGCAGACAGGCATTCACAAGAGAGCCAAATGGCTAAAAAACCACAAAAAGGTGCTCAACTTTATTACCATCAGGGAAATGTATTGAATATAACTATTAAAACCACAGCGTGTTACTACTACACTCTCCAAAATGGTTAAAATATTGGTGAGGACTAGAGACATCAAAAGCTATTACTACTTAGTGAAATTGTAAATTAGTATAACCACTTTGGAAAACTGTTTGCAGTACCTACTAAAGCTTAGCATCTACATGCTCTGTGATCTAGCTATTCTGTAACTACAGACAGAATGCAAACCATGGAAATGCAAAAATATGTTCATCAAAACATGTATAAGAATGTTCAAAAAAGCACTGCTTAATTCATAATGGCCTCCCAAACAGAAAACTACTAAAATGCCCATCAAAGCAGAATGGATACATCGTGTTATAGTCACAAAGGAATAGCACATAACAATGAGAATGAATTAACTACGATTACTTTCGACAACATGGATGACTCTCGCAAACAATGTTTTAAAAAAGCCCTGGCTGGTGTAGCTCAGTGGATTGAGCACAGCCCTGTAAACCAAAGGACTGCAGTTCGATTCCCAGTCAGGGCACATGCCTGGGTTGCAGACCAGTTCCCAGCAAGGGATACACGAGAGGCAACCATACACTGATATATCTCTCCTTCTCTTTCCCTTTCCCTCTAAAGATAAATAAAATCTTTAAAAAAATAAATTTAAAAAAATGTTTAAAAAAAGCACACAAAAAGCAGACTCCTCCAAAGAGGACACACCATATGATTCCATTTACAGAAGTTCAAAAAGAGGCACAACCAGCCTATGATGTTAGGACTCAGGACCCTGGCTGCCCTTGCAGGGGGCAGAGGCAGGGACGGAAGGGGCCGTAGGGAGGCTTAGAGAATTCAGGGAAATACACATATACTATTCGATCGCAGTATTATTCACACATGTGTTCACTTTGAGAGAATTCACTGAGCTGCACTCTTAGGGTCTGTGTGCCCCTACATGTGTCTGATTTAAAACTCAAACAATAGCCCGGGCAGCTCCCGGGTAGCTCAGCGGGTTAGAGCTTTGCCCCAACATGCCAAGGTTGCCAGTTCAGCCTCTGGGCAGGGCAAATACATACAGCAGCAACCAACAAATCCGTAAATAAGTGGAATGACAAACTGATGTTTTCTCCCTATATATCAAGTCAACAAAAAAATACTGCAAAAATCTCACACACACAAGAAACCTCTGCTGAGAGACACAGCTACTGTGAACAGCAAGAGCTACTGAAAATGGTGACCAGACAAGGACTTTTCTGGGAACGGTCCTAAGGCAAATGTTCTGTCCTGCTGTCAGACCGCATGCCTCAGTTCAGGGCTCTCAGACTGCGGTTACCATATTAAACAGTACACAAGGTCCGTCCAGGAAAAGTCCAGCCATTGTTAGTGGAGTGAGAAGGGTTTGGTGACGTCCACGGACCCTGGCAGCCAAGGAGCGTGGACTGGAACGCGCATGCAGAACAACGATGACTTCGCTGTACCAGTCAGTGGGGGTGGTAGACACCACTGAGTGAGCGTGTGCACTGTGTGGCCGTCACATTCAAAATGACTGAGTGAGTACAGCAGTGAATTTGCATCACATTTTGCATCGAGCTTGAACATTCCTCAGCGGAAGCTATTCGACTGATTCAAAGGACGCAGCTCTGGTCACCTGGTGACTGGCAGCTTCATCACAACATGCCCACTGATGCATCACGTCTCACGCACAGTTTTTTGGTGAAGTATCAAATAACCCAGGTGACTCAGCCCCCCTACAGCACAATTTGGTGCCCTGTGACTTCTGGCTTTTGCCCAAACTAAAATCTCCTTTGAAAAGGAAGAGATTTCAGACCATTGATGAAATTCAGGAAAATATGATGGGGCAACTGATGGTGATTGGGAGAACTGTGTGAGGTCCCAAGGTGCCTGCCTACATTGAAGGGGACTAAGACGTCATTGTCCTGTGTACAATGTTTCTTGTATCTTCTTCAATAAATGTCTTTATTTTTCATATTACATGGTCGAATACTTTGTGGACAGACCTCATATATAGAAATAGTGACATCCAAATATTTGATTTAAAAAATGACAATTATGCACTTGAGCTCTAGCCGGTGTGGCTCAGTTGGTTGGCGCATCAACCCATAACTCAAGGGTTGCAGGTTCAATTTCCAGTCAGGGCACGTGCCTAGGCTGTAGGTTTGGTCCCGAGTCCAGGTGTGTATGATTCCCGGTCTGCACACATGTTCAAGACAACCAATCAATGCCTCTCTCTCATCAATGTCCCCTTCTCTCCCTTCCTCTCTCTCTCTAAAAGCAGTAAGAAAAAATATCCTCAGGTGAGGATAAAAATAAATATTAAAAATAAAAAAGGAAAAATAAGCACTTGAAATCAAATCCTAAGAGAAACTGTATTGCTATAGGAAATAATACCATTCTGTACTTCTACTATGATTTAATGGAAGGAAAAAACAAATTGTCCATTCCAAATTTAAAATCACCTTTTAAAGTCTTAAGAAGAATCAAATTCTACATGGACCAAAAAAAAAAAAAGTACACTGGCCCCTCTTAAGATTACGCACCCCCCTCCCCACAACCTATTCCCAGACACTTATCAAGCTTTAACCAAAGCTGAACAGAAGTTCACTGTTATAGTCAAAGTTCAGAGGTATCCAAATTGCATGATTTTTGGCCCAAACTTTATCATCTTGTGATCGGAGGATGAACAGATTGCCTCTCCAGTTTTTACCATATTTCATAAAACCACAAAAGGGAACAGCATCCAGTCATTGCTCACTGTTCTCAAAAGTCCTCAGGACCAACCTGAAACTAGTTCAAACTCCCAGAGGCACTATTGCCTACAAAAGAAACCAGCCACAAACCTAAGGGTGTGTCTGCAATGAGCCTCGGGGCCACCCAATCAACCCAGCAGCACCTCATCCCCTCTGAGACACAATAAGGTCCCACCTCTTACTGCAGCAGGCACCCGAGTAACCAAGGGCAGCACTTCCAGTGCCAGGTGCACTCTGGGCGCTCAGAACTCAGAGGCAAACCCTGTAATATCCGCACCCCACAGAGGAAGAAACTACAGCAGAGAGATAATAAGTAACTTCTCCAGGAGCACACAGGTAGTAAAATGGCAAAGCTAGGCTCCAAACCCAAGCAGAGGCTTCAAGTCTGTGGCATTACCCCTTCCTCCCGCCACTTAGGTGGAATGCGGCTATTGCTAAACCTCAAAAATAATACTGCAGACGGCTAAGAGCCAGCAACTGCAAAAGAGCATAACATGTTGGTGTCAACGCTCATTCTTTTCAGTATTTTCACTAATTTTAAATATAATCCCAACAAGTTTGGCTACCATCCTCAATTCACCTTATGTGAAAGTACCAATTAAGACGGCACAGTGACCTCACCAGGAGCCATCAGCAATCAAAGTGATAACAAAAATGACAGAAAGCAGGCAACCGAATAAAACAACAACAACAACAAAAAACAGTTAGTGGCCAGTTAATATTAGGGTTCAAGTTAGGAACTGGCAAACTCTCACTCCTGAGCCAAATTCAACCTGCACCTGACTGTGAAAACACAAACAAGAATATGTGATGCCATCTGTGATAACCTGCAAAGCCTAAAATATTTACAGAAAACATTGTTTAAACAGCAACACATACATCTTAGATGCTCCAAGAACTCAAGTTATTCAAACATCTCAGATGTTTATCAACCATCTACTTTGGGCCAGGCACTACAGTAAGTACTGGGGACACAGTGGTAAACAACTTGTTGCATTACCTTTTAATTAATAAAAGGGCACTCAAAGTAGCAGCTCTGCATATGGGGAAACCAACATTCCAAGTTGCAGGTCCCCTTTGCAGGCAGATACCCCTTCATGCACAGCTTCCTGAAAGCCAAAGCTGGTCCTCTGGCTCTCCAAACCCAGGACGTAGCAAAGGTTAAATATATGTGGCGGAGGGGAAGGGAGGATGCTGAAAAATGGCACATTAACATTCCCACGAGACTGTGATGAAATTAACAATGGTCCCCATGATTATGGGTGTTCTCCGTATTCTTGAAATATGCCTGAAGAACTTTAATTCAAAAGCCTTCATTTGCTAAGAACATGAAAGTTTGTGATAAGGTAAATATATTCCTGAAATATGTTTAAGCTTACAAACATGCTGATAATTGAGTGACTTCTTTCACGTAACCAGATTTTCATTAGGCCATCACTCAGCTTCCTTTCATCCCATGGTTTGGTAGTTACCTTCACTGAAATCTATCTAAAATAAGTAACGATATTGTTAAAATATACATTGCATAATTCTCAAGAAATGGTGTTGAAACATTTGGTCTTATACCAAAGCCTCTGAAAATCGGTAACAAAAATACATATATACAGCCCTGACTGGTGTAGCTCAGTGGATTGAGCACAGGCCTGCGAACCAAAAGATTGTGGTTTGATTCCCAGTCAGGGCATATGCCTGGGTTGCAGCCGGTCCCCAGTGGGGGCCATGTGAAATGCAACCACACATTGATGTTTCTCTCCCTCTCTCCTTCCCTTCCCCTCTCTCTAAAAATAAAAAAAAGAAATAAAATATTTTTAAAAAAAGATTAGGGATAACTACAGCAGTAAGTCCTTCCTCCCCAAACATAAAAATCAGTGTATTCTAGCGCCAAAACTCCTGAAATGTTTTCTCTAAAGAAAAGCACTCCATTTAACAATTTAGATTTCTGCTGTGCCTCTTTAGTCTTTATTTGATTGCTTTAGTTGATGGTCGTGTATGTGAGGCTTTTTAAATAGATAAATGATCACTTACAAGTATTTAACAAAACAAAACCTCTTTTTTCCTATTAAATAAGACTTACCAACAACCCTTTCAAAACATGCAACTTTTATGAAACAAGGTATCATGTGCCAAAGTCCTCCCAAGGCATGTTTCACTCACACCCAGATGGCTTGATAATTGCATATGGGAAAAGACGAGTTTCTCCACATGCCAACAACAGAATTTTTCCAAGTGCCTGGCCATTGAAGCATCAAAGCAAAACAAGCTAGGCTGACCACAACACGATTACTTCAGTCCACCCCTAATATCTAATAAGAAAGCTGGTTTCCTAATCCGGAAAAATGGGTCTACCGAAAGAAAAGAAACCCAAACATTTCGTAACAAAAACTCTTAATTGACTTCCCTGTTGACGGGCCTACTTTACATCCCTAAATGGCAGGCCCTCCATGGGATGGAGCCAAGCTCCCTGCACTCAAAAATTCCCAAATGTGGTGCAGGAGAAAGACATGAATATAATCCCAGGGGGCTAACTGTATGAGATTCCAACATAGACTTCAGGAGCCCAGAGGAGGAAAAGTTAATTCTACCAAGGGTAGGACTGGAAGAGTTGGGAAGGATCGAGGAAGGTGTCTGAGAAGTGCCTAGCTACGGATAATGGGGGGAAAGAGACCGGAGAAGGAATCCTACGGAAAGTGGAAAAGCACGGAAGCGAGCCCACTCGGTGTCACCCCCTCTGTGGTGCCCCGTGGCACCCCGGCCCCACCCTGTCCTTACTCCCTCTGGCTCCTGGGACTTCCCCGGCCCCGGACTCTCCGAGAAGCTCGGGCACGGGCCTCACGGGGTGAGGATGCCATGGGGGCTTCGGCGAGGATCCCGTTCCAGTGAAGCTCCTCCCCCCCGGCAAGACCGGGACGGGGCCGACACGTGCCCCACCCAGCTCTCGGGGAGGTGGCGATACCGCGCTACATCCGCCACGGCACCGCATACAAGTAACCCCCGAACGCGGATACTCACTTTCTCATGGAATATGGACTCCATGTTTATTTGTCTGGAGCCAACCGCCCCCGCGCTGGACCACCCCCTACTGTTCCGCCCCACCCTGGCCCCACCCCTCTTCCTACTCAGGCCCCGCCCCACTCTGGCCCACCCCTGGTCACGTGTCTCTCGTGGACCAATCACTCCCGAGGATGAGTCACGTGGAGCGAAGGGCGAAGGAACGCCGAGGTTGTAAAGGCGGAGACACGTGACCTTTATAGCACGTCCACTCATTCACTATTAGCTGGCTGGTTGGGGAGGTGCTACAGCGCCACCTGCCACTCGGAGGATCGTCTCCATTTTCCATCCATTGCTTTAGATTCTTAAGGACCTCCCGGGTTCTTTCTTTTTATTTTCCCCTTTACTTTGTATTTTCTACTTACGATATCTGATTACAATGATTTACTGTCTTCCTCCTCCACCCCACTAAAAGCTTCATTAAATAAGAGGCATTATTAGGCCTGGTCCCGTAGCTCAGTTGGTTCAAGTGTCATCCCCATATCGCGAAGTTTCAGGTTCTGTCCCAGTCAGGGCAAATGCACGAAGCACCCTTCGGATGCATTAAATGGAACAACAAATCGAAGTTTTCTCTTGTACTCCCCGCTTCTTCTCTCTCTAAAATCAGTCAATAATTTTTTTTTAAAAAGAAACAGGTATCATTGCATCTCCCACTACGTTCCACTAGTTAATATTTAAATAGGGCTTACTGTAGGGTAGACACTCTTCTAAGAGCTTTGCATACATTAATGAATTTTATACAATATTTGTTGCAGACATTGTTATTATGTCTATTTTACACATGAGGAAACAGACAAAGAGACGTATGAACAGCACAATGTCCAAATCCAGTTTGTTATAGGCATATGTATTGGGGGCCCTGAAGAGTGTCAGCTGAATAATGCAAAAAGTTCAGTACAGTTGGTGGGGCAGGGGGTGTTGATGAAGCTGAAGGTATAGAACAGGGGCAGATCTTGTACCTTGAAAGGAGGCTAAGTAATTATGTTGTGAAGTGGTTGGTTAACGAGGTTTTGCTGTGGACCCAGGAGTTATTGACATAGAAAGGGTGATGGACACCACCACAAGTGTGCGTAAAATCACCAGGGCAGAAAAGGAAGAGATTGAGAAGAGGACCTAGAGCAGAGCCCTGAGAGCAGAGGACTAGCTCAGGAGAAGGGAAGAACAGTGGCAGTGTTTGAGTATCATGAAAGCCCTGAAAAAGGAAAGTGTCACACAGCAGCCACGTTGCTGTCAAGAGGTCCAGCGACGTGAGGTCAAGGGTCCACTAAACTTTGGTGTGGACACCACTGGTGACTACTGAGTCCGGGTTCAGAGGAGCATAAAGGCCAGTGGGAGGTAAGGCCAGGAGACTGCTAGTGAGGACCCTGCTCAGGGGCAGGGTTCAATGACCACTTACTGAACGTCTCCGCGTGCTCAGTCCGCAGTCCTGTACGGTGTTGAGGAAGCAGTCCATGTTCTTAAGGAATTAATTGTGCCCTAACTGGGGAAGAAATCATGGTCTCATGAAGTGAAGAAATATGGAACACATTTTTTTCCGATTTTTTAAGTGCGTCTGTGGACAGGGTCAGTGGATTCGTACTCACTATAAGGGTTGGTACAGAACAATGAATAAATACATGGACTCTTGGACTCATTGGCACAAAAAGAGTATTAACAATAATTCAGAAGAAGAGAGGTTACTAAGCTAATCAGGGGAGGTTTGGAGACAGGGAAGATGGAATGTGTGCACTTCTGCTACTTCCTGTCACCTTGAACAACTCAGCTTTTTCCCTAATCCACTTCACTGAAACTTTATGTTAAGTAAGATTACACAAATACATTTCCATCTTCTTAAACACGGGACCTTTTAAACTGGCCTTTTGTTAAGAAAGCCCAAATAGCTTAGGAATCTTAACATTTAAAAATTTATGTGCCATTTCATGTCCTGAGTTCTGGCAAGAATCAGTGATAATTAGGAAGAATTTCACTGCAATTTTACTTCTACACTCAATCTTTCCTAAAGCAAAATAATTCCCCAAGAAGAGGTAGTTGAATATAACAGATGACATATATATCCGCTCATGAAACCATCACAATCAAGAAAATGAACGTACTATACCCAAAAGCTCCCATGTGTCCCTTTGGCATTCTTCCCTTCTGACCACTTTCTGCACCCTGGTTCCCCAGGCAACCACTGATCTTTGTTATTACTGATGAGTTTGCAGTTTCTAACATGCTATACAAGTGGGATCATGCAGTAGGCACTCTCTTTGTTTGGCTTTTCATTCAGGATAATTAACCTGAAACTCACCTGTTGTATCAATAGATCATTTATTTTTACTGCTGAGTAGTAATCAATTATATAGATTTAACACATTTATCTATTCATTCATGGATGAACATTTTGGTTATTTCTTAATTTATAAATAAAGCTGCCATGTACATTCATGACAAAGCCTTTGTGTGGTCGTGTGTGTTCATCTCTTGGGTGACACTTCAGAGTGGAATGGATGAATCAGATGGTTGGTGCATGTTTAATTTGAAACCGATTACCTGATTTCCAGGTGCTCCACACCCTTACCAACTCTTGATAAGACCAATCTTTTAAACTTTAAGTGTTCTAATAGGTGTGTAGTGGTGTCTCACTGTTTTTAATTTGCATTTCCCTAGTGACTGCTGATGCTGAACAGATTTGCATGTGCTTATTCTCCACTCTATCTTTTTTGGTGAAGTGTCTGTTAAAACCCTTTGCTTACTGCCCTGGCTGGTGTGGCTCAGTGGATTGAGTGCTGGCCTGTCAATGAGAGTTACTGGTTCAATGAACAGTCAGGGCACACGTGTGGGTTGTGGGCCAGGGGGTGCGTGGGAGGCAAGCATACATTGATGTTTCTTTCCCTCTTTCCTTCCCTTCCCCTCTCTAAAAATAAATAAAATCTTAAAACAACAAACCTTTGTTTACTTTAAAAATTGGGCTTGTCTTCCTTGGTTATGAGTTCTTCAGCCCTAGCTGGTGTGGCTCAGTGGATTCAGTAATGGCCTGCAAACCAAACTTGCTGGTTCAGTTCTCAGTCAGGGCACATGCCTGGGTTGCAGGCCAGGTCCCTAGTTGGGGGCAAATAGGAGGCCACCACATTGATGTTTCTGTCTTTCTCCCTTCCCCTCCCTCTAAACATAAGTACATAAAATCTTTGTAAAAAAAATTCTTTACATATTCTAGATACTCTGTTCTGTTTTGCAAATATTTTATTACAGTCTGTGGCTGCATTTTCATTTCCTTAACAATGTGTTTTGAAGAGCAAAAGTTTTTAATTTCAACAAAGTACAATTTCTTGATTTTTTAAAACTAGTTTATGCTTTATGTGTTTTTAACACATAAGCACAAGCATTTAAGAAATCTTGTAAAACACAGCACAACTACAATTCTTAGCTATATGATTTTTAGCAAAAAAAAAAAAAAAGTTAGCATCATCCTTTTAAAATGCCTTTAAAGCAAATGGCTTGCAAAAATTTTCCTGGAAAACATCTGAGGAAAAATCTGGCTACATGAGTTAATACTATTGTGACTGCAAATAAGTAACAGCAAATTAAATGCTAACTGTAAAGTTAACATCAAGGTACACAGGCACTCAGTATTTTTAAGGCTAGGGTGCCTTTTACTTAAAATGTGAAAGACTACTTCAGCATTAAAAGAATCACATTCCAAATTGTTTAAATTAGGTGTTTTTATTTTTCTCATAATTTAAAAAATGTGATCATTCTGTAATTCAGCCCCAGCCTTTACTTCCAGGTGACTTCTTCGTTAGGTCTCAGTTCCCTGTGTGGAAAGAAAAAAGGAAGGAAAGGGAAAAGTGTAAATAAAACTTTTATGAAGCGATAAAAGGGAGAGTCAGATAAATATGAATTCAGTATTTCATATTCTACTATATTGACCCATTAAATTTTTTTATGTTGATTCAATATATTGTATTCTCACATGATTTTAAACTTTACCGTCTTCTCCATTTTGTTTTTTCAGATTAAAGAGCTGTAATTTCTTAGTCTATCTTCAAATGAAAGCTCAAGGAATTCGCTCAGTGTTTCTAGGCCCTCTCCAGCTCACGCCATCTCTCTCGAACCCCCCGACTGTGAACCTCCCCCTGCAACGACTGCGCTGCTCGCTGCTCGCTGCTCGGCCCTCCTCCGCTGCTCGGCCCTCCTCCGCTGCTCGGCCCTCCTCCGCTGCTCGGCCCTCCTCCCCTGCTCCGCCCTCCTCTGCTGCTCCGCCCTCCTCCGCTGCTTCGTCCTCCTCCGCTGTTGGCTCTCCTCCCTCGAGCTGCCTTCCACCCAGCTGCACACCCAGTGGCAGACACCCTGGCCCGTTAACTCTCTCTCCTACCAGAGGAGCCACCTCCAGAGACATAACAGAATCAGGGGACTACCGGCTGCCATTCGGTCCCTCAGCCACCATGGCCACAGTTCTCAAGCAGTGCTGCTGAGAACAGAGCACTAGGCTACAACCACTACCATGTATTTCAGCTACACAGTGGCTTACAGAAAACAAGACTACGATAATGGTTGTGAAAGCTGTATACATAGTAGGCTCTGGTGAGCTGGTTTAATTCAAAACATTGTTTCTATGTTAAAAATGTATGCTGAATTAACAAAAAAAAAAAGGGAGGGGGATTTTTCAAAGATCTGAAATAGCCTGTTCACAAAGTGAAGACATGTTTACATTCTGAATGTAACCATGCAGTTTTATGCAAGCATTAAACAACAAAACTACAAAATACTATCACTTAAATCGAAGTCCTTGAGATTGGGGATTACCTCTTCGATTTATTTTGGGTACATATGATATTAAGAATACTCCCAAAAGCTGGCTAATTAATTGTTGATTTAAAAAATGCCCAAACTAACCTTTTAAATAACAAACTCTTATTCCGGAAGGTAGTTAGCTTTTCCTCATTCCTTTTGTCTAGGTAGCATCCAACAACAAATCCCATAGGGACAAGTATATGTACCCAGTGGTCACGCACAAGCTGAATTAAATTCATCCTGAATGCTGTAAAAAAAAATTGTCATAAATATAACTGCCTTTGAAACACCTTTTAAGTTGCATCTGAAATAGGAAGATAACAGCAAATGTTAAAAGTCTTTTTAAATTTGCTTGGCATCATAACATAGTACTACTTAAAATCCACTTGAAGACTATATAGGTAACAATGATTAAATGATTAGTATAAACGTTACAATGCACCGTCAGTTTATTAACTTTTTCCTAGTTCCATCAGTGATCTGATGATAGAGTGCAGAGAAAGGCAGAGTACAAAAAATTCTACCAGCAAAAGCTGAGCATTGGTATCTACCTAGAAAGACTTTTTTTTTTTTTAAAGATTAAGTGGGGGGGAGAGGGAGGTGGTGGGTGGTTGGTTGAGGGTCTGAAAGACTTTAAATGTGAAAAATATTGTTAGCACCTCTCAGAGTGCTAAAACAAATACAGAATAACACTGTTTTGCCAGAAGGAGAATTCTTTTTTTTTTTTTAATGTTCACTGATTTTAGGGGGGGGAGAAAAACATCCGTGTTGCAGGCAAACATTGATTGGTTGAGTCCCATACACGCCCTGAGGGGGACTGAACCTGCAACATTCTGGTGCATGGGACAACATTCCAACAGAGCCACACCAGCCAGGGCAGAAGTGGAACTCTTTAGATAAAGCTATAATGACTGAATATTAATTCTTCAATTAGCAATAATCTTGTTTTGAATAAACCTCATGGGCTATCATACTGCCACAGTGCAAAGCTGTGAACTAATATTTGAAAGGCAAGTAAAATATCCGAGAGAAATTTTAAAAAACAACCATATTCGATACCACAGTAGATCTAAATGTCAATTTAATGACTCTACAAGCAGGTATGGAGAGAAGGGAACTTTTATAAAATGACTATTAGCTACCAGAGACATCACAGTACAGCTCTATATGTAGCATGAAGTAACTATTATTATTCTCATTATAAATAAGAAAGCAGCTTAACCCAAGTAAGTATTAAGTACAGAGCTGGAAATCAAACTCGGGTTTGCTCCAAAGCTCTGCATACCTTCCATTACATCACAATACCTCTTGAAGAGACTCCTCCCCCTGATATTCATGATACTTAAGAGCTTAAGTTCTAAAGTTTCCAAAGGCAAAGGAAGAGGAATATGAGAACTAGAAGTCATTATATGGATAATAAGTGTATACTAATAAAAACTATTGAATTGCCAATTTTCTGAAAATATTTGCACCTAAAGATGAAATTAAAATACCTCCTTGGCCCTGACTAGTGAGGCTCAGTTGGTTGGGTATTGTCCCCCAAAGAAAAAGGCCCCCAGGTCAGGTTCTGGTCCGGTGAGCGCGAGGCAACTGATTGATGTTTCTCTCTCATGTTGATGATTCTCTCCCTCTCTTTTGCCCTCCCTTTCCCTCTCTCTAAAAAAATAAATAAATAAAATCTTTGAAACAAACAAACAAATGAACCAAAGAACAAAATACATCCTATGTGCATGAATATAAAGTGAATAAATCAGACTTCCAGTCAAGACGGACAAGTAAGGTGGAGACACTGTGCCTCGTCCAACAACCAAATTTAAAGACAACAAAGATTTAGAAACAAAAACACAACGAGAACAAACAGAAAATTGAACTGTACCGAAGTCCGACAACAACGAACCATTCATCCAGACCAGAAAGAGGGGCACAGTGGGCAGCCAGTGGAGAGGGATCCCGGCAGGAAAAGGTGGTGGTTGGCAGATCTGGGTGCAGGGAGGAATTGAGCAGACCCAGTGAGGCGCGCAGGGCGGTTAGCTGACAGTGGTCACACATTTGTGCGCAGATAAACTAGGCAAAAAATGGGCAGTGAGACAGACCGAGCAACCCAGGGCCCCAGCACCAGGAAATAAAGCCTAAAAGCACAGACTGAAAAAAATTTGGGGGGTTGAAGTGCAGGGAGAGACTCCCAGCCTCACAGGAAAGTTCGTTGGAGAGACTCATAGGGTCCTAGAACATATACAAGTCCACACACCGGAGAACCAGCACCAGAAGGGCCCAATTTGCTTGTGGGAAGCGGCAGAGGGGACCAAAATCTGACAGCGTGCAGAACAAGCACCACTGGTCCCTCTCTGACCCCATCCCCACATATAGCTCACAACCCAGCGACTGGGTTGCCCCCACCCTGGTGAACACCTAAGGCTCCGCCCCTCATACATAATAGGCACAAACAGACCAACAAATGATGGCTCACGAAGAAGAACAGCTCAAAGCCCCACAGCCAATAGTTTTAAGCCACCAAGAGATAGTCAACCTGTCAGATGCACAGTTCAAAACACTGGTAATCAGGATGCTCACAGAACTGATTGATTTTTTTAATTTAAAAATTCTTTAATTATTTTTATTTTATTATTTTTTATTTTTTATTACTATTCCCATGTCCCCCCATTCACAATACAGACCAGGCAAAGGGCCTGGGCTGAGGTGTATACGGGGTGGGTTTACTCTGCCTCCTCCTTCTGTACAGACAGTGTAACAACACAGCCTGTGGTAAGCACAGGGAGGCCTGGTTTTGGTTGCAAATTAGATGAAAAAATGAAGGCTACACTAAGTGAAATGAAGGAAGATGCACAGGGAACCAATAGTGATGGAAAGAAAACTGAAACTCAAATTGATGGAGTGGACCAGAAGGAAGAAACAATCAAACAGAAAAGGATGAAGAAGCAAGAATTCAAAAAAATGAGGAGAGGCTTAGGAACCTCCAGGACATCTTTAAACATTCCTACATCTGAATTATAGGGGTACCAGAAGGGGAAGAGGAACAGCCACGAGTGGAACACTTATTTGAACAAATAATAAAGGAGAATTTCCCCAATCTGGCAAAGGAAATAGACTTCTAGGAAATCCAGGAAGCTCAGAGAGTCCCAAAGAAGGTGGACCCAAGGACATACACACCAAGGCACATCATAATTACATTAGCCAAGACTGAAGATAAGGGAAGAATCTTAAGAACAGCAAGAGATGAGGGGACAGTCACTTACAAAGCAGTTCTCATCAGACTGTCAGCTGATTTCTCAAAAGAGATGTTACACACAAGAAGGGGCTGGAAAGAAGTATTCTAAGTCATGAAATCCAAAGACCTACAACCAAGATTGCTCTATCCAGCAAAGCTTTCATTTAGAATGGAAGGACAGATAAAGTGTTTCTCAGATAAGGTCAAGTTCAAGGAGATCATCATCACCAAGCCCTTACTATATGAAATCTTAAAAGAGATTTATCTAAGAAAAGATTAAAATATGAACAGTGAATGGACAGCAAACTCAGAGTTATTAACAACCACACCTAAAACAAAAGCAAACTAAGCAGACACCTAAAACAGGAGTGGAGCCATAGAAATGGAGATCCCATGGAAGGTTAGCACCAGGGGAGTGGGAGAAGGAGAGCGAGGGAGAAAGTACAGAGAATAAGTAGCATAGATGGTGGGGAGAAAATAGGGCAAGGGCAAGAGTAGTGTGGGACATATAGAAGCTAAAGAACTTATGACACATGGACATGAACTAAAGAGGGGGAAGGTGGGTGGGAGGGGGTGTATAGAATGGAGGGGAATAAAGGGGGGGAATGGGACAACTGTAATGGCATAATCAATAAAATATATTTTTAAAAATAAAGTGAATAAATCAGGCGTTGGCTATGTAGGTCAGTTGGTTAGAATGTGGTCCCAATACACCAAGGTTGTGGGTTTGATCCCTGGTCAGGGCACATACAAGAATCAACCACTGAAAGCATAAAATGGAACAACAAATTGATGTTTGTCTCTTTCCCTCCCCTAAAAAATCAATTAAAAAATGAATAAATCATCCAGAAGGGTTCAGAAGACACTGATGACACCCTAGAAAGAGAATTCAGCCATGTGACAGGGATACGTCCTGAGATGCATCCCGAGGTGGTTCCGTCACTGTGCAAACCTCAGAGTACGCCGACGCAAACCTCAGAGTACACCGACACAAACCTCGGTGGCACAGCATGGCACAGCACCCAGCCGGGGCGTGTGGTCCAACCCGTCGCCCCTGGCTACGCACCTGCACGGCGCCTACTTACTGAAGACAGCAAGCAACTGGAACCCAGAGGGAAGTAACTGTGTATCTAAACATGGACAAGGTGCAGTGAAAACACGATATAAAAGCTAAAAAAGGCGCACCTGTCCAGGCACTGACCACGGGCGGAGCCTGCAGCTCTGGAAGCTGCTCTGGGTGAGTCGGGAGTGGGTGGGAGTGAGTCCGAAGGGCTGGGAAGTCCCTGCACTTAACTACAGACCTTGCAGACACTGTCCCACAGCCCTCCCCGCGCCCTTCTGACGGCGGGGTCAGAAACCGAACTCTGCAGCTGTAGGGTGCTCCCTCAGTGCGGAGGCAGGGCCAGACTGACCGAGAAGCTAGCTGGGTAGAGCACAAGTTGCCATAACAGTGACCTTAACAGTGACCTTCAGGAGGGAGCGAAAGGCGGCCTGAGGATCAGTAGGAATAAGAAATCAATACCAAGAGATAAAGGAACATGGGGGATGCCATGGCAACGTGGTTTGCTAATGCACCTTGGAGCAGCGGTCAGACTGAGGAACTCTGTGCTATTCATAAAAAAGGCATTTAATGTGGACAGGGTGTAGCATGCAGGACACAACAGTCTGACCCTATCGGGCACAAAGGGCCCTCGCTGGCACTGAGCTGATGGGGCAAATAACTCATCTATGCTTCACATCAGTACAACCTGAAAGTATTTCCAAAGTACACAAACCGGCTGGCTCTCCGCTACCACAGAAAGCTTTCACTAAAGTGGCGGTGGCACTGAGTACTTGTTAAAGTAGCTCCCATGGACCTGTGTCTTTGTACAGGGTCCAAGGTCCCCAAAGCAGAATTTACAGCAATGTTCTCTGAGACCACCGAGCCGGACCTGGGAGGGCTGCGTGCCTCTGAAGGTGTTGTGCCAGGGGCACAGGCTGTGCTGACAGACTGAGACAGTCACCTGTGCACTCAAAACTGAGCTGCTGTGATATGGAACCTGGGGCCAAGTCCCAGGGACATTCATCCCATCGGAGGAAGAGACTCCTCCTGAACCACACGTGCTTCCATTTCTCCCAAGACATTCAGCTGTTACAATCTTAGGAGAACACCACTGCTCATGCGGTCTGTTGCGGACTGAAACGTTGTGACACAGTGGCAAACTGTACGTCACTGCCACCAAAAGTGCTTAGCCCTAAACTGCTAGAATCATGCAGACTGGATTCCTGCCTCTCCTTCCAAGATACTGGTTCTCACACTTACACATGCTGGGTTTTTATTCCTCAAACTTTAATCACTCACTTCTATTTAAAGGCACAGGGTTAGGAAATGGCCATGAAGTTAAAAATTTCATAACTTGCAGGTATACCTTGGTGACTTTGCAGGGGTGGTTTCAGATCACGCAACAGAGCACAAAGTTGTGTCCCGACAAAGTGAGTCAATCCCTCTGCTGGTGGAGGGTCCAGCCTTCAGTCTGCACAAAACGCAGCACCAGGGAAGCACAATGCAGGGGAGTGTGATAAACAAGGTGTGGCTCCACTACACGCTCTTTCATGAAGTGGCCTATCACAGCAGGTTCCAGTCTGATCGTCACTGATCTGGGAAATTATGGTGCACTAAGATGTTTACAGTAAATAATTTACAATGTAGTCATCAATTAGTTTTAAGTTTTAGTCTATTGCCTACAGTTGGAATCCTCGACCGTGACTCCCATCAGTATCCCCTGGGGAGCCTTTTTCCAAACAGGGCCTCCCTGGCCCTCGGGCTGGGCTGGGCTGGGCTGGAAAAATCTGTCCATTTGGAAGAACTCTCCAGCCGATTTGCTGAAATAGCTCTTGGACACAAGAACATGCAGGTGATTAATCTCACCTTATTTCCCAGCAGAGGTGCTTCTATCAGCGTTACTGGCATTTAGATCCTGAAGTGCTTCTTGACAAACATTTTGATTAGATCACTTTGATCCTTTTTATGATTCTGACCGATGCCTGCCAAGCTAGCCACTTATTCTATACACTGGAGCCAGTCAAGTACTGGAATAACCACTCATGCCCAAGTCAAACAGGAAAATGTAATTTTGAAAGCACTAAACTGCAAAAATACAAGACAATGTGGGTCTCTGTAGCAGTCCAGTCATCATCTACCTGCCACAGGTCTTCATTAAGTTGCTTAAATTTCTGACCAGGTGTCAATTCTAACTCTCAGCATAACTGGGACACACTGTTTGTATTAACCGACAGCACAAATGGGCTTGCAAACTCTCAACTGCAAACCATTTTTAAGTATGCCCACGGCCACCTGTGGGCTACCAGCCACCTACTATTAGCATTCTTCCAACAAGGTGGGAAATGACTTTTGTCTGGCTCCACGCAGAGCAGATGAGGTCAGACAAGCCCCTGAGGCTCTGGCTGAATAAAGGTCTTATGAGATTTCAGAGGAAAGACAGTGGGACTGATAGATAAAAGGATTCGGTACACTTAAAATCCAGAGTTGGATTCAACCACCATGAAGGAAGCCTGATTCCATCCCTAAGGAGTAAATGACAAATCTTAGTCCCAGAGTGATTTCATATTACAATTGTAAAAGCTACAACTTAATGGGAACAGTAGCACTAAACATATTTTTTCTGGTTTATTTCACTGAGTAGATGACCAGGGAAGACAAAGATGTATGGACATAAAAACTGAGCTAGGACTCCCTGGAGTATGGAGAGGAGGGGGCACAGACCGGCTTTTAGGCTCTGGGTCATAGGCCCAAGACCACAAGGGATGGGTACAAGGCAGTGAGGGAGGACTTGGGACAGGCTGATGAGACAAGCCTTGGCTTGGATGACCAGTGACATCTGTCCACATGGGTGCCCACCAGGCCACTGTATATACAAGGGTGGGCACAAGTAAGTTCGCAGTTGTGAGTATGCGAAATGGTTTACTCTGGCATTATTTTTAATTACTGTTATTACTTTACATATGAACAACTGTTAACTTACATTGCCCACACTCTATTAGTGACTTCTTCATATGTAAACTCTTAAGAAAAATTTTGCTCCTGAATAGTTCAGAACTGGAAGTAGATATGGTATTCCTGGAAGGGGGGGAAAATACCCAACTAGTTGGTTTTTATCTTATGGACTCAGGAAACCATAAGACTGACAAAAGCTGTTTTGCCTGATTCTAGAGAGAGCGGACTCTCACGCACTCTCTGTAAAGCACTACTCTTAATGCTTTTTGTAATCACCAACTCATGTAATCCTCACCTATAAAAGTATTCACTAATAATGCAGTGGATGCTTTTTTTCAGGTGAAGGAATCCAGGGACAATCAACTTGCCTAAGGTCACAGATGCAGTAAGTGGCAAAGCTGGCTCCCTGAGGTGCTTTCCGGTCTCTTACAGTAAGTACAGAGGTAAATATTTATATCAATATTAATCTTCACTTTAGCTTATGTTTCCTAGTACATACTAGTTTTTCTTCAACCCAGTTTTTCTTGCTCAACTTCTAAAAATAAACTTCTACCTGGTGTGTATTTTTGCAAGTCACTCCAAATTCACGTTGGAGAAATAAAGATGATTAGACATTTAAATATATGTATTTCTACATTCTAATTGGTCCCAGAGCATTTTATGTAATATTATTCAAGAGTGTCGACCTAACCCAAGGAGAGAACTGGATGCACGGAGAAACGGAATTCCTGAAGTCACCTGTCTTAACGACACATACGGCCAAGAAACGTCTTTAAACAGTGCACATTTTGTGGAATGGTGGGCTCAGGAGGGTCTGAGGTTTAGAAGCGAGGGAGAGGTCAGCTTCCAGTGGTGAGGAACGACGAAGACAGACGCTGGCACGGGGTCGGATCTCCCTCGCAGCTGCAGCCCAGCACCTTGTCCCTGCCAATTTCCTTTCCCGGCCGGTCGGGAGCAGTCACCGGGTGATCTCTAATACGTTTCCCAGTTACGACAGCCTCGAGGTACGCTTTCGAACAGCCACCACACTGGGAACCAGAGCCCAGCCGTCCACCAGGAAAAAAAAAAAAAAAATCCCACTTTCTTGTCCCTTTCCCGTCTCCTTCGCTCTGCAGCCCGGGGAGGCCTAGACAAGCCCCCCAACTCCACCGTCGAGGACTTTCCCAGGGGTGCACCGTCTTCGCCTGCACAGCAGTGCCCCGCGGCACCTCGGACACTCTGCAACCCACACCTACCTGAGGTCCCGGTACCAGAAACGACCCCACGACCAAGGACAGCGACGAGTCCCGCCTCCGGCTCCAGCGGAAGCTAGGGCCCTGGGACCCGCCATTCGCCGCGCCCGCTCCAAGACAGGGGTGACACCGAAGCGACATGCTTCTTTTTCCTTTTAATATTCTACTTTTATCATATATGTTACATTTAACATATTAAAAGTTATTTAAAAATAAAATTTCTGTCCCAGGTGATGAGACGTGGTGCAAGGGGCCGTTTTCTTCCCAACATCTCGTTCCCACTCCCCCGGGTGGTGGTACCGCCCCGGGTTTCCCCCGCCTCCGCGGTCCGCCTCCGGTTTCAAAATGGCGGCCGCCATTGCGGACCTTCTGCTGGCTGATAATCACAGCTGCTGCTAAGCGAGCGCCAGCTTTCCTCGCTCTTGAACCTGGATTCGACTAGGGGTTGGGAAGGGCAGTGGACGGCGTTGGGGGAGGACTGATGAGGCAAGTGAGGGCGGGAAAAAGGAGCGAGACTTTGGCTGGGGGAGGGGGCGTCCTGGGCACTCCGGGACAGCCTGGCCCCAGCTCCCAACCAGACGTGCTCCCGGAATTTCGGTTGCGACTGCCCTGGTCCTTCTTGGCAAAAGAGTTCAGCGACGGAAAAAGTGCCTTCCCCGTGGGTTTCAAGCTCTTGGTCTTGTGTGGCAGTCCATGCGATTCACTCTCTCGCCCTCCTTCCCTCCCTTTTTGCTGCTTCCTCTGGCCTTGCGGGCTCGTGGTGCCGGAGGGGTTAACCCTACGCCAGCTTTGGCTCCTTGATCTCATGGCTAGCGCGTTCTCAGTACCCTCGCTCCAGATTTATCCGTCGTCTTAGGTGGAGAGACCAGGAGACTACTAAGCATTGGGAAGAAAGGAGGCGTCTCTTTTAGTTAAAATGGTCTTGGCCCTCCCTGTCTCCCGCTCCCCAGCCACCGCCAACCTATTTCAGACTCTACAGTAAACAGGAGGTCAGCCTAGCCATAAGCCCGGCAATTCTGGTCTCCCAGGGCCCGGCGAACCTGCACTATCAATTGCCCATCTCGTAGTTTTTTTGTTTGTTTCTCGTGGCTTTTTTTTTTTTTTTTAATCAACCCCTTCGATTATGTTAGAAAACCACTACCTTTACGGAACTGACCCGGAAGAGACTCTCCTCTCTGAGCTCAGAGCTCAGAGGGCAACCCAGACTCCTTTCTTTTCCCTGGCATTTTGCAGAATTTCCTTTAATTGTCATCAACATTCAGGGTCATTAATGAGAGAACAAATAACTATGATAGATCATTGTGATGAAGTATTATAGTATGGGTCAGGGTCACTGCCCAGAAGGAACTTAAGATACGGTTAACGTTCATTCCTTCCCCCCAGCACGCTTAACGTTGCTTTTGGTGCTGTGCTCGGTATTGACGATGCAAAGGTGAGTTCACATTTATTCCTCACCTGTGCATTCAACACCCATTCAACCAGTGTTCTTTGTGCCCAGTTTGTGCTAGGTGAGAATCAAACACTGCCCGAGGACACCAAAAAAGCTTTATTATGGAGTAAAAAATTGAGCTGGGTCATGAAGGGTCAAAAGGAATTAACCAAACTCAAGAGATGGTCATTCCTGGAGGGAGAACAGGATTGCAAAGATTTGAGAAGTTTTGAGAAAATTTCATTCTGTAATTAGCTGGAAGCCAGTGAATACTTTGCATGAGGAAGGGAGATGAGTATATTTGTTCTTCGGTTTTTTGTTTTTGTTTTTTTTAGGACGGCAGCTATATGGAGGATCAACTTGGAACAGGAAAACTAGATGAGAGGAAATTGCACTTACTCAATTGAGGTATGATAGTAAAGGATGTCAGAAGGACATTTCTGAAATGTCAAATAGGATTCAAGTTGTGGAACCCAGTTGGGTGGCTCCAACTGGAGGGCGACGCCAGAACTTTTAGCCTGGGAGACTAAATGGTTGGTGATACCATTAAAATCAAGCCTAAGACATGTATGTAAAAATAGAGTGGGGTCTAGCAGCCCTGTGGGAGTGGCGGAACACTGCCCTGCACTCGGAAGCATTGATTTTAGAGTCTGGACTTGCGCTATTTCATTAGCCAGGGGCTACATGTAGCTAGCTCTTGAGCACTTGAAATTGTGTTTCGATCAAATTGAGATGTGCTGTAAATAGGAAATACACACTGGACTTCAAAGATGCAGTACAAAAAACAATGTAAAATATCTCATGAATAATTTAATAATGATTACTTGTGAAAATGATATTTTGGATATGTTGGGTTAAATAAAAGTATATTGAAATTAATCTCACATAGAACTTCAGCGTGGCTGTGAAGAAATTTTAAAATACATTTGTGGCTTGCGTTTCAAATAAGATTTCAATTTCTTGCTCTTCCTCTTCTCCTTCTGGCAATCATATCTTATGATTTGGGTGTTGAAATCTTTATAGATGTCCCAGAGGTTCCTAGGCCTCTCCTTGTTTTTTTGAATCCTTGTTTCTTCATTCTGTATTGGTTGAATGTTTATTTTTTCCTTCTGTTCCAAATTGTTGATTTGAGTCCCGGTTTCCTTCCCTTCACTGCTGGTTCCCTGTATATTTTTCTATATTTCATTTTGTGTAGCCTTCCCTTCTTCCTCTATTTTGCATCTGCACTCATTACTTTCTGTGAGTATCCTGATTACCAGTGCTTTGAACTCTGCATCTGATGAATTGGCTATCTCCTCCTCGCTTAGCTCTTTTTCTGGAGGGTCTTTTTTTTAACTTTTAAAAATATTTTATTTATTTATTTTTAGAAGGGGGGAGGGAGAAGGAGAGGGAGAGAAACATCAGTGTGTGGTTGCCTCTAGAGTGCCCCCTACTGGGGACCTAGCCCACAACCCAGGCATGTGTCCTTACTGGGAATCAACCAGGAACACTTTGGTTCACAGTCCTGCACTCAGTCCACTGAGTCCACTGAGCCACACCAGCCAGAGCTTTTCCTGGAGTTTTTTTTCTGTTCTTTCATTGGACCCATATGACATTGTCTCAGTCCACCTGTTATGTTGTAAGGGGTGGAGCCTTAGGTATTCACCAGGTTGGGGCAACCCACCTGGCTTTGTTGTGGCGCTGTTTGTGGGGGGAGGGTCCAAGAGGAAACAATGCCGCTTGCTTGCTCGCCTTTCGGTTGCCTTTCAGTCACTTTTCCTGCTGCCCACAAGCAAGTTGGGCCCTTCTGGTGCTGATTCCCAGGAGGGTGGGTTTGTGTACATTCTAGGACCCTGTGGGTGTCTCCAACAAAATCCTCTGAGGCTGGGAGTTTCTCCTGTTGCTGTCTCAACCCCCACAGATTTTTACAGCCGGAGGTTTTGAGGCTTTATTTCCCTGCTCTTGAATCTTTGGTAGTGAGGTCTCACTCCCCAGTTGTTTCTCCCAGTTTATTTGCACATGAATGTGGGGACGCCTCTCCTTCCCCACCATCCTTGGCCGTGCCCACCCCAGTCCTCCAGCCCACTGCCTTGCCTGGGTCCTCTCTGCCCCTCCTACACATCTGAATGAATGTTTCTTCTTTAACTCCTTGGTTGTCGGACTTCCATACAGTTGGATTTTCTGGGAGTTCTGGTTGTTTTTTTGTTTTTAAATTTGTTGTCCTTCTTTTGGTTGTGCGAGGAAGCAAAGTGTGTCTATTTATGTCTCTATCTTGGCTGGAAGTTGGTAAACTGCATATTTCAACCCCTGATTATTACTTTGGCATATTATTACTTTTGTCTTTTATTATAATATCTTTTTTATCTTATTCCTGTTTATTTTATGTAGCGTACGCTTTCTAAAATTATGACAAGTTTCTTTAAAAAAATATCATGTAGTATACTCTTTTGCTACTCACAGTGGCAAAGACAGAAATTAAACAGCATAATTAAAACTGAAATAAATCATTATGCTACATTCATAAGACTCTTTTTATCTTTTTTTAAATTTTTATTTATTGATTTGAGAGAGAGAGGAAGAGGGAGAGAGAAACATCGCTTTGTTGTCCCACTTATTTATATATTCGTCGGTTGATTCTTGCATGTGCCCTGACTGGGAGGTCAACCTGCAACCATAGTGTATGGGGACAATAATCTAACCAGTTGAGCTACCTGGCCAGGACTCATGAGGCTTTCGTTTCTTTGTTTTTTAGGTTTGTAAAGAACTCTTCCTTTCAAGTCATCGTGTTTCATTCTGTATACGGCTGAGATATCAGTAAGTAACGAAAGTCTAATAAATAGCTTTATTATATTCTGGGCAGTTGTAATAAAAATACTTTTCATGTGTTGAAATCCGGGTCTGTCTGCAAAAATATTTTATCATGAACTCATTCCATTCTATCTGCAAGGTAGTTGGTGTTTTCACTTCATGATGTAAATAAAGCGGGAGGTAAGGTAGAGTTGAGAAGAACAGAGTTTCTCTTAGGCCCTTAAATACAATTGTGGTGTGTATGCTCCGTGCCGTTTCATTGGCTGCCGCCCCTGGCAACTCCGTGGGTGTGCACCAATCCTGGCCTCAGCAGCCCTGCTCTCTCTGGTAGACCTGCCCGTGGCTTCCTGCGGGGAGTCAGTCCACCTCTCATTTGCTCTTCCTCTTTTCCTGCAGCTTTCTGGTTTTTCCAGCATTATTGCCATTTCCAAAGAGCCTTGCCTTCTCACTATGAGTGCGAAGTAGCTTTAGTTTTGTCATTTTTGCCTCTAGTGATGTTTCAGGCTTAATTTCTTCTAGGACCTACTTGTTCATCTTCTGGCCATTCAAGGTTAGTTGAATTCTATTCCAGCACCATTATTTCAATTTTTTCCTCTCAGCCCTCTTCACTGTCCAACTTTCCCATCTGTGCACAGTAGTTAGGAATGCCAGGGTGTGGACAAACTTCGCCTTGGTCTCTAACAACACACCTTTGCTCTTGGTGATTTTTCCTAATTCTTCCATTGCTGTTCTTCCGAGTCTCAGCCTCCTCTTGATTTCTTAACTGCAGTCTCTGTTTGAATTGATGACTAAACTGAGATAAGCACAACATTTGACCGTTTTAATGCCTTCATTGTCTGTGTTAAAGTTCTGTGTTTCTTCTTGAGTCATGATGTTTGTCTTCTTGGTGTTCAGATGCAGTCCTGCTTTGGTGCTTTCTTCTCTCACTTTTGTCAGAAGTTGCTCCAAATCGTGGCTGCTTTCTGCCAGTAAGATGGTGTCATCTACGAATCTTAAGTTGTTGATATTTCTTCCACCAGGAGTGGAAACTCACTCCTCCGTCTGAGTCTAGCCCAGTTTTTCACATGGCATGTTCCGTGTATAGATTAAACAAATAGGAAGAGAGGATGCACCCCGGCTAAACGCCTTTGCTGAGAGGAAACCTTTCTGTTTCTCCATATTTTGTCCTCACGGTGGTGTCCTGTCCATAACACAGGTTATGCGTTAGGACAGTCAAGTGGACAATCAAAAAAACCCTTTTTAAAAAAATATAGAATTTATTGATTTGAGAAACATCAGTTTATTGGTTCACTCACTCATGCCTTCATCGGTTGGTCCTTGCACGTGCCCTGACTGGGTATCAAGCCTGCAGCCTTGATGTATTGGGACGCTGCCCTAAGCAACTGAGCTACCCAGCCAGGGCCAAGGCACACCCATTGCTTCCAGAGCAGCTTACAGTTTTTCATGGTGCACACAGACAGAGGCTTTCCTGTGTCTGTGAGACGTAGGCCAGCCTTCTGAAAGTCTTTCAGCGCTTTTGAGTATATCTGACGAATGTTTTCAGTTAGATCTCAGTGCCTCTTCCTTTTCTGAATCCAGCTGGAGCATCCAGCATGCCTGGCCCCATGGGAGACAGAAGACTTTCATCGTTTCACCTTGAGCATCACGTTACTTGGGTGGGAAATTAGCGCGGTGGTCCCACAGCTGTCGCACTCCTTGGCATCTCCTTGCTGGAAGGTTTGGATGTATGTTGAACGTTTCATATTTGTCGACAAGTTCGTGTTAGGATTTTAACGGATTTGGTGTTTTGGGGTTGAATTAAATCTGTTGGTATCCCACCTGCCCCTGGTGGTTTATTTCCTCCCAGTACTTTCAGGGAAGCTCTCACTGTAGCTTCTAGATTTACGTGTCCTTCCTCAGCGGAATCTTCTTTGGGGCACCTGTCGTCCTTCCGTCTCTTCTGTGTAGATGTTCAGTGTCCCGTTTCCACCTTCCCTTTGCTCCTGGTCAGATACTGTGCTTCCTCGTTGGTCATTCTGCACTCCTAATCGAGGTTTAAGTTTCCTTTTTATTTCTTGCATCTCCCAGTAGAGGTTTCTTATTTTTCCTTTGTTGCTTTTCTCTTCTAGCTCTTTCATTAACTCCTAAAATTCTCTTTATATCTTGCGGTAGTCTTTGAAAAAGACTGTTCAGGATTCTAACTTGCTTTTGTCTGTAACCTTTTCGTTTTGCCTGTCTAACTATTTTTAGTGTTTCTTCTGTCATCTATTTCAGTTTTTCTCTCCTTTTTACTTCTTCCTCTGTCTTTTCCCATTCTCTAATTTTCTAGTTTTAGTCCACAGGTCTTCTGGTTCTCAGTCAATTAAGTTAAACAGTTTTTTGTGTGGACTTCTAATCCACAGGATGTTACTTACATTTTAAGTCTTTTGAGTTCTTTGAGTCTCTTGTGCTCTTCAGCTTTACTCTAAATTTTGATATTAACAGTCTGTGGTCAGAACCACAATCTGCTTCTGGTCTTACTTTGGCAGAGAGAATACAATGTCTCCATCTCCTGTTTTTAATTACATCATCTATTGATTTCCGTATTGGCCATTTGGCAACGTCCCCGTATACAGGTTTCAGTTGTTAGAAGCATGGGTTTGTGGTGGACGAGCTGGTGGCTTCACAGAAATCCACAAATCAGTCTCCTGCTTTGTTTCTGACCCCCAGTCCAAATATTCCCACAACATTTGATTCTGCTTTATTTCCTACTCTCACGTTCCAATCATCTGTAATTATTAATGTGTCTCATTTTGACGTGTGATGAATTTCCTCTTGGCTGCTTGCCTAAAAGCTTTCAATTTCATCTTCTTTGGCCTCTGTAGTTGGAGCGTAGACCTGCATGATGGCTGTGTTACAGGTTTTCCTGGAAGTCTGACAGATACTATTTGGTCAGAAACTGCACTGGAGGCCCTCACTGCCTGTGCTACATCTTGCCTCCGGATTAAAGCCATTCCGTCTCTCCTGAGTTTGTCGTTTCCAAAGTAGAACGCCAGTAGTTGCCCCTTTCCGGCGCGTTATTTGCCGACACCAAGCACTGAAGTGTTTGGATGTTCCGCTTCTTTACAATTTCCAGTTGACCTGGGTTCATGCTTCTTAGGCTCCATGTTCCAGTTACACGCGCCACGCAGCATCGTACTTGCCTTTGTGCCCATCGGCTGCTGGAAGTCCTTTCGGCTTTGATCTGGCTGCATCATTACCAACAGTGCTATTTGAACTCGTTCTCTGCTTTTGTCCGTAACGACCTGGGAGTCTCATCTTTGAGCACTGTCTCAGATTTCATTTTGGACCGTCTCACTGTGAGGCTTTTTAGGTAAAATGATAGATACAAGGAAAGGAAAGGAAGTGCAACAGCGGTTTGCCATTGGCTTCCGCCGAGCAGTGCATGGTTCCTACCACGTGGCATCAGGTCCACGGCATCGCAGCCACCGAAGGCCTGTGAGAGCGAGCGCCCCTGCAGGAACTGTTGGGGTTCGAGAAGCTCTTTGGCAGGGAGAATCTCTTAGCTCCCTTCCAAAGTTGTATTCATGCACATTTTTTATCAAGCAGGACACTTCAAGCAGAAGTGTCTTTGTACTTCTCATACCTTACAAATAAGAACACACTAAGTCAGTATATTTTTAACTTGTCTCAACAACTGTTAATTGAAAATCCACTGTGATTAAGTCACGTGCCACTATAGTAAGGATATGAAAACAGATCAAGCCTAGCCCGGCACTCAGAGACCTCTCCCAAGTAAGAGGAAATGCCCGTGAATAGGCAACTGTTAATGGTGCGGTAAGGGCTTGAGGCTCATTTAATACTGGCCGTGCTTCACCCATTCGAGAAGCATTTGTTCACTGCTCCCGGGTGTTAGGCATGGTGGAGGCGTTGGACTGTAACTGTGATCACAGTAGGCATGGTCTCCACCCTCATGGCGCCCATGTTCTAGTGTCAGGATTAGGAAGGGAGAAGGGAATGGACCAAGTGAGGGAATTAAGAAACAGCAAGTTGGCATCAGAGAGCACCAAGTCACATCTCTGATAAGCAGGAGAAGAGAACCTTTGAAGAAGAGGTCCAAGTACCAGGCGAATATAATCATTGTTCCAGGGGCGTGCTGGAAGGGAGGGGGCGCCCACCAGGACACATGCACATCGGTGGTAGTGAACGAGGGGGACTCTGGAGTTTTGGCTCTGGCCCAGGAGAACCAGGTGGCAGGTGTGGTGGGATTAACCCCTGACAGCCTGTTATGAAAGGTGGGCAGTCAGTGTATCCTGGTTTGTCGATATGACCGTGGACAGGTAGATGATGACATGTTTTCAGGTGTGCAGTGACCTCGCCCACCTGCATGGGTAGCCAGGAAAGGCTGATTTATTTGAAGGAGCTAAGATCTGGGATGTTTCTGTAGAGTTGTGTTTTCTTTCTTTTTTTTAAATTATATATTTTTAGAGAGAGGGGAATGGAGGGAGAAAGAGGGAGAGAAACATTGATGTGTGAAAGAAACATTGATTGTTGCTTCTCGCATGCTGCAACTGGGGGTGTGGCCTGCAACCCAGGCATGTTCCCCGACTGGGAATTGAACCGACAATCTTTAGGTCCGCAGGTTGGTGTTCAACCCACATGAGCCAGGGCGAGCTCTATTTTCTTAAGGAATATTTTTATATCTGTTTAATAGCCCACAATTCTAGTTTTACAGAAGCAGTGTTCATGATATATCTCCTTGAATATATGTAGTAGGCGTCCCGACAGACATTCTAACATCCTTTGTATGTATATATGAATATTCATGTGTTGTAGACTGGGATACATGGGTGAAGAAGGGTTGATTAGCTTGCCCAGAACCACGCAGGAGTAGATTTAAATCTGAGTCTGTCTGATTCCAAAGTTCACTACGTGTCAACAAATCACACTGGGGAGCCACTGAGGGACGCGTGTAAACAGGAGTGTGTAAGATGTTTGTCCTTTTAAACTCAGCAGTGGTGGAAATAGGTCTTTCAAATGTTTGCTTTCCATGGTTATGGAATTTCTTCCCACTAAGAAATTAATTTGTCACTATGTATGTCAGACCGTACTTTTATACTTAATTATATTTTTATTTCTTTTGAAAGAACCTGTGGCCTGTTGTTATTGGACCAGAATGACATCTATTATCAAATTAACGACCCTGTCTGGGGTGCAGGAGGAGTCTGCCCTCTGCTACCTTCTCCAGGTCGATGAGTTTCGGTTCTTACTGGACTGCGGCTGGGACGAGCACTTCTCCCTGGACATTATCGATTCGCTGAGGAAGTACGTTTTACGTGCAGTGTGTCTGGACGATTAGTTCACCAGCTCTTCTTTTCTGCGCTACATTGCTGTTTTCCTGTTACACAGTGTTTCTTTTTTGCTATAATTTAGTTTGTAGTAAAAGAGTTTCTTTATGCCCGTGAGCCAAACAGTGACTATTTTCATTTGTAAAGTTTTATTGACTTGTAAACTGTGTTATTTGAAATTCAGAATAATCTTAAATTAATTGTTACTTAGCTGATAGATCTCGGTAGAAGTTATTGCACCCGAATTTTAGAAAAGAGCAAGGTTAAGTTTTTAAGAGCGGAAACACTTTCCAGGTGGAAGTTCTGTAGTCACACCACGTTAACTTACTTCTTCATCTTTTGATGCTAGACTCTGAGAATCGGTGCTCAGATTGATGGCCTCGAGATACAGAGTGATGCTAACCCATCAGAGAAAAATTCAGTTATGTCTGCAGTATTGCACTCATTGTGGAAGGAAAGAGGACTTAAACATTTGGAAAATACAGAGCTTGTAGTGAAAATTTTTTTCTTTTGTCAATGAGAACATGCTTCATTAATTAATTGAAGTTTTACTATAATGAATATGCCTATCAGTTACCATGGTAAAAAGCTGGGCCAAAATCCATAGTAAGTATGTGGCCATTTAAATCTTCTCCTGACCGGGAATTGAATGGGTAACCCTTTGGTTCACAGGCCGGCACTCAGTCCACGAAGCCACACTGGCCAGTGTTAAATACCTTCTTAATTTCTGAAATTCCAATCTGAGTTCTTGAACTTAAACTAATAGTATATAAGATAGCCATTTGAAATCAGCTTACATGTGGTGTCTACTGCTTCTTTTACTTTTCTTTTTTAAATGTGTCTAGACACTATATAGGTATGCGTGACTTATACAGTAATTTTGTCAGGGGTAGTAATAATTGAAATTCGTGGGCATCATACTTTCAGCTTTTTGACTCCCGCATAGTCTTCAGTTCAGAACACTTAGAGGAATCGGAACTGGGGAAAGAATTTGACTGTCCCACCTTCACCCTTAAAAACCGCTTTGCGCCACGGTCCTTCTGTGTGTCCCCAGGCACGTGCACCAGGTCGACGCCGTGCTGCTCTCGCACCCCGACCCGCTGCACCTCGGGGCGCTCCCGCACGCCGTGGGCAAGCTGGGCCTGAACTGCGCCATCTACGCGACCATCCCCGTCTACAAGATGGGGCAGATGTTCATGTATGACCTCTACCAGGTAATTTCAGCAGTTAAAGAATGCTTAGCCCTTCCGCCCTGATCATTTCTAACCTTCGTTTGTGTTACTCTTTCAGTCTCGACACAACACAGAAGACTTCACGCTCTTCACGCTGGATGACGTGGATGCAGCCTTCGATAAAATCCAGCAGTTGAAGTTCTCTCAGATTGTGAACTTGAAAGGTAAAAAGTATTTCCAGTAGTATGTAATTGGATTAATGGGGTTTGACATGCTGAAAAGTACAGGAGAAATTTGTAGTAAAAATTATAAGCATTATGGTCCGAGGGACAGAAAATTAGCATTAAAATTTTTTTTTATTTTTTTATTTTTAGAGAGAGGGTAAGGGAAGGAGAAAGAGAGGGAGAGAAACATCAATGTGTGATTGCCTCTCACATGGCCTCCACTGGGGACCTGGCCTGCAACCCAGGCATATGCCCAGACTGGGAATCGAACCGCAACCCTTTGGTTCACAGCCTGCACTCAGTCCACTGAGCTACACCAGCCAGGGCAAAATTAGCATTTTTTATTAAGAACTCTGGACCTCCCCCAGGTCATCTAGATGGAAAAATAGTCCAGATGAAATACTAACAAAGTGTGGACAACTCAGGAGCGACATCTGTTGTCTGCTCTGTGCCAGGACAGAGGTGCGGTGGCTCCCGAGTAGGTCGGGGGCATGAAGTCGCTCAAGTGACCACATGTTGTGACTGAAGGAAACAGAGTCTGTCGGCGGCACAAAGGATAAACAACTGAATTCTAGAATCGGGCACCGAAAAGCTCACTCTTTCATTAGGTCAGGAAGTCACACATCTAGTGCGTATGTGTCACCCACAGAGAATGTAGTAAAGACTCTCGGCACGAACCCGAGCATTGAGGAAACTGGGCGGCAGTGCCATTGGAAGACGTGGCCAGCAGGCAACAGGGGTCTCGGCAGTTGCGCGCGCCCTGAATTTCTCTGTAGGACGGATTCTTTACAGTAATGAGTGGAATGGTCAGTTAGAGGTTAACAAAAACGGGAACACCTGATAATTGTGTGTACAGCGTAACTCTTCAAAGGCATTAGTTCGTACTAATTGATGTACTAGTAAGAGTCACTTTGAGTCCAGTCTCTAGCCTTTTGTTCATAGGCACAAAGTGTCTGCAAGAATGATTAATAAAGGGACAACAGCATTTGCCCCCACGAGGGAACGGAGTAGTCGGGGCAGCAGATGAGACTTGCATTTCACTCTGCACCTTTTTACTTTTGAGTTTTGTATCATTGTTTGTATTATGTATTAAAAAGTAGTTTACAAGTAAATAGCCTTTCTTCGGGGATTAAAAGGAATCTGAGCATCGCCGTTATCTTGCTGATGCAGGTAAAGGACATGGCCTGTCCATCACACCTTTGCCCGCCGGTCACATGATAGGTGGAACAATATGGAAGATAGTCAAAGATGGCGAAGAGGAAATTGTGTATGCAGTCGACTTCAACCACAAGAGGGAGATGTAGGTATATCTAGAAAAAGGCTGATAGAAATGCCCATTGCATTTATTATTGGGTATTATTTTGTACTTTGGAGGGAAAATTAGAAACAAAGTTTTTTTTTTACCAGAAATCCAAAGCAATTTAAAAGTACCAACCAGTGAGTGTTTTCAGAATGAATTAATTAATTGCATTGTAAGGGAAAATTATGATGAAAGAGATAAAAGATATATTTGAAATGTACATGTTAGTATCTACTCTGTAAAACATATTTTTCCCTGGAGATTTGCAAAGGAGATTAATTTTTATATATCAAACTGTATCTTATATGTTCTTCACCTGTTATTTAAAGGAACTTTGTGAATTTTTTTGGTCAGAGTCAGTAATAATTACCATCTAATAAAACCATGTGTAAAGTCAGACTCCCTTTAAAAGGATATACAAGAGTTTAATTTTAAATACTTCATTTTATAATCAGAGCACATTATGTCAATTATATCTGAATGATGGTTCTCTGGAAGATCTTGGTTTTCCTTTTTTGAATTTGCCAGATATTCTTACCAGTGAGCATGTATATATACTTTTATAGTTAGAAGAGAAAAAATCCTTATAAAAGAAGTTGCTTAATTTTAGGTAAGATAAACTATTGTTTATTTGAAGTGATATAAAATATTTCTCTTCTTCAAATTTGCTATAGCCACTTAAATGGATGTTCCCTGGAAATGCTGAGCAGACCCTCCCTGCTTATCACAGACTCATTTAACGCTACGTACGTGCAGCCCAGGAGGAAGCAGAGAGACGAGCAGCTGCTGAGTATGTACTGCCTGAGGTCCTCTGTACAGGGCGTCACCGTGGAGTGCACCGCAGCGGGGACTGCTGCCTACTCTGCGCCAGTTAACGCTTCTCTTGTCTAAGAGATTGGCTAACTAGTGTTTTTTGGAAAAGCACTGCATCACCATGTTAATATTTTGTACAGAAGGAAGCTTCTGCTGGTTTGAATTTAACTTTTGTGGGATAGGTAGAAAGATTGGCTTCTTCCTGCCGTTCGGCACAGAGCTAGCTCTGCCTGCCATTCACTGGTGTAGGTCGGGGGAATGCCGAATGTGAAGGTCTCATATAAATCCGTTTATATAGAAAAACACACCCTAAAAGAAAGATGAATGAAGGAGGTAAGTGAAGGTGCAGGCAGTTGGCTGATTTGGGTGGTGGGTGTTTTACGTGCTAATCTGGTTATCTCGGCTCTAGAGGGGTGCCCGTGGGCCATCCCTGGTGGCTTCCGCTTTGTCTCCAGTTGCTGCGCCCGGGAGTCTCTTTATAAGCTACACAGGCTTTCAACAGGGAAGGTTTGATTCCACCTTTAAACATGTTTGAAGCCACTGCTTTTGTCTATCTACTTACAAAAGAAGAACGTGGATACTATGTTACACTAACTTTAAGAAGGTTTGCAATTCTCATTTTTGCTGGAGTTTGGTTTTACTAAATATTTTCAAGCAGACTTCTTTCTAGAGCAAGTGAATCTATTTAAATCTATTTATAAAAATACTTTTGTTTGAAGAGAATCGTCTATTTTATTCTGCAGACATATATACAATACAAAACATGTATGTATTAATATGAAGTACACATGTGTGTATAAACTGGGAAGTTGTAACAACAACATTCATTGTGGTGGTGGACAGGCAGTACTGGAGTGACCTGGAAACCCCAGGGTGGTTGCACTTGACCTACACATTCAGTTTACCCAGTGTACTGTAAAAATATCTTTGTGTGTACTGTGGGTGTTTGGGTTTAGAAACCAGTGATTTATAATTTTTCAGTGAAAAAAACTGAGAGACAATGGCATTGTTTTTCATTCCTAGAAGGATATATTCACAGAATATAGAAAGTATTTGCAATGGCCTGAATGAAATTCTTTATTTCGTACCTGGCCTAGTGGTGGTTTATTTATAAATCACAGTTTTTATAGTAAAAACGTTGAGATAAACTTACCTGTAATTTGGTGGCCAGTGTTGTTGCGTTCCCTAAGGACTTCACATTCTCATTTTCCAGCCAACGTCCTGGAAACGCTGCGAGGCGACGGCAACGTGCTGATCGCCGTGGACACCGCGGGCAGGGTGCTGGAACTCGCCCAGCTCCTCGACCAGATCTGGAGAACGAAAGACGCGGGCCTGGGCGTCTACTCGTTGGCGCTCCTGAACAACGTCAGTTACAACGTGGTGGAGTTCTCCAAGTCCCAGGTTTGCTGCTTTCCGCTGTCGTTCGTGCTGAAGTTCACTGCGGAGACCGGGCTTGCGGAGGACAGTGCCCTTTAGATTTTGTTTTCTGTGGGAGAGGTTGATGATGACAACAGTAGGAAAAGCTAAAAAGTAACCCCTCCCCGTTCTTTCTGCTTTACTAGTATAATTTCATCTAATCCTTCTAGACTCGGTGCAGTTGGTTCTGGTTTCTCCCCATTTCACAGACCGAGCAAGTTGCCGCTCCTCTGTTTAGAACTTCCACATAACCTTCTCAGTAGATTTAAAGTAATTCATAAGTCAAACGTAACGCCTAATTGGGTGTTCAGGGATGAACACTGAGGCGGCGGGATCTGATGGGGAATAGAAGCAGGAAATAATTGTCTAAAAAGCCCAAATTTGAGCAGCCAGTGGGGAGCAGGGCAAGACTCAAGGGGGAACGTGAACTCCGTGACTGGTGAAGAATGCACCGACGTCACCCCACGGCCACTCCTCACTGTTGCCGTCTCTCCTCCCGTGGTAGGTGGAGTGGATGAGCGACAAACTGATGAGGTGCTTTGAAGACAAAAGAAATAATCCGTTTCAGTTCCGCCATCTCTCTCTGTGTCACGGTCTTTCCGACTTGGCCCGGGTCCCCAGCCCGAAAGTGGTGCTCGCCAGCCAGCCCGACCTGGAGTGTGGGTTCTCAAGAGACCTCTTCATTCAGTGGTGCGAGGACCCTAAGAACTCAATCATTCTGACTTACAGAACTACTCCCGGGACCTTAGCACGCTTCTTAATCGACAATCCTTCTGAGAAAATTACAGAAATAGAGGTAAGTGCTTGTCTGTGAATTTCATCTTAGCACTGTTTTGAATATATTACGCATGATGTGTAAAAACCAGTGACCAAAAACAAAGCCCAAAGTTGTTTCAGGATTTTGCCAGAACTACAGTAGGCAGCCTTGAATAGCACAAACTTCAGAGCTTCTCCGTGGGAAGTTCTCGTTCTGGACCCTTCCGTGCTGCCCTCTGGGACCACACCCACCCGGTCCACGTGTACACCGTGTTCTCAGTGTCTCTCGTTTCTCCAGAACTGGAATCAGGCTCTTTCCAAACGATACTCATTTTCCTGGAGCCCTTTCAAGTAGCTGCTCTTTTCTCCTCTCTCACGCTCCGTGAGCTTTGGGTGGGGTAGAGATTCTTGTTCTGTGTTGCTGCTTTGAAGCCATTTCTCTCCCCTTGGTAGTCCGTGTGTCAGGCTTGACGATGCGCGCACCCCTCCCTGTTCCTGACGTTTACTGGTCGCTTGGTCGTTCTCTGTCATTCATCAGTGACGTTGGGCTCTGGCTGCCAGCCTCCCTCCCCACGCGTACCCAGGACCTCATCCTTGAGGCCTTTGGCATTCCTGTCCCCCCAGTTCCTTGGCTCCCTCAGTTCCTTGACCTCTGGTTTCTCAGTGGTCTTTTCCTCTGCGCCACCTCAGCCGTCCATCCCGCCGTCACGCTGTCTACTCCATGGTCACGCCCTGAATCAGCCTCCTCATGACCGAACAGCCTCCACACCTCCACTCCCGCAGGCCTTGCTCTCTGATGTAGGGGTGGCTTTCTCTGTTACTGCTGTGCCGTCGGTCCCCTGGGGTCTTTAAGTTCACGAACCCCACCACTTTTACTCTCCGGCATCCCTCAGGCGTTGAGCCAGGGGTCCATCATTATTTTGCAAACGACTTTGCCTCTCTTACCCTTCTTCCTGCTGTCGTACTCACCTGGGCAGGCCTGGACTCCCGTTAAACCGTCTGTTTAGTTCGTGCCTGTACCCTAGCAACACTGGTGTTAGCTGGAGTTACACGCTACCGTGTGGACGGGTTTTCCTCCGCACGCGCGACCTCGCGTCTCAGGCACCCACCACTAGCACTCAGCGTTTTGTGGGCCGTTCCTTTCTGCTCTCTCGGGTAAGACGACTTCATACCTTCTTTCTTCTCAAAAGCCCTGCACCTGCATCTCAGTCCTCCCCCGTAGCACATGACCTTGTTTCACACCTGCCTGAGAAGCAGAAGTCGGACAGGGAGTTCCCCTTTCTTCCCACCACACAAGAGCCTCGCCCGTCCTGCACCCACGCTCCCCGCCTTGTCTCTTGTTACAGGAGTGAGGCAGTTCGTCCACTGAGCGTTACGCCCAGAGATAATCTCACTAATGACCCACCCACCAGACCAATCAGTTTTCCGAAACTAGTGTCACCGCCTCAAAGTCTGCAGCAGTTGATAGTGAGTAGGTGAGTGGTGGCCGCTTTCCATTTCGTCCTCAGAGAGGCGTTTAAAGGAACGTTTAGTTTGTTAAAAGCTGAGGAGGAAGGGTATCTTACTAACTCCACTTAAGGAAAGCATAATAACGGTAACGAAAATCTGATACATGCTCACTAGAAATGCAGAGTTGCTGAGGGAAGCTCCAAAGCCAGCACACCTAAGTAAAATACTGGCTCTTGGGTTGTTTAATAGCTTAGAAATACAAAATTAAAAGAACTCAGAAACATTTGAAAGTTTCATCAGATGTGGAATGCAGTATTAGAAAACATTAATTACTAGAAATTCAATTAAGGTAGATATGCCATTTGAGGAATTCATAAAAGAATATTAAAAGTGGTTTAAGTTTGAAAAAATAGAAAATGACATTTGGAGCTGAAACTCAAAATATTAGATCGCAATCAGTCTAGCAATATGTCCTGTCCACGTGGCCTGCAGATACGCCCTAAATCTATCTACCTTCTGCAGCTCCGCCCATGCTTAAGTGGGCTTGCCCGGACTGTGCCGCAGTTTCCTAACTGGTTTCTCTCTTTTTATCTTTACATACTCTTAATCCTCTCTTCTCATAGCATCAAAAGAGATATGTCTTTCTCTAAGCCTCTCTTTTTATTGTGGTACAAACCACATGACAAAACTTACTGTCTTAACCATTTTTAAGGGTTAAACACAGTTATATTAACTATGTGAACATGATTCTACAGCAGATTCTAGAACTTCTCATCTTGCACAACTGAAACTCTGCACCCATTGGACAGCTCCCAAAGGCGTTTTGTAAACATTCACCACTTCATGCCGCTCCCTTCCAGAGACCCTCTAACCGCTTCCTTCTGCTATTTGAATAAAAGCCAGACTTCTTACCCCGACTTCTAAGATCCCACATGACCTATCTCTCTACCCACCTTCCTGACCTCATCTCACCCCACTTGCTCGGAGCCCTGCCCTGATGCTACACGCCATCAGGATCTTCACACTGGGTGGTGTTTCTTCTGCAGGTCATGTTTTTTCTCAGCCTTGTACTTGGCTGGTTCCTTGTCATTCAAGTCACAGTTCAAAGGTCAGCTCCTCAGAGAGGCCTCTACCATCGAAAATGATTACTTACTTGCCAACCCATCACCTAACTTCGTTTTTTTTTTCCCTAGCACTTATCACTGTTATTTTCCTTGTTGTCTTCTTCTGCCCACTACCAACAGGAATACAAGTTCCATGAGAAAAGGGATCTTGTTTTTTTTGGTTCCTAGCGTGCAGAAGAGTGATAATGGTGGTTCTCAAAACTACGGTGTGAGGACCCCTGGGGTGTCCCCGAGACCTGTTCAGGAAGTCCACAGGGTCAAAAGGATTTTTCGTAATATATTAAGTACGTAATATATTTCGTAATATATTAAGTACGTAATATATTTCGTAATATATTCGTCTTCTCCTCCCTGTCCCTGTATTTATACTGATGAGCGGAAGTGGTGGTGGGAGACTGCCGGAGCCTCAGCATAGATGGAGACAGCAGCACGCAGCTGTGCCGGCAGTCCCTGCGTTTGTCATTGCCACGCGCTGTTAGAGAAGTCCAGCTCACTTACGGATGTCCTGGGCAGACTGGTGGAAGTTATTAATGTTACTAAGTTTTTTAATAAAATATTTTTAGTCTAGGTGACAAGATGGGGAGTTTGCATAAAGCACTTGTGTCGAATACTGAAGTACCACAGTTGTCTCTAAGAAAACCACTGGTACAATTGTGCAAGTCGTGGGTTAGACTGGCCACTTTTTTCTTTTCTTTTTTTAATATTTATTTTATTTTTTTAAAGATTTTTTAAAAATCTCCCTCTAAAAATAAAGGGGGTGGGAGAAAAAGGGAGAGAAACATCAATGTGTGGTTCCCTCTCGTGCGCCCCCTACTGGGGACCTGGCCCAAAACCCAGGCATGTGCCCTGACTGGGAATCAAACCAGGGACCCTTTGGTTCGCAGGCCGGTACTCACTCAGTCCACTGAGCCACACCAGCTGGGCTAGCCACTTTTTTCTTGAAACAGTATTTTCACTTGAAATAATGAGATGGCTAATTTAGATTGATGTTTGGCATAGTGTCTCAAAAATGAATAAATTGAGCCACTCACTTTAAGGAAAATAATTGATAGTATGTGTTGTTTAAATCTGATAAAGTTCAGACTTTCAAGTGAAAATTAGAATTTTAGAAAACCTAAATCCCCGTCTCTGTCAGATCAACTGCTTAAAAGATTTTCTGATGAGATTGGTGGTGATATTTACGAATGTGATTTTTCAAATATTAAGATCTGTATAACCTGGTGAACCAGTATTTTCCAAATAACCCAGTGCGTGATGTTACGAAGAAATGCACAAATGAAAGACCCACTCAAAGTGCAAGATCAGTCAGTACGTTTTCATGTACCAGTACAGAAACTGACTGGTGTGGTTTCAGATTCCGCAGTACAACACACCTTTTGAGTCTTAATGTAGTATCAAGAAGAATGTTCATAAAAAGAACAATTCTTCATAAGAACACCCGTTTGAATTTTTTCCCCTTTTCCAGCCTTCCATTTGTATGAGGTGGGGTTTTCTTCATGTACTTTGGAGCAAACTTGCGAGAGGTTGAATACAGAAGCAGGTGTGGGACCCAGCGTCTGCTGCTGACTGAGACACTTACAGAGACTTGCCAACAGATGTAAAATAACACTGTATTTTCCACTAAGTTTTTCCTTTGGAAGTATAATTATCTTTTGTCAAAATATGAGGTTAATGCTAGCATGTGATGGCTTTCTTATTTTTTCATGAATAAATATTTGTTCAATTTCTCAGTTTCAATTTTTGATATGGTAAATTTCAATAAATATAACAAGAAAACAGAAGCCCTATATGCCTAAGCTAATGCAGTGTTTTGTGTCAATTATATTTTAATTTAAAAAAACAGTATTAACAAGAGCTCCTTAGTATAATTTTAAGTCTTAGGAATTCTGAGCTCAAAAAGCTTGAGAACTACAGATTAGATCACTTTGTATTGATAGATTTTAAATTGTGTCCAGTTTTTCACTATCACCAACATTGCTGCATTTGTGTGATTGTTTTAGGAGGATACATTTCCACAGGTAGCAATGCTGTGTTAAATGGCAAGCATGTTTTTTGTTTTAAATGTTGCATGTTGCCTTCTAACAGTTGCGTTAATTTTCCCATCAATGTTACAGTAGGTGAAGGTACTCTTTCCCCATATGGTATTGTACTTAGTGTTGTCAACCTCATAGATTAAAAATTGGTATTACATTTAATATATTTTGCATTTAAAAAATCGTGAAATTAGACATGTTTTCATGGCTATCAGTTATTTGTTTTTCTTATTTTAGAAATTGCCTATATGTCTATTTTGTTCTTTTCTGATGTGCGGATCATCTTTTTCTCAACTGATTTGGAAGGGGTCTTAGGAAAAAGCAGCTTCTGCTAGTCATACCATGTTGCAAATAGTTCTTTCAGCTTCTTTTAATTTCATGAGATTTAAAACATGAAAGCGATTTTATTTTTCGTGTTGCCCTATTTATTCATGTTTTCCTTTAGGGCTTTTGGGTTTTATGTCATACATAGGCCTTATACACCAAATTATGAAATTACTTCGCTGTATTTTCTTTTCCTGATTGGCAATGTTGAACTAGTTTGATTTAAATTAAACCCATCCTAGAAATGTGAAAGCTCAGTTTTCATAGTATTCTAAATAGGATCTGTAAGTACATGCAATGGACACTCGAATAATTTTAGAAGAAATTTTAATTTAAAGATGAATCAATTTAGAGACATGATGTTTCTCATACCCCGCTGCCCTAGCCCCTGATGTTGGTATTTTCTTTCGTTTTCTATTTACTTTTAGTTGAGGAAACGTGTAAAGCTTGAAGGGAAAGAACTGGAAGAATACTTGGAAAAGGAGAAACTAAAGAAAGAAGCTGCTAAAAAACTTGAGCAGTCAAAAGAGTGAGTTATTTTTAGATACAAGTTTATATATGCAATTTAAGAAGAACTTCTTTCTAAGACAAAAAAGTTTAATAGAAAATATTTAACTTTTGTTCTATCCTCATTGCTTTTGTTTCATCTTTCAAATGGTGCTAGAATACCAAATTCTTTCATTGCCGACATTAATACATATACGTTAACTGGTAGTTAATGCTGTGTTTCACAAAATATCAACCCAGTAATATTGATGATTATCGAATGACCATCCTGTTAATGGTCAGTGTTCAGTAATAATTTAATGAGCACTAATTCAGAGCCCTCGGGGACTTGACGACCTTTCCCCGTTCCGACCCCTGCCAGGGCGGACATCGACTCCAGCGATGAGAGCGACGTTGAGGAGGACGCTGACCAGCCGTCGGTGCACAAGGCCAAGCACGACCTGATGATGAAGGGCGAAGGGAGTCGCAAAGGCAGTTTCTTCAAACAGGCTAAGAAGTCTTACCCCATGTTTCCCGCCCCAGAAGAGAGAATTAAATGGGATGAGTATGGAGAGATTATCAAGTATGTGAACAAAATACACTTCTCTCCTATGGATAATAGGAATCAAGTGTGTTATCATTTGAGCTCAGTGAATTTGGTCTTTCTGGTTATCAGTTTGTTGAAATAACGACGAAGCTTTCTTGTTAATATGCAGATGGAGAGTTACCTGCCTTCTTTGATCAGGGATGGGAGGACGGGGCCTGAGGGAAATTAAAGGAGGCCTGAGGTTTATAAGAACTGGGAGTCGGCAGGGAAACGGCAGAAGCTGAGAAACAGATGCAGGGCCGGGTCGGGCTGGTGCGTCTGCTGACCCCTGAGCTCTCCCAGGGATCCGTCCTCCGGGGCCTCTCGCCGGCCCACGGGTGTGGTGCGGAGGACACTCCCTGTGGTGTGAACGGTCACAGGGGACATAATACATATGCAGTCACCTGATAATTGACACCGTGAAGTTGCTTTGGCTTCGGACCAAATGTATATTTAAATCTTGAGCTGTGCAAGGAGTCTAAAAATTATGCAATTTACTAGTTAGTTATATGTAACATAATATTAGCTTACTCGTTATGACTTCTAATTAGAGACTTATTGTTTAGACCAGAGGATTTCTTGGTGCCAGAACTTCAAGCTACTGAAGAAGAAAAAAGCAAATTAGAATCCGGCTTGACAAACGGAGATGAACCCATGGATCAGGATTTATCTGATGTTCCTACTAAGTGCATTTCTATGACAGAATCTATTGAAATAAAGTAAGTGCTCTCACTGCATTTTGGAAATACAAAATTTAAACCCTTGAACTATAATTTGCATTGTTTCCAAGGTGAAATTTCTGAATATCCTATAGTAAGTTTGCAATTTTAAAATTTAATTTCTTTTTTCATGTAAAGACTTGTGAAGTATGGAGATGTTTTCTCTTTGTTAATTATATCTGAATGCCAAAGTAAATGAATCGGTGGAGGGGGGGAGTTAAACATTAAATTGTACACTTATATAAAGAAGCACTCTTTTGGCATTTTCAGTATGTTCAGTAGCAGGTGAGGGCTACAATAAATAGGTTCAACTTTCCTAAGTGCTTGTTTCATAAAATATACTCCGTGACTTAAACATCTCTAGTGCCCTAATGTCTTAAAAATACTAGTGACCTGAAGTAGTTAAGATTTTTTTTTCCTTTTGGTGTAGTTACTAACACTAGAAAATCATCATGTTAGAATTTGAAAAAACTCATGAGGGAGCCAAGTGGTTCATCTGTGCAGGGATACCATTTGGCATAGCTCCCTGGGTGTACTCAGTCCCAGTAATGCACGTGAGTGGTGTCGCAGAACGCTCTCCACTGCGGCCGCACCAGTGTGTGTTCTCACCAGCAGAGCAGGGGTTTTCCTTCATCCCGGTTTCACCGCCGGCGCTGGGCCTTGTCTAACTCTGTACCGTTTTCTGGCCTAATAGATAGTAATGCGTCAGTACTATTAAAAGTTATTTTACTGTGATTATTATTAAGTTTGATTATCTCTTCAGATGCTTGCTACTGTTTCTGTTTTTATAAAGTCCATATTTATTCCCTTTGTGCATTTTTTTGTTGTTGATTTGCAGGAGTTCATTGTGTATTTTGGATGTTGTTGGTGGTTGGTTTTAGACGACACAAATGAAAACCATTTGCCATTGTGTTCACTTGCTTTCAAGAGTTTTTCATGATCTACTTTTTTTTAAAACATTTTTAATTTTGATGTAAGGAAATAATAAAGTATTTCTCATTATATTTTTTTAAAAAGTCCTTCTCTGTCCTTGATCATAAAGATAATTCTTACATTTTTAAAGCTTCACTTTTTTTTTTTTGGAATGGCTTCAACTCACCTGTGATTTTATGTGGCATTAGGTCAGGATCCAACTTTATTTTTTTTTATATAGTGGGTCATTTTCTTCTAATGACACTTATTAAAGAATCCACAATCCCCCAAAATACATAATAATAGAACCCATGTGTCTTCCTCAGATCCTCATTTTAATACTGTAGACATTTTTCTTTTTTTAGTTTTTAAAAAATACATGTGCTGTATACGTTTCTTTCCTGATAATAAAAGCCATCGAACACCCAGGATTTGAGTGAACTTACCAGAAAAGTAAGTTTGAATGGTCCTGTTTAATTACAGGGCCAGGGTCACCTACATAGACTACGAAGGGCGCTCTGATGGGGATTCCATTAAGAAGATCATCAATCAGATGAAGCCACGACAGCTGATCATTGTGCACGGACCCCCAGAGGCCAGCCAGGACCTGGCCGAGTGCTGCCGGGCCTTCGGTGGGAAGGACATCAAAGTGTACATGCCGAAGCTGCACGAGACGGTCGACGCCACCAGCGAGACTCACATCTACCAGGTACGTGTGCCGGCACTTGAGCCGCGTAAAAGTGCTTTGTGCTGCCGTGTAGGGCAGACAGATGCGGGAGGGCGCAGTGCTGAGTAGGACAGAGTAAGGTCGTCCCCGGCCCCAGCAGAGCCTAGTCTCTGGGGCTTTTAACAAGGAAATACTAGTTATTATACAGTTACACCTTTGATAGAGAAAGCAGAGGATGTTATGAGAACATACAGGAAACCCCAACCCAAATTTAGAGATCAGAAAAGAGTTCCTGGAGAAAGTGAGAACCAAGCCAAATCCTTACGAACGATTTCTCAGGGGTGTGTGTAGAATGGGAAAGAGAGGGAGGAGAGTGTTCCAGAGGGAACGGCATTAGCAAAAATATACAGACGAAGCGAATGGTGAGGGTTCAAGAATTCAAACGTTTTATAGAAATTCACAGATGTCAGCGTTCTATTAATAGAAAGAAATGGAGACAGGCACAGAAAATAGGAGTAGCAGAGAGATGGATTAACTCTTACTTGGTAGTGGGAGATGGAGTCAGTTACGGCAGAAGCTACATCTATTTGGAAAAAGCGGATTGGAATTCAGCAGGCAAAACCATCATTCTGGGCAAAGCAAGAGGAAGCAGCATTCCAAGAATACGGAGGTGTGAAACCACCTGGTTATTTAGGAAACTATTAGCAAGTCAGTGCTCCTCTGGTACCATCCAGTGTCAGAGAATGACAGATGCTAGCGGTGTCCACCCTGGGCTGTACAGGACGGTCCTCTGGGCAACTCCAGGGTCGTCGAGGGTCTCGATGCTCTGGTCTCAGCCTCACTAGTTACGTTAGAGTCAGTGTGGGTGGGGCCCGGCACAGTTAATCTTAGAAAGTTGCCATGTGGCCTCAGCGCGCAGCCCAGGTCAAGAGCCTTTGTTTTGGAAAGTGGACAGGGTCCCAGAGATCTTACAGGTCATTAGGTCGTCACTAGTCGTGGTGAAGGTCAGATGAGTGAGAGGTTTTGACGTTCTAATACACATTCTGAGACTTAGGGCATGATCATAGTAAATGATAGGTTATATTTAATTGTTAACTTATACTCTGTGGGTTTTATTTCTCTTCACCCCCTTGCACATCTAGGTGAGATTGAAAGACTCACTTGTTAGCTCCCTGCAGTTTTGTAAAGCGAAAGATGCCGAACTAGCTTGGATAGATGGCGTCTTAGACATGCGGGTTTCCAAAGTGGACACGGGAGTGATTCTAGAAGAAGGAGAACTGAAGGATGATGGAGAAGACTCGGAGATGCAAGTGGATGCGCCTTCGGATTCCAGCGTCATCGCACAGCAGAAGGCCATGAAAAGTCTGTTCGGAGACGACGAGAAAGAGACCGGCGAAGAAAGTGAAATTATTCCGACTCTGGAGCCCTTGCCGCCTAATGAGGTAAATGGGCATGCGCTGCTTCTCCCTTTTCCTTAATGTGTCATCCTGTGAATTTTCCTCTACCCTGCTAGCCATTTAAAATAGGTCACATGTAGACTGATTTTGGAGTTTTTAGAGAAGATTCCTCAAGGTACGTTTGTGTGCGTGTTTGTCCTGTATGGCTAGGGAGTGATAATAACTGGAAGGAAACCTGGCGGAGAACTTCTTGTAAGATACATAATCATTTCACAGTTTGCGTTTGTTTTTCAGTAGGGATTTTAAAGTGTGACGTCCGGTGATTGTGAGAGTCGTCTGCCTGCTTCTCATCAGGAGACGTGTGGTTTTCTAAGAATGTCACGCGCCTGCACTCCCGTGTTGTCTGCTGTCCATTCAGTTCAGATCACTTTTGGTTTTGACAGAGTTCGAAAGCTTTTACTTAGCATAGGTAGAGTTCCAGTCTAGTATTGACATGTCCGCAAGGGACACCTGCTTAATTTAGCAGAGGTGTCATGGAATTAGCTTACAGACAGTGTTAAAAATGGTGAGTCCTACGTGCGTGTCAGTTGACGTCTTTAGCCCTTCCAAACAATGAGGATGGAGAGACAGCCTCGTCGCTGGACTCCTCTCCCGAACTGCTCTTGAAATTGGGAGAAGTCAGAGCTGTTTTTCTCTCTGTGCTAATGCTAGCACTCTTCATAGCAGTTTCAAAGTAGCGGCATCAGGTCGAACCACTTGCCTTCCGATTCTAAAACCTGCAGCATCCACTGCCTTTGCTCTGAGGGAGATGGGGAAGTGGAACCAGGGTCAGGAGGAAATTATCCTCTGACCCAAGCCAAGGACGAGGGCGTGAATCAGAAAGAATCTGCGGCTCAGCTGTGCCTGCTGGCACTCCAGTTGACCCCGTTAGACAAGTGGGTGAGAGAAGGCATAACATCACCCAATGTCTCTGTTATTGTGAGGCATGACTAATAAAATTGATTGAAACATTCAGTCAGAAAGTGTGAAGGGCTTTGTAATGTTAAATAATGAGGTAAAGTTCAGAATAACAACTTGGAATGTGATTTACAGTCTTGAAATGATCTGTCAAAGGACTTCAGGGAATAATAGAAAATGTCTTAAAGATCGTATGTTATTTTACTTTATTCAGTGCAGCTGTGTGTCTGGTGTTCTAGTTGAAGTTTTTCTTTCCCCTTTAACCCTGTCAAAGGTTCCTGGACATCAGTCGGTTTTTATGAACGAACCAAGACTGTCGGACTTCAAACAAGTTCTTTTACGGGAGGGGATTCAAGCTGAATTTGTAGGAGGTGTCCTTGTTTGCAACAATCAAGTAGCTGTCCGCAGAGTAAGTGTGTTTAAAAAGGGTTGGATTGAACAGATGCTTCTGATGCTTTGTCACTTCTGATTCTGTAACTCTTAATTGATAGTTTCACAAAACTGGACATCAGTAATTTATATTCATAACGATGACCTTGAAGGCTATAAAAAGTTACTCTCAAAGACTTGAAATTTAATTTCATTGTAAACTTTTATTTGTATTCTCAGACATCTACATGTCTGTAAAACTCATGATTTGAATGGTATGTCACACTCTGTGACTCAGAGCCACCCACTTCCTGACCAGTCATAAAGTAACTTTAGTTATTATGTCTGCATATTGGTGGTAGAAAAACGTACTAAAGAATTTTTTTTTATTTGATTTCTAGACGGAAACTGGACGCATTGGATTAGAAGGCTGCCTTTGTCAAGATTTTTATAGGATAAGAGACCTTTTATATGAACAGTATGCCATTGTGTAAAGGACATGTCAAGAAGTATCTATTTGACCTTTATAAGAAAAAAGGGATTCTTATTCTAAGCTTTTGTGCTTTTTTTTTTTTTGGTAATATACAAAGAGAATCTGCCAGAAAAACTTAACACGCATTAGATTTTTTCCTAATGCTCAAATGAGCATTCTCCCCTTTAGTTTGAGTGGGAGACATCCTGACCCCTGTGCAGGCCTGAGAGGTGAAGCTGATGCCTTTCCTTTGCCGACCCCTTATTCTAGAAGGGCTTTTTACTTGAATACAACAATGCAACTTAGCAAACCAGTTCATGGCCTTAGAGAAACATATTTGCATGAACTCTTGCAAACTGTTTCTTACATTTTCTGGAATGCAAAGTATAAATTATTTAGAAAAGATGAGCTACTAGAAAAAAAAACTGATGAATGTTTTTTGAGTCCTACTTAGTTAAAAACAAAAAGCCAAGAGTACGGGCTGTAACTCTTCCGAGTTGTAATATGCAGTTGTCCCCACATGCAGTGTGCCTGCTCCACGCCTGTAGTTCCCAGACTCCCTCTAGGGTGAAGCTGGAAGTAATCAAGTTTTATTTCTCCCATTTCTTGTTTTATCAAGATTCTGTTGTTGTTCAGTATGAATTATAATACCATCATTTGAATACACATAATTCAGGAGAACTCCTCGATGTGTTCCAGTCTTAAGGGTTCTGCATACACTTTAGACCTAACTGTCATCTAGGTTACTATTAGAAACTGTTTTGTGCTCTGTTTTCAAGAAATAAGTTTGAACCTCACATTTTTATGAGGTAGCAGTATAATTGAATTACAAGGTATAAATGTTTTCATCTCTTAGGCTCACTTCCTCCTAAGGTTGCCCAAGTGGTGGGTCGATTTTATACACATCGCCACAGAAGGAACGTTGAAGATGGATGCGGTCGTCTTCTCTGCATTTGCACCTTTCTTGGGGCCGGCAGTGCTGATACAGTGCCCACCACTTGTATTTAAGAATAAAAACTGCGTATATGCAATTTCCATTGAACTTAGAAATGAAGTCATTTCGCCCTGTTGTCATCTCAGTGCTGTTCTGGCGTGTGACTCCGTCATGGCCGACCCCGAGACTCATTTCCTAAGCATGTAAGCCCTCCTCTGTGCAATTAGCATTTTTAGAAGGATCAGTCTTACTCCACTTACATGGAACTATGTACAGTACAACCCAGTGGTATCAAACCACAGTTAATTCATTCTATTTCAAATGCTTTCAAAGCTTCTCTTGTGGATTATGATGCTAATGCAGAGTTTACGGGCTTCTTGATACTGAAAACCAGACACGTAAAGCAATGTTACAGAAGATGAAGATGAAGAGTACGTTTTGTTTGCAGAGCTTTGAAAAAAATTCACTTAAACTCTTATTACTGGATAGAGTAAGCCTAAAATTCTATTTATTTTCCAGGTGAAGCAAAGTCTGCATTTGTTTCATGGATTTAAAAAATTGGTTATACATATTATATTGAAATCCTGATATTGAAAATTTGATTTTTGCCTGACCCGTGAGCAAGAATTAAATTTAAAGTACTGCTTGGAGATGGCTGTGCTAACTAATGTCACTGTAGGAGCAATATTTTTACCTGTTTCTGAATGACACTGTTACTAACATTTCAAAAATGAAGACATTTGTTTAGCCTCAGTTACTGAAGAGAAATACAAATTTTAAAAAGGACTCTGAGATAAATCATGAACTCAGGAATTTTTAGATCTTGTTAGAAGCAAAACAAACACAACTAGACCATCAGCTGGTATCTATAATTAGCTTAAAAATACTTTTTTTGTTGCATTTGCTGCAGTAGGATTACAAATGTCAGATGTCCTGGCTGACGGTTTAGTATTTCCGTGAGCCAGTAGGTGGTCTCAGGTGGAAGTGAGGAACCAGTTTTCTAAGAGCCTTTTGCCTTTTTTTTTAAATTGAGATATGATTTACATTCCATGAAATTCTCTCTTTACAGTGTACAGTTCACTGATTTTTAGTGTATTTACAGCGTTGCGTGACCATTACTGCTCTCTGATTCCAGAACGTTTTCATCATACCCCAGAAGAAACCTCATCCCCGTTGGCTGTCATTTCCCATTCTCCCTTTTCCCAGCCTCGGGCAACCGTTAATTTATTCTCTGTCTCCTGTGAATTTGCCTGTTCTCCATGTTTCAGAAAAATGGAGTCATAAAATTTGTGGCCTTTTGTGTCTACTTCTTTTACTTAGTAGAGGGTTTTCAAGATTCATTGATGTGGTAGCATGTATCACTTTGCTTTTTATGGCTGAACAACCTTCTGTGATGTGGACAGACCACGTTTTGTTTCCCCATTCATCAGCTGATGGACATTTGGGCTGTTTCTACTTTTTGGCTGTTAACCAATAATGCTGCTGTGAACATTCATGTACAAGCTTTTGTATGGCTATACGTTTTAAGTTTTCTTGGGTATATACAGGATGAGGCAAAAGTAGGTTTACAGTTCTTCATATGGAAAATAATACAGTAACTAATAAATAATGCTACAAGAATAAACTGTGTTTTGCATCCTCACAACTCAAAACCTACTCTTGCCAAACCCTCCACCTAAGAGCATAGTTGCTGGGCGATGTGGTGGTACCTCTGGAGCAACTGCCAGCCTGGTTCCGGAGCAGCAGCCGCCGCCTCCGTTCCCGCCCGCGGTGGATGAGAACTCCAGTCCTCCCACTGCCTCCGAGATGCTGGTCGCTCACCGTCCCTCTTATCTCAGCGGTCCTGTGTGTGCGCACAGGTGTCTCCTTAAGGTTTTGATTGGAGTTTCCCTAATGACTAATGATGTTGAGCATCTTTTCTGTACCTGTTGGCCATTTGTGTTTCTTTTTTGGAGAAATGTCTGTTCAGATCCTTTGCCTGTTTTCTTAATTGGGTTTTTATCTCTTTATCGTTGGATTGTAAGAGTTGTTTGTGTAGTCTGGGCACCAAATCTGTGTCAGACGTATGGTTTGCAAATGTCTCCTCCCCCTCCGTGTGTGTCCCCTTTCTGGGTGTCACCGGAAGCATAAACATTTTTGATTTGGATCGTCTAATTCATCTTTTTTTCCTTTAGTTCCATACGCTATTGGTGTCACATCTCACAAGCCAGCACTTCATCCAAAGTCCAAAGATTTATTACTGTTTTTTCCTAGAAGTTTTATAGTTTCAGCTCTCACATTTGAGTCTTGGACCCTTTTGAGCGTATTTGTATGTGAGGTGGGGCCCCGTTGTCCCCGTGTCATTGTTGAAATGACATTATTTCTTCTTCACATTTTCTTGCCACCCTCATGGAAAATCAGTTGCCCATACATGTATGCATTTGTTCTTGAGCTCTGAATTCTATTTTACATGTCTGTCCTCACACCAGTATCACAATATCTTGGTTACTGTAGCTTTATATTAAGTTTTGAAATTGGCAGGTGTGAGTCCCACACTTTGTTCTCTTTCAAGATTGTTTTGGCTATTCTTGTTTTCTTGCATTTCCAGATGAAGTTCAGGTCAGCTTATGAATTTTGGCAATAAAAGCCATGGGAGGGGAACATGCTTGAAATTTAGAGCTTAACATCTTAGAATGTTAACCACTGAGAGGGACTTAACAGTGGAAGTTATGTAGTTCGGCACCTTGTTTTAGTATTGAATTCATAGGCCTATGGAAGGGAAGGGTTTGCTTGAGAGCCAGAGAGCTGGTTAGAGACGGACCTGGAACTGGAGTCCAGCCTTGCAGAGTCCATTCATTCAGTCCTGGGTGAATGAATCTCGAATCCTTACAGAATCCAGTCATTCAGTACTGAAGTCAGTGTGCTGGACTAGATGGCTTCCGCAGCCCTGCTCAGCCACAGCATTCGGAGTGTTTAAGCTGTGAATTTCAACTGCATTTTCCTGCACTGCTTTTTTTGCGTTCACTTTGCTTAGAAATAAGTGTGTCCAGTTCACCAGTACTTAGGACAATAGCATGGTAAGAGAGACTGATGTCCATTCTATTAACATAGGATGGTCAGTAAAGTGAGGGGAGGGAGAAAGGGTAGATGCTGTCTCCTAGGGTTATTTAAATACCAGTGAACTGATTACCACTTACACCGAAGGGTGTAACGGTGGTTAGTCATTCAGTGACTGAGAGGTTGGTGATTTGTGGGCTTGTTGTGGGGGAGGGGTGGTTCCCATGCACCCCCAAGCCTCCTTTTCATTCAACCATCAACAACTAGAGAAGGACCGCGCAGGGTACGACGACACAGGGGACCAGGGAAGGAACCCGGAGACCTGCCTACCTGGGCAGGAGTCAAGGCCAGGGTTTCTTTCCCCTTTTGGGAGTTTTCTCTCGCTTTTACCACTTCACTTGTGTTTGTGAGAAAACACCAACAATTAATAAAATAAATTAAAAACCCAGAACTTTCCTGGAGGTGAGGGCGTCTTTGCTTCTGTCCTGTTCTCCCCACCGCCGTACATGCGCCCAGCGCTCTACACTTTAGTTCTCGAAGTCACAATGTGATTTCGAGGCATAAGATAGAAGTGTGGAGTTTTCCATCTCCATCATAGCTGAAGAGGACTGGAAGTGTGTGTTTCTTTGGTGCCATTGTTAATGTATCCATGGATCCTGCTTGCATTCGAGTTCCCATCAAGGGGAGGACTCACAAAGGGCCCACAAGGACCTCTGACATTCCCGAGGCCTGTTGATTTTCGTGTTCGATACCCAAATTCTTGTGTGTATTTCCTTTTTTCCCCCGACACAATGATTACACTTTTTAAAAAGGTACCACTAAATTGTACATTCAAAACAGGTGAGGTCCTTCACACAGAGCTCTGTGGGAAGCCGTTTTTATTCCATGGGCGCTGCTGCCGGCCTTGTTTCACTTCCTTTCACATTCACTTACCAAGCGTATGAGGGACGTCAATGATTTTTCTGAAAAATTGTGGTCTTGGACCAACGGGACATTTCCAGTTGATTCTAAATGACAAGAAAAAAGGTTAAATTCCTGTTCCTACAGACACCTGCTACCATAGGAGATTTATAATATTAAAAATGGTTTCAGCTCTGGCTGGTGGCTCAGCAGGTTGGAGCATTGTCCCGTTTACCAAAGGGGTGCGGTTCATCCCTGGTCAGGTGTGTTTGGGAGGCAGCGAGTGGTGTCCCGATGTGTCTCTCTTCCTCCCCCTCTAACATCAATAAACATATCCTTGGGTGAGGATTTGAAATATTATTTACTCTAGTTTCCAACATCACCCATAGGTCATGGTTCAGGTTAAAATTTCGTATTTAAATATCAAAGGATATATCAATCTGTAATGAAATTGTATAAATCCTTCATCAGTTATAAGAAAAAAAAGGTACTTATCCTAAATTAATAGGATTCAAGTTTGTAAGGTTTTTCACTATCTTATGTAGTGATATTTTTAAGGAGACAATTATTGCAGGAAGAAGTATCTTTAATGAAAATCAAGAACTTCATCCATTTTTAACTTTTAAGCAGAGTTTTATATCTACATTATTGCCCCCTAAGAAAAGTTTTCATATTTCAGCTATTCTTTTGAATAGTTTAGCCTGAGATAAACAATTAAGCAGATTCTTCTAGTAGTATAAAAACTGGTATAATAAATTCCTGATAGCTAAAAGACCACTTATATATATCTTATCTTTTAATAAGAGCCTGTGCATCCTTTCTCCCAATTCTGTTGTTAACATTTTGCTATGGTTACATTATCATTCTATCTATACATATTTTTTAACTACTTGATACTAAGTTGCAGTTAAGACGTCCCATTAGCCCTAAACACATTGGTGTTTTTTTTTTAAACAGCCTCTCCTGTATAACTAGTCCATCCATCAAAATCAGGAAACCAACACTGATTTCTGCCACTTAATCCACAAACAACATTCAGATGTCACCAATACTCAAGAAAATGCACTTACCGTCTTTTCTTTCTGTTCCGGGACCCAACCCAGGACAGTGTGTGTGCGTCTAGTTAATGTTTCCCCTTCAGTCTTCCTTAACCCCGGAGACTTCCTCAGGCCTTCCTTGTGTGTGTGTCTCTTTTATGGCTGACATTTTTGAAGAGTGCGGGCCAGTTACTTTGCAGAGTGGCCCTTACTTTTGGTTTGTCTGACGTGTTCTCGTTATTAGATTCAGGCCAGAAGTTTTTGACAAGCACCAGACCAGTGACGCTGTGTCCTTCTCTCTGTTGTGTCAGGAGGCAGCGTACCCCACGTGCCTGTTCTTTCTGGTTCCGGTGATGCCCTTGTTAACAGTAGGTTACGGCTGCACCGTTTCTCCACCGTGAACTTAGTAAGTTTATTGTACTTGCTAATGGATGAGGAATGAGCACTGTCTGGGGAGCTGCATTGAGACTATGTCAACATCCTGTGCTTTATAAATTTTTACTCTCTCGATTTAGCATCTGTTCACGACTCTTACCTGAAATAGTTATTGCCAGAGAGTGATTCTCTGATCACACTGTTGTATCTGCATTTAATTGGTATTTGAGTATAGGCACTTTCTCTTTTCGCTGTTTATTTACTCATTGTTTATTTTAGTGTGGAACATGGATTCTGTTTTATAACTAACAGACGATCATGATTTATATGTTGATGCTCCAGTTGGCCTGGATGTGGCTAGTGGAGCACTTCAAGCTGGCTTCTGTGTTCTTGACATGTTCTGAGCTTGCTTTTTGTTTTTGTTTTTACTTGTGGTAAAAGCCACATGTTAAATTTACCATCATAATTATCTTCAAGTGTATCCAGTTTAGTAGTGCTAAGTGTATTTACACTGTTGTGCAACAGAGCTCACAAAACTTTCTAGCTTGCAAAACTGAAACTCTGTACCTACTGAACGTCAATTTCCCTTCCGGTCTCCCCCAGCCCTTGGTGATTGCCTTTCTACTTCCTGTTTCTAGGCTTTTGACAGTTTTGGTTCCTTCACGAGTGAAATAAATCACACAGTACTGGTCCTTTTGCGACTGGCTCATTTCCACTAGCATAGTGTGTGTCCTCCAGGCTCATCCATGTTGTAGAGCCGACAGGATTTCCTTTTTGAAGGCTGTATAATATTCTATATAGGGATATAAACCACATTTTCTTTATCCATTCATTTATTGCTGTGCATCTAGGTCGCTCCCACCACTTGGCTATTGTGAATCATGCTGCAGTGAGCATGGGGGTGCAAATATCTCTCTGAGACCCTGCTTTTGATTCTTTTGGATACATACCAGTGGGACCTCTGAGTCCTGTGGCAGTTCTATTTCTAATTTTTCAAGGAACTCTTTTCCATAATGGCTGCACATCCCCATGGTTCTCAGAGCACTTTTTGCTTTCAGGTACCACAAAATGTTCCAGGTACCTTGCTTCTCCCCACTAGTCCTGGGGTCAGCCATCTTGCCCAAGAGTCCTGGTTCACATTAGTGGAGAACAGTTTTGGGAACCCAGGTCTGGGTGCTAGGTTGTGCTCACTGACACTGAGCTGTCATTGCTGGTAGGTCCTCTCCGTGGACAATTAGGAAGTATCTACATCTGTGCTTGTCTCCTCGTCCATCCATCTGTATCCATGAAAAGGCACAGTTCACACTGATCTTCAATTCCACTTCTACCCCACAAGGCTATTCTAGCCTTACTCCTTTCCACATTTGCCCTTCCTTTATCATAAAAAACAGGGCTCCGATAATCCTCAGTACATTCTCTTACTCGTTCACTCCCCGTGGCTGCTGCGAGGACTGAGTTCCTCCCGTTCCTTGATCCCTGGCGGCACCTGCCAACAGAACCCGGAGCAGGTGTCAGAGAAGGCGCCGTGGCTCTGATGGCAGTGCCTCAGTCGGTGTGCGTTCCACTGTATGTGGTGGTCAGCAAGAGTGGAACCACCACGGATTCTGAAGGCTTCTGCTTTCAGTGGGACTGTGCAGTCTTCGGGTTTGTCTCGGTGATCTGCTTACCGTGTTTCCCTCAGTACTTCTGCTCTGTGGTTAAGCCAGACAAAGCAATGATGGCCGTGGGGGGGGGGGCTAGTGGGGACGAGTACACAGAGGAAGGCGGGAAGTGG